TAGCTACTGCTATACGTACACCACTGAAACTACCACAACCAGTATCTCCCTCCACCACCACCAGTACTGTTACTACCACCACCACTGTCACCACTATCAACAGCATCATCACTACTGCCACCACCATCACCATGACCACCATCACCATGACCACCATCACCAACACCATCACTACTACCATCTCCAGCACCACCACCACTATAATCACTAGGTACTTAGAAGGTGCCATTTTACTTAATCTTCACGACATTGGCAGGTGGTAGGGATTATGAAGACAAATCTGACACATAATCTACCACCCACTCCGAGGATTTAACAGAGACAGAATATTCCTATTACCATTTCTTCTTTGTAGTTGTCATCATCCTCTTCCTCATCCTTATCCTTGTCTGTTATATTTGAGTGATGCTTTATTATACTTTATAAATGACTTGCCCAAATGTCAAATTATTTATTCCACTACTATCTTCTGAAATAATTAAAATAATCATAATTCCCTATGTTGGAGAACTAAGACTCGGTCAGTGAAATGACTGGTTCTTCCCTATTTATGTTAGCCTTTGAATTCTTTCCTTGCAGTGCCATATAGGAAAGGGACTGGGGAAAGAACACAGAGAATTCCATTGGTTTCACTGAGTGGCCATGTCTGCAGAACCACTGGGAGTCTGTAGTCACCCCTGATATTCCAACTTATTAGCTGTTAGTTGGCACCAGGAAATCTCTACCGCAAACATGCTTTTTCCTATTTTTTGGCTGTTGTTGGGGCTTCATGGAAAAGAAAGACAGCACCGACCTGGGATGTGGTCAGGACAAGCTGAGGTGGGGAAGGGGTGTGGCAGATAGAGGCAGCAGTATGGGCAAAGTCTCAGAGGCAAGGCATCCCAAGAGGGCTTTGGGGCAGAGCTAAGAGTCCATCTGGGCTGTTGCTCAGGGGATGGAGCCCGAACCCTGAACCTGCACTGAAAAGCCCGGTTAGAATCATGGGGCCTGGGAATCTCCACACCAGTCAGCTGGGTTGGTGCATCCTTTAGATGATGAAGAGCATGTGCCTGAGAGGTGGGGAGTGCTTGAATAGAGCTTCTTTCCCCCTTAGGAGAGCCAGCCTGCTGCTCAGCCTGACCCAGCAGGGCCCAGGAACGAGGACAGGGGCATGGGTTCAGGGCCAGCTCCCTTGGTTGTGGCTGTGGGAAACAGAGCTCTGGGAGGCGCTGGGCAGCTCTGGATCTTTGAGGGTAGGAGGGAGGAACACAGGGCTGGAGCTGGCACAGCGTTGCTACCCTGGCATTTTTCCAGGTGTCACCCTTCAGGACAATCTGTGAATGATTATGCCTTTCTGGAGAAATGCTGCCTTATGACACCGCTTTGATCACAGATTTTGATACGTTTCTATCTCTTGTGCTACGGCTGTGTCTAGATGTCCCCCAAAGCCTTGTGCCGTCACAGGTGGGGCTTTTTCAGAGGTGGCTGGATCTAGAATGTGTGACTCTAGGATTGATTCATGGTGCAATGTCAGGATCAAGGGCACTAGGACTAAGGGTGTGAATGCTCCCCATGCTAAGTGTGAGGAGCCTGGATGAGACAGGAGGGATAAAAAGATCTGTGGTCCTCCCTTGCTTGCTTTACTACCTTCTGTCTGCCATGAACTGTTTCTCCTCTGTGATGCCACCCTGTCTTGGAGCCAGACGGTTATGGACTGAAACCTCTACAAACTGTGAACTAGGTAAACCTTTCCTCCTTTAACTTCGGGTGGTGGGTATTTTGTCTCAGCAACGAGAGAAATAGCTAAGACATCTGGTCTCTTGCCACCTTCTTGCTTGTTTGCCTCTTTACTTTTCTGCAAACCTAGCACTTGGGATGTTTGAGTCTGTGGGTGGATTTCTCTGCATTTCTCTCTCCTACCATATCCCTTCTACCTACCCCTCCCCCGCTCCCTGCTCTCCAGGCTGATTGATTGCATTTCCTGGCACAAGACTATTTCCTGACTCCACACCCATTGGAAATTGTATTAGGATCTAGGTATCATTCCCTGAGCATCAGTGATTCATTACCTAAGATCTCAGGCAGCTGAGGAAGCAGAGAGCTGCTAAGGACTCACAGCATCCCCAAAGGTAACCACCGCCTCTGGGAGAGGGAAGTTCATGCTCACCTCCAGACCTCATTGGCACCTGAATGAATAATTCTGCTCAGTCACAGCCAAGACTTTCGCATCCCGCTTCTCTCTGACCCTTCCCTACCAACCACTCGGTGCTCCCATCTCCCATTTCAGCCTTTCCCATCCACAGAGGCACTTTGCTGCTTGGGTCCTGAACTATGATGGTTATTCACCGGGTCCCACTGACCATGAGTGAGTGTGGTTTTATTCACCTTGTAAATAACCAGTGACTGTGGAATAACCTGGGGCAGTTGGAGGGGATGTTGTATAGTGAGAAAACTGAATGTGTCTGGTTTCCATTCACTGAGGAGGTGAATGGCTCTTGGCTTTCTCATTCTCAGCTCCCAGTGTTTGCCTTCACCACAGCAAGCACAAATGGACACTGGGACCAAGTGCCTCGGGGCTGGCTTGCCTCTGAAGACACCTGTGAGCATATTTTGAAGCTTACCTGACAAGTGTGGAGAAAGTCATTCTGACCTGGACCTCACTACACTGCAGGCTAGAACTCCACAGCCAGGGCTGTGATCCAGAGGGTTCCAAATCAGAAGTCTGGGTCTTACTCGCTTTGCAAGTGTGTAATTCATACAGCTCACAAACAGTTCTCAGTGTCCACCATGTAGATGGTGAGATTCTGCACCCATGGGATACAGCATCGAAGGAGAACAAAAGCACTCTGTTTCCAGGAGGGTTACCTCCAGGAGGGGCAGACGGGCAGTAAAAAAATGCAAACATCATGCTGTATCTCGTGATGACAAACTAAGGTACATAAAAGCGAGAGGATGTAGCAGGGCAGAAGGAGCGCTGTTGTGATAAAAATGGTCAAAGAAGACATTCAGATAAGAGGAAATTTGAGGCAAAACCAGACTGAGTTGATCCTGTGTGTAGCTGGGGAGAAGGATACCAGGCAGGAGGAAAAACCAATGGAAAGACGTTGGCATGCTCCAGGAAGAGGAGCTGGGGACGAACAAGGGCGTAGAAGAGTGGGCAGTGGGAGTGCTGGGCAGTCATGGAGAGATCCTGTTCTGGGTGAGTTGAGAAGCACTGCAGTGTTTCACATGGAAGAGAAATGTCCTAATTTGTGTTTCAGGGATATAATCTTCCTTCTTAGGGAAGAGCGTAAGGGCTGAGTGTGAAGGGTGCCATCTGCCTCAGGGGCTACTGCAGAGGTCCGAGTGAGAGCTAATGTTGGCCCAGTGGGCCTGGAAGGATCCGCTGGGCTTAGAGACGTGATGTCATTCTCCCGACTCCTTCCTGCTGCTTCCAGAGCCAACTCAAGAGGTCCAGGCTGTGGGTTTTTCTGAATCTTGACCCCTTGGATGGCTCCCTTGGTCCCACGCCACTGGGCTTGTTCCTGATACCTGCCGGCCTGTTATGCCTTGCCCCTGTCTGGTGCCTCAGCTGCCTGCAGTCTCCACCATTGTCTCTACCTCTGTCTACCTCTGAGCACATTCTGCCTGTTCCTTTCCCTGCACCCGGTTTGTTCTGTGGAGCAGCTCTTCCTCTTTGGCAACCTTTGCTCCACACCTTCTGCACTGAGGAGCCTTCCCAGCACTACCAGTGGCCTCGAGAGGTCCCAGCACCCTTCCTACACCCTTCCAGGGCAGTGTGCATGGGGTGTGTCACCAGAACACAGGCTCACTTCTGCCTCCCCTGGGAACTGAACTCTGTATGGCCAGAGCCCACGGCTTTGTCCTACCAGTGTCCCCAGGCCTGGCACACAGTGGGCTTAGTGTGGGTGAATACACAGGAGAAAGAGGCACAATTGAAGTTTCCACCATCATCCCATTGTTGGGATCTTAGGACAGACAGTTTCTTTGGTGCTCAACCCAGCCTCTCCCCTGAGCAGCCCTAAAACCCGTGTGTCTCTAATCAGGCAGCAAGAAGAAGAACTTAAGTCAGACAGACTCCATGAGGATTTTCCCTGAGGGACAGGCTGTCATTATGGTGGTGACATGGGGTGGAGGCTGCAGAGAGCAAAGGCGTTCACGCCATGTAATTTCATGAAATCAGGAAAACACAAAGAAGCTCATCTTTCACCCAGATATCCCTGTGGTACAGTACAGACTGTTACCTCATTGTGTAATCTAAGTGAACAGCACACACCTTCCTTCTGTTTTAGAGATGGACTCTGCAGTGTGGTAGCCCCCCCAAAACCAGCCCCAGGTGCAAGGTGCACATGGTGATACGGACTCTAACCACAGGCGGTGGAAATGGCCTTGGTGGCCTTCCTGTGCAGGATGGGTGGTCTCTGCCTTGGGACAGAGGATAGGGCTGTGCAGAAGTGTATGCAAGTCTGCACATAGAGATACAGGTCACAGTCTGAGCAAATTACAGTATTGCAAAAAGCAAGATTTATGAACAGACTGGGTGGTGTGCTACAGTTTACAGAAAAAAGGGCAGAGAGAAAGTTTGTGTGTATGTGTGTGTGTGTGTGTGTGTGTGTGTGTGTGTGTGTGAAGACAGACAGTGCAAGAGTGAGAGCCAGAGAGAGAGGAACAAAATGCCACTGGAAAGGTCAGTCCACATCTAGCAGGTTAGGACAGGGACCCTGTGGCAAAGCAAGTCTTTCTCAGGTAACCCTTCTTGTGCCTTTGAATGTGGGGCCATGTGTCACCTGCAGTGTGGGATTACAGAGCTGAGACCCAAAGCCAAGCCTCCACAGAAGCTTGGGCTCTGTTTCCTGATCCCGCACCTCTCCTCTCCTCTTAGGGTCCTCCTTCCTCGGGACAGTCCATTAATCGGGGAATTTGAGCCACAAAGATGGAGATTTCCCCCTCGATGCATTATTAAGTTGACTCTGGGTAATGCCTGCCTGCCTGTTGATTTTGGCTTCTTCTCTTGCCCTCAGGGGAAGAAAGGTGACATGGGTGCACCAGGACTCCCGGGATCATCGGGGCTGCAGGTAACCAATGCCCTTAAATCCTCTTCCACTGCACACAGCTGCCTCTTATCCAATCAGGGACTGGGGAGCTGTTCTCAGGCTGGCACCAGAATCCTGCGGGTCTCATCAAGGACCTGAAAAGAGTGGCCAGTGGTCCATCTGTCCTCCCTGTGCCCTCCTGTGTGGGAGCTGGAGGTCCAGGGCCATCCTCCGTCCTCCTGGAGGACTTCTGTCTAGTGCAGCATTGACCAGCTATGACGAGAGAGGACCAGACTTGAGAAAAGCACATGGCAGGAGGCAGGAAGGGAGCATAGGGGCAGGATGCCAGGGGTCCCTGCTGAGCAGGCTCATTGTCTCCAGGACAGGGAGCCATCAGGAGGGACGGTGGTCAGGAAGGAGCATGGGCCTCGTGGAGGGTAGAATCTGAAGGGCGTGGAGTCACAGAAGCAAGTGTGACAGCCTGTGGGGTGTGGGGACTGAGAGGAAAGGTGGAAGGCACTGTGCCAAGGCAGCAGAAAAAGGCGCAGCTAGTCTTTTCAGAGAGAAGAGGCTGACTGACGACCGTCCGCAAACTGGGACATTGACTACATGCCTTTCCTCCTCTGGCTCTCAGTTTCCCCATCTGTAAAATGCTGGGGTTGGGCCTCGATCACATGGGTCTGCCCCCAGGCTGGGGCTGTCCTGCTGTCCTAGATGTGCCATTCTTCCTCCCTCCTCTCCCATCTCCATTCTTCTCTCCTCCATTCTGTCTTCTCTTCCTTTTCCTCCGCTTCCTCACTCCAGCTCCTGTGTGTGCTTTAGGGCTCCTCCCTGTTGTCCTATACTTGGCCTCACTGCTGGTGCCATCCCTGTGGACCCTCAGCCCCCAGCCTCAGCTCCCTCGCCCATCTCAAGAGGAGGCGCGAAACTCTCAGGGGCAGAAGGACACTTGGCGTCCAGTCTGCTGAGCAGACACCTGGCTTCAAACCCAAACTCCTCCCCTTGGGTCCATTCTTTGTACCAATAGCATCACGGAGTCCTCATGGTGCACTATAGGCGGACGGGAAGGGCAAAGCTTGGCCCTCTTCCTTCTTTACTCCCACCAGAGTTCTACACTCTCCACACCCAGCCTTGCCCTCAGGTCAGCAGACTCATATGGAAGCAGTCTCAGAGGGAGAGCGGCGTCGGTTCGAATCCCAGTCTATCCACTTTCTGGCCTGGGGCGCGGTGGAGTGGTGGTGGTTCTGGATAAGTTACTTGACCTTCTGACTTCAGTTTCACTTTTTTGGTAAAAGTAGTAAAAATTAAAAGGAAGTGACACCGGAGGGTGAAGAGCAGAGCAAGGACTCGGTGGGAGATAATGGGGTCCCTAGGCACAGTGGGCCCCTGCTAATGGGTGGCTCGCCATGTCCTCCTGGCCATGATCCAGCAGGTCACTGCCGTGTTGCCAGACTGTTACCTGGGTCTCCCCATGCCGTGGCAGAGCAGCCAGGCTGTAGGCCCACCCATTCCAGACAACTGTCTCGGGCATGGCATTGGCCCTACCTGGGAAACATTGCTCTTTACACCCAGAAACCAGCCATTGCTGCTCACAGAGCTGGCCTTAGTGTCCTGGTGAGAGGCAGGCACTTTGGGCTCAGTTTCAGCCTCTGTGTCAGCACCTCCCACTTGGGTCAGGACACCCCAGGAAGTATATCTTTCGCCATAATGCACGCTTTTCTAGAGACTCTGCACTTACGTTGGCATTTTGCTGTGAAAAATGAAAAACACAGTGGGATTTGCATTTGTTTTATGACCTTGTTTTATAATGAGCAAAGCCTGGGCATTTTAAAAATTCAATAGCAGCTGGGTACAGTGGTGAGCCTGAAATCTTGGCTACTCAGGAGGCTGAGGCAGGAGGATTGCTTAAGCCCAGGAGTTTAAGACCAGCTTGGGGAACACAGTGAAAGGCCATGTCAAATAAAAAATGAATACAGCAAAATAAAGTTCACTGTCAATGCAGCTGTACCAAATTATTTAAAGCTATGAAATTTTCCTTCTACCATTCTGTTTACTATCCTGGAAAATTTATTTTTTTCTTTCATTTTTAACTTTGAAGGCATTTTCACTCAGCAAATCTTTAATGAGTGCCAGGCATTGAGCTGCGGCTGTGTCTACAAGTGACACCAGGCTTTCTGTGTCAGAGATGTACAGGGGCTAGTTCATCCTGACTTATTTAGAAGTGGCGCATCCTAACTTAGCCATCCCAGTGGTTCAGAGCCCACCCCCAGCCATGCAGCTTCCAGCATAAGAGGATTTAGTCCTAGTTGCCTGGACTGCACCACTGGCAGATGGAAGCAAAGCTGCTCTCAAGCCGGCCACACCTGAATGAGTCTCTCACTCTTCCTGAAGTATCCGAATGCCCACCATTCCCAGGCCTGGCCACCTATTCCTCCCCTGAAATCCCTGTGTTTGTTCATTTGTTCATTCACTCATTGATGGATACATCCAGCAGTTGTGCATTAAGTCACCACTGTGTACCCAGCTCAGCTCTGGAGATGTCAAATTGCGTAGCCATGATCTATCCGCTAGGGGGCAGGACCAGTTGGAGACGGAGAAGGCGTTTTACTGTGTGTCAGGGATTCTCTTTGCATCCAGATAGCGAGGAGGGAAAGACATGGGGAAAAGACTGCCACTGAAAAGATAGTGGGCACGGTCCGAGCAACGGGCACACACTGTGCACATCGGGCTGGGGGCTCTGCAGAGGCAGGAGGGAGGAGACTCGGGCAAGGGCCTTTATTTCGCTGTTGGCAGGAGGGCCGAAGTGAGGCCAGGCAGGCAGCAGAGTCACAGGACTGCGCAGTTGGAATGGTTTCAGTGGGCTGTGGGAGACAGGGGTTTTCTCTTGCTTTCTGGCGTCTGGTCTTGGGGTGATTTATGGCAGAGTGATAGCCTCGTGTTTCAGATGTCAGGATCCGGAGGGAGGGATCACAGTGGCGACACAGACTAGGACTGGTTGGTCTGCAGTTCGAAGCCTTGCTCAGGTCAGTCCTTTCTGGCACTGAGAATCTGCTCCTTGGGCCTCAGTTCTAGCACTATGAATAAGCTCTTTGGGTCCATAAGGCCTCGAGGTGACAAAGGATCGTTATGATGTAGAGGTGGGCATGGTGGCACATGCCTGTAATCCCAACATTCAGGAGGCTGAGGCAGGAGGGTCCTCACAGGTTCAAAGTGAGCTCAGGCTACAAAGTGAGTTCAGGCTACAAAGTGAGTTCAAGGTCAGTTTGAACTTCATAATAAGACCTAGCTCAACAAAGGGCGTTTATCCAGAAGGCTCATCCAGGGAGCTGAGCTGGGCTTGCAGAAGTGGTCGGGGCTCTGTGAAGACGCAGACCAGGATCCCTACACGAGTCTGGAAAATCCAAGTAGATTCTCCGTGGGTACATTTTTGGAAGCGCGTGTGTTAGCTTTGCCTCAGTACGGAAACACCTGACACGAGCTACTTGCGAAGGAAAGAGAGGTTTAGTTTGGTGCACTGTTCTGGAGCTCTGTGTCAGGACTGAGTGGGCCCGTGGCTTTGGGGCCCTGAGGAAGGTGAGGACGGTGGCTCATGGGCGAGGGCGGGGTGTGTGTCAGCAGGAGTGTTCCTGTCCTCAACCTCGGGAACCGAGAGAGGACACTGAGACTCCACAGTCCCACACTGCCCTCAGGACCTGTGCTAGGTCCCCACAGTAAGTCCCTTACTGTCACCACCGGGAAGAGGCCTTTAACACAGGCTCCTCCGTGGAACGTTGAGCATCCGTCCCACGCAGGGCACTGGGAGCAGAAAGAAGAAAGCGCATGGGCTTAGTTCCTGCTATGTCAAGTGCTCTCTGTGGCATCCAGCCTTAACTGGGTCCATTTTAAAGCTTCCTGCGAGCAAACTGCATTTTCCCAAACTAAGATACCAAGAAACCCAGCTTGGAGAGGAGGCTGAGGTTTGTGTGAGACAGGAAGAGCAGCTCTGTGTCCATTGCAGGCACCGGCAGTTTCCGGGCGGCTGCGTCACGGAAGGTGCTTTGAGTGTCTCTGTTCCAAAAGGAAACTCTCACCTGCAGGACATGCTTGTAGTACAGGAAGCTGTCCTTGCTCCCTCACGTCAGGATTGTCGCCTCCTGAGGAGAATGGAGATGTGTGTGGTCTCCACGTGTTACTCAAAGGTGGTGTAGCATGAAGCCACTGGCTTGCTGGACACACAGCAGGTGGGGACTGCCCAGGACCTCAGTCCCTCAGGGATCCACATCGTGAGGGAGGAAACAAACTGGGAACACAGTCCCAAAAGTCAGTGTAGCCAGTTTGTACCAGGAAGCTGATTGCTGCGATAATTTATACAAGCAATTTTCCTGCTTCTTAAAGTTCCATCCAACTTCAGAAATGTACTCCAATTGGAACTAGGTGTAATGGGAGTAATTATTTACTCTTTATTAAGCATAATTAAGTTAATTGGTTATTTATGCATTATCGCCGAAACTGCTAATCACATTAGATAGCTACTTAGTCACTGTGTTGTCAGGAGGATCAAGTGTTTCATTAATAGTAATTGGACTCCAAGTTAATTAATATGGAGAATCATTAGTTGTTTTCATCAGTAATAATGAAAACATTCATGTATTTTTGTTAACATTTATATCTATTGGCTAATTTGTCACTCATTGATAATTAGATTAAGTGGTTATTCAGGGATTTTTGTTAATTTGGAAAGACAAGAAGCCAAGATAAGATTTGTGAAGCCCTCCCGTGTTCTGGGCTGGTTCACGGACTTTCTCAGATTGAAATCAGACAATCTGTGACCTCTGGGCTTCAGCTGGTGGGGTTCAGGCTCTAAGAGGGGAAGCCCACTGCCCGTCCATCACTGCAGCGTGAGGCCTCCTCCCATCTGGCTCAGGCCGTCCTAAACCAAAGCCCCATTTACCACCTAAGTGCTTTCCTATCCATCCCTTGGCCTGGCGAAGCTGCTGTTGGCCCTTGTGTTCCAGCCTGCACCTCTCTTTGGCCCCATTTCCTCTAGAAACCCCCAAACCCCAATATCCTTAGCTGTAAAAGAGGGAAAAGGATGCAGAGAATCCTTGGCTTTTTAGACCTTTTTGTGGCAGGATGGAGAAGTGGGAGGGGAAAGGGGGCTTCTTCCTTTTTAGAAAACCCAAATGCTAATGAAATATTTGCAGGAGAAAAACCTAGGAAACATGTTCAACAGTGCTTTCTTGTGACTTTACAATCCATCTTCTAGTTATATTTGGAAACTTACCAGCAGGGTAACTAAAATACCTGTTCGGGTTGAGGACTTTTCAACTTGATTTCCAAGCCAAGAGTTGTATATGGCATGAGAGGAAACCATCAGAGTTGATGGGAAGGCCATCGGAGGTTGATCCAATTTCAACCAGTTACTGAGCCTCCCTGTAAGGTCTCCCAAGGGCGGGGAAGATGATCAAGGGACCTATCTGTCCTGCGAAAAAGTGAGATTGTGTGTGAACTCTGTTGTGGAGAGTTGTCTTATCTAAAAAATGCAAAAGTCTTGGCTGGAGCACTCAGGCACAGCACTGGGTATACCAGCACTCTGCAGTCACCTTCCCAAGTCTCTGTCTCTCTCTCTCCCCCTCTGTCTGTCCCTCCCCCTCCCTCTCCCCGATCCCTGTCTCTCCCTCTCTCTATTTCTCTTTAACTCAACCCATGAAAACAGAACCCAGTTTTCACCCTGCAAACCCAAGCCTGCCCCTCCTGCTCCCCTGAGACTCTCCCTTTCCCCTCAAAGCCCCTCCTTCTTGAGTATCTCACCTTGTTTCCTCAGCCAGCCCAGTAGGGCTGAATCAGCATGGAGTTCTCCCAGGCTCCTCCTACCAGCCAGGGCACCTTCTGACACAGAGCACAGGACCCACTCCAGGCTGTGCAGTTCCTGTCTCATTCCGAGGGGCATTTGTGTCCAGCACCCAGCAATTTGTCCATTTTAGGGGTAGAGAAGCTAAGTCTGTAGATCACAAACCTGAACACCTTATTTGACCCTTATTTACTTCACTTGCTTTGTACAGCTCTTTTACTTTCTTTAAATTTTCAAAATAATTGCCAAGATTTGCTTTACAAAAATCCCTGAAAGGCTATGATTTCGGAACCCTCCTGCAGGAATGTCAGTAGCACCAGGCTTGACTGAGGGGAGAGACTGGCCAACGGGAGGTCTGTGACCCTCATCCTGCTCCTCCACATGGGCCCTGTCCTCTCTGATCCAGCATCCTTCCATCTCCTCCTACTTCATGGTGCCTGTGGATGCTGCAGACCCCTCTCAGGGCTCTCTGTTCCCTGGTGGCCTGTGGTGGGTGGAGGAGTGATCAGGTGATGTGCCAGGCTGCAGGGAGGGAACCAAGAAGATCCCATGCCCAGAGAGGAAGGCAGAACCATCAGTGGAAGGCTTTATTCCCTCTGGGCATTCTGTTAATTGAGCAAAAACCACCCCTTTGCTGAAATGAGGGGCTTGGGTTGTCCATGAAACTGCCTAAAAAGTTCCTTCTGCCTGTAGCCCTCTAGCTGCCTCCAGCCTCTGTGGGCAGTGGCCAGTGTTCTGGATCTGAAGGCTTTTGGGTGTGTCCATGGTGACAGTCACAGGCCTGGCTGAGATAAGGCTGTGCTGGCCAGGTGGCTGACCACGTGCCCAGTCCCCTCCTGCCCTGGTCCTTCCTGATCTCTCCTGAGTTTCCCTCTCCCTGGCAGGAGCTGGACCCCCAGCTCAGGAGCTCAAGCAAAGTCAGGGGGACAGGTGCTGTCAGGGCCGTGGACCTCGGAGAATTCTGTGTGAAGACCTGGTAGGAGGCCAGGTGGGTAATAGGTGCTTTAAACACTTCCGTTTTCTCTTTGTCTGTTGAGGGAGCTGCGGTCCTCACCTCCTTCCAGAAACCTGCTCCTGCCCTGCTGGACCTCGCACCACTCGCCAGTGGCTGGATCAGAAATAAACCCAGTTTCTCCTCTAGCCGAGGTTCCAGCTGCACAATGTGATGGGTCACAGGCAGGGCTGGAGCCTCCCAGGCAAAGGCGGCTGCTCCGTACACGTACACAGCTGCTGCACCTCTGTGCATTGGGGCGCAGTCCCGGGCTGCATGTGGTCATCAAGGGGGAGCTCTGCGGCCTGGGGTGCAGGCGAATCTGATAGCAGAGACACCACTGGAAGACTCTCTGCACTCGGAGGAAGGAACCCTTGGCACAGCTGGGCCCATGGCTGCCGGCTGGGCCTCTTTTCCTGGGACAGCAGGGATTGAAGTGAGCGGAGTGAACAGCGGTTGCGGCTGGGCCTCCTTCAGTCTCTTCTCCAGGCCTCACTCACTCTCGGGGAGGACCCTGGCTCAGGCCCTGCCCAGGGCACCGCCCAGCACTGCATGGCCCCAAACGCAGTCCTTCAGGAAATGTTTTTGGCTCACCCGTGCCACCCAGAGGAAGGAAAGGGAACAGTCCCTGGATGCAGAGCCTTCTGCCATCCTTTAGCTTCTATCGCCCTTTGGTGGCCATGTGCTGCTACTGTCCTCAGCTCTGTTCCATTCAGGACGTACCTCTGTGCCCTGCCCTGGAGGTTCAGAGGGAACAAGAAAAGCCACGCTTGAGGGTCTGTGGGTCAGATAAACGGTTACACTGGCCTTGAGCGTGGAGCAAGGAGAGACATGATTTCACCTGGGGAGCCAGGGACCATTGCACAAAGGCGGAGCCAGGGAGGAGGGGAAGGCAGGAGGGCTTGCCTGAGGAGCAACTGGGGAATGCACCTTATCCCACAGCTCCCGAGGCTGGGTGGGCAGTGGTGGAGCGGAGGGGAGGGAGGCTGTGAGCAGACCTGCAGGAATTCAGAATGTCAGGTGGAGAAGCAAGGATAGAAGCATCAGGAAATGGGAGGCATGGAAGATTCCTCAGCATAACTGAGTCTTGCATATCAGGGGTTGCAGAATGGGGGCTGGCAGTCCTCACCTGTCCCAGGGCTCCAGTCTTGCATAGCTCTATCCAGGCCCTGGCTCATAGCCCAGTGCCCAGGGCCTTCACCCTCACCCCCAGACTGCAAGCATGTGCGGCTGACGTTTGTCTTCACTAACTCCATTACTGACTCCATGACCTTCCCTATAAAGCCCATGTCTCGACCCTGGCACCCTGAGCTCACATGGAGCTGTTGTTCCTGGACTCAGGGCACAGTGTCTTCACCCCTGTTGCTCTCAGTGTACCTGGTCCCAACTGCCCCTGTCCACCTGGCCTGGCAGTGATTTCTTCTGCTTTTTCGGGAGAAGGGAGCCTTCTCTGACCACTCCCCCCGCACCTCCCCCCGGCCCTGCTCTGTGCACACAGGCTTACTGGGCCATGTATCCTTTTCCAAAGCAGTTGCCCGTCTAGAGGCATCTCCCCTTCCAGCCCTCATTCTCACTGCAAATGGGCTGTCCTGGTTTCTGCTCACTGACGGCACCTGCTGTGTTCATTGCCCCGGATGTGGCCCAGAGGGTGAGGGCAGGGAGTGAATGATGGGAGTGATGTGCAGGTCCAGTCCCGGCAAGTGAATGTGCAGACTGCACTCCATGCAGTCGTGAGAGGAGGGCTTACAGGAAGAGATGTGTGGCCCACCCAGGACCTATGGAAGCAGAGAATGGTTCATCACAAATGTTCCAACCCCAGCCTCCAGCTCTGGTCCCTGGCTAATGACTGGGAATGCTGTGGAAGACCTTTCTGCTTGGGCTCACCCACTGTGTGCAGGTGTGTGTGTCCAAGATGTTAAATATAATGCCAAATGGATACGACAGTGAGTTAAATACCAAGCACCCGAATATGACACTCATTAAACTTGCAAATTTGATTTTGGATGTTTTTCCTTTGTGCTGTTCCTTCCTGTTTGAAATAGGTCTTACAAATCCACCTAAAATCCCACCTTGTCTCTGCCCGCTTCCCTTTTCTCTCTCTCGAATGACAGCTGTGACCAGGAGGCTGCTCCCTGTGCCTTTGTAACCACCCATGTGCTCTCTCTTCACAGGGTCCCTCAGGACCCCCCGGTATCCCTGGCCCCCCCGGACCTGGCGGCCCCTCGGTAAGCCTGGCTTTGAGTTTTCTCTCACCAGGGGCATTGGACAGGGTTTCCTGGCTGGAGGGAGCCAAGGAGGTCTCCTCTGCAGAAGCTGCCTTTGCTATGCCTGAGTCCAGTACAAAAGCACAGACAGGAGGGGCCCTCTTATGACACACCCCCAAGTCTCTGGACCCTCAAGCCTTCCATCCCTTTGATTACAAATAGCATATGCGTCCATGTAGTGCTTCGGTTGTTGGCTTCCAGAGACAGGGTGTGGGGGGCACACTGGGCTTGAGGGCCAGGTCAGGCATCTTTAGTAGTTTGTAATTGGCTATAAAACAAAACAGTGGACCAGGGAGAGTGTATGTGAACATGTACCATCCCATTGTTCCTTGGGAAACTGGAAAACTGTCCCCAGAGTTCACCAAAGGGCAGAGCGGGCAGAGACTACACCTACCCACTGGGAAGGGCAAGCCCCACAGTGGGCACAGGAAGAGAGTCCGGCACTGCTGCCAGGTGTCACTGAATCTGACGGTGGCGGGATGCTTGTTCCACTGACCTCGTGAAGTAGCAGAGGACAGGGCAGTGGACCCCACCGCAGGCCAGACAAGCTGTGCACTTGCTGCCTCTGGAGAGATGACAGTTATGTGTTTCAAAGTGACTGCACTGAGGGTGACAGGTGCTTCATAGGAGCCAGAGGCCCGGGCCTGTGCCAGCACCAAGCTCGGATGTGGATCTGCTCTCCATACGGCCTGCTAATGGCTCCCATGTGGTCTGTTTTCAGGGTTTACCTGGAGAGATTGGCTTCCCGGGCAAACCTGGGGCTCCTGGGAATCCTGTGAGTACCTAGGCCACCTGCTTACTCTCTCTCTCCCCGCATCTCCTTGGCTGCCCACCCCTCACTGCTGACTCCAAGGTTCCTCCCTGAGCCAATGGTCTCCTGGCCCAGAGCTTGGCCTGGCTCAGCCTGGCTCTCCCTCTGTGGCCGCTCCTCCTTCTCCGTTTCCTGGGACACTGTACCCTGGCCAGGTGCAGATGGGGATCACGCTCTCTAGGCCACCACCCTTGCTCTTATTACCCAGAGACAAATCTGGAATCCTCTTGCTTTGTAAAGCATGACCACTTGTCCTTAAGGGTCACCCAGAGAGTAACAGAAATATTGGGCATAGAAACTGAGAAATGGCATTGGGGGGCACGGGGCAGGACGAGGCTAGCTCTCCCCTCAGGGTCCCTGGATTGTCCCACCCGTGTTCTGCCTGCAACCTGAGAGGTCTCCAGCCTTTTGGTTGCTGGAGACCTGAGGGTGGAGTTTGGCCAGTGTTGAGTGTCACACTGGAGCTGCACAGTTAGAGGTGGATGTGTTTCCCTGCCCCAGGCCAGAGGTCAGTGCTGCACCATGGCTGAGCTCATGCCAAGGGGAGGGACACAGACTCGAGGTTGTGCTGTACGCTCAGATGAACAGATGTGAATACAGAAAGCACCCCAGGTGAACGGCACCGTCACCAACACACAGTCCTAGAACACAGTCAATGCGGTGTCACCAATAAACAGGTCCCGGAGTGACAGGGCCATGTGACAGTGTGCACACTTTCGCATCTGACTCAGTGGGCTCATCAAGGTGGTTGCATCCATGTGAACATTTGGAAGAGGGAGGGTGTTGCAGAATCAAAAAGAGACTGCAAAGAGAACTTACAATTTTATCAGGCTGATGTGTGAAGCATGGTTGGGACTCTGGTGTCTGAGCTGGGGTCAAGGGCACGCTTTCATGGATCCCTGTAGCTTCCTGGGCTGGACACGAAGGGACAGTGACACCTGTCTTGCCACATTGTAACGACAAGGGTGAATCAGCAAAGCCAGCTCGGAGCCCCTCAATGTTTTCCTCGAGGACTAAAAGACAGGAATTCGGGACTGTGCCAGGAGACTGGAAGATGAAGGGGAACATGGTGAGAAGAGAGGACGTGGTGGCAGAGACACTATGAAGAGAAGATTCGGAGTAACAGAGGACACCACGGGCTGAGCATGGACGTGGAGCCTGGGCTTTAGCTTCAACAGAGCCCTCTTCCCCACTTGCCCACCTTGCAGGTCCAGGGAGCTGGGACTGGGAGTTGGATCAGAGTTGGTCTTTGTTTCAGTCATCCAGAACACGTGAGGAAGCCCTGTCCTGGCAGAGAGCAGTCACTCCGGGGAGAGGCTTGGCTGACAAGGGAAGAGGGCCCATGCTTTGTCATCTCTGGCAACAGAATCCATTCCTGGCTTTAATGCAGTGCTTCCCTAGTGTGCCTTTTCTATCATTTAATTTCTTTCCTCTCTCGGCCCAGGGGCCACCTGGAAGGGATGGGCTGCGTGGACCACCAGGCCTGCCAGGATCCAAGGTGGGTTCTCCTGGATGTCGTGAGTTTGGGAATCAGAAAAAAGAGCCAAAGAGATTCGCAACTGTCGATGAGTTCCACGATCAGTCGATCCTGGGCCTTCGGTCAAGACCTACTTGGGTTGAAATGTTTGGATTTATGGGTTAAGATATAGGAGAGCTCTTTACTCCTAAGATAACTGGGAAGGGGGTTGGAAGGCTTGGAGACCTCAGGCTTTAAAATTGATCCGTTATAAATACTTCTTTTCCTTGTGAGGAGGAGAAACTGTGATCCCCTTACTAACATAAGAGACTTCCCTTTTAAAAACATTCCACTGGGGCTGATGATAGCAGGTGTTAAGGTAAGAAGAGTCAAGTTAAATATCTTCAAGTGGGGAAGCAAAATCCCAGTTTGATATTTTGAATGAACACTCATACAACCACGCCACATTTTTAACAAATGATCTTTATTCTTTCCTCGAAAACATGCGTAGGCTTAAGCAGGTATGTGACAGTGCTGGGAAGGCGACTATTATAGGCAACTTTGAATGTTATGGGAAAATTCATTACCTTTCTAATAAACAGACTTAAAGTTAACCGTTTCCACCGTTTCATGACAAAATGCAGAATAAGTATGAATTAACTTCATTTTGTGGGCATTTTATATAAACATTCTTCATTCTTCTCTCTGATCTTTCAAAAGATAACCAGGTACTTTGTCTTCTCAAAAACACCTTTTTTTTTTAACTCTAAATCTCTCAAGAGAAAAGGACGCTATTACTATTCAGTTACACATTTTTATTCACAATTAGAACTATTGAATATGGAATGTAGGATGTGGTTCACACAGCAGTGCTTGGTCACCATGGCTAGGCAACCACACAGGGCAGTTCAAAGTCACCCAAGAAGCAGGGTATGATGCTGCTTGCCTGTGATCCTAGCACTCTGGGAGGCTGAGGCAGGACATTTGCAATTTTGAGCCCAGGCTGGGAAATTTAGCAAGTTAACGTGACCTTGTCTCAAAATGAAAAATAAAAAAGGAGTAGAGTTGTAATTTAATGTGAAGGCACTGGGTTTAATCCTCAGTACCTCAAACAAACAAGCAAAATCTCAGAAACAGAACCCTCACTCCCAAATCTCCATGTCCCTTTCCCTTGTGCACCTATAGTGTGCAGAATCCCAGGGCCCCTCGGCTAACATTGTGTTCTGTTCCTAACAGGGAGAACCAGGAGAAAGAGGAGAAGGTGGCCTGGCTGGGAAGCCTGGACCTCGGGTAAGACATCACCTTTTCCTTTTATTTTTCTTGTCAAGTCCTGAGGATTGAACCTAGGGCCTTCACACTGAGCTATATCCCAGCCCTCATTTAAATTTCTTTTTTGAGAAAGGGTCTTCCTGAATTGCTAAATTGCTGGAGCTGGGCTCAAACTTATGATTCTCCTGCCTCTGCCTCCCCAAGTGAGAGCTGGGATTACAGGGGTGCACCACCACCCTGGGCTCCCCTTTTCTCTATTATGCTTGTTACTCTAGACAGGATATTCAGGGCTGTGTGTGAACCCAGCTCACCAAGCAGAACTGTGCCTCTGCTGGGGCCTGGAAGGAAACACATAGATATCAGGAAGGAGATGATCCACAAGGGCCTCGCAGGGCTGGGGGCTCCCGGAGGACTGGCCGCGTACATAGAGGCTGGCACCAGCAGCCAGCCCCTCCTCTATGGCAGGGCTGCAGTGGAGAGGTGTGGTTCCTGGGTGGGAGACCTGCAGTTGGCAGCGAGGCCTCCATCCCCACCAAGAGCCATGGCAGTAGGAACAAGGGCTTCCCTGCCTGGCTCTCTTCATGGGCCCCGGGGAAGTCCTTTGAGGCCCTGGCTCAACACTTCCATTGCCCTGGGCTCAGAGCGCAACAGGCAAGGGGGGGTGGGCTGGGCCATGTGTGTTTCAGGGTTATGTGTGTGCACAGTGTGTGTGTTTTGTGCATACGCCTGTGCTTCTGGAAGCTACTGGCCAGACAGGGCGGGCACGACAAGGACTGGTCCTCCTCTCTCCACCTGCCCCGCTCCCATCTCCTGGGGTCTGAACTGTTTAAGGCAGTGTCCAGCCTTCACCCCTTCCAGCCTGAGGTCAGCACTGAGTGGATGCTCAGTAAGGGAGGCAGGACTAGGTGGGTGGGCACCCACCCCCCGAGCACAGGGTCACGCACACATGATGCTGACGCCACAGAGGGGTCCAGCCCAGGTCAGCTCCTTGCTGGCCGGTGCCAGAGTTGCTGGTGGGCAAATCCCCTCTCCCTTGGGTTCCCTATTGTTTCTCTTTTTCATAAGTGACCATAATTTTTTAGAAAATTAAATCAAAATGGAGCAGAAAAGGTCGGGAATAGCTGGTGTCCGAGCCATCTCAAGGACACCCAGGGTGACCCTAAAGACAAACAAAATGTGTCACCATCCTAGCAGATTAAAAGTGACAACTTGAGCTACAAGCATTTGCACAACTCTGGTTAGAGCAGTTCTTACTGATTGTGCTTGTAAACACCAGGAATCAATGGCCGCCTTGGAGCGCATCTAGGATTTCAACACATCCTGACTCCAAATGCGTTTCCACGGTGGCTCCAGAGCTACAGGATAAAATGCATCTGACACTGAACAGCGCCTTTGGTGGCTGCCATTCCATTCCTTTTCCTTTTCCGTGTCCTTCCTTTGTCTTTCCTCTTTTCCCCTTCCCTTCCCCTTTCCTTTTCTCTCATAAATGGTAGTAATGTGGGCCTTCATTACCAGTGGAGTTTGGCACAACATTGGGGAAAGTCCCCGTCTGCATGCTGACCACATGTTCATTCCATCCTTCCTGCCTCTGTCCACTGACTCATCAGAAATCCAATTTCCTCATGGAAAGATCCACTGAAGGTTTTACTAAATAGCACACTGGGTGTCAGAGAGAAATTGCCACTCAGAAAGTTAGTGGTTTTCAGGACATGTGGCTAGTTCGAAAGTATATCCCCAAGTCTCTCTCAATGGTGATTGACAAGGGCCCAGTGGGCCCAGAACCCAGGTGCTTCGGGATGGGGATGCAGCCCTCTGGTCCTGTGTCTTGCATGTCAGCCTGCCCACAAAGTGCAAGCAGGAGCTGTCTCTAGTCTGTTTTGATTGCTGTGGTAAAATACTCTAGAAACAACAGAATATGTTGCTCACAGTCTGTAGTCTGGGAAGTCCAAGACTGAGGTGCCAGTGGCTTCAGGTTCAGGCGGGGGCTTTGCTTCATCGATGGTGCCTTCTAACTGCGTCCTCACTGGTGGGAGCCATCAGGTTCCCTCAGACCTTTTTCATAAGGGAATTAATCCCATCTACGAAGGCCCTGCCAAATCACCTCCCAGAAGCCCCGCCTCTTGATTTTACTGCTCTGAAAATTATGTTTCAACCCAAGAGGTTTTGAGAGAGAGAAAGAGATGAAGGTAGGGGATGGGAAGGGGATGTAAGAGAATTAAGATGTATTATGTACAGGCACCACTTCTCCATGACAAATGCAATCATTGTGTATTGCAAACATGTACTACTAAAAATGAAAAGAAAACAAAAGCATTCTGGGGGGAACAGTGCGGCCACAGTAGGAACCTAATGGGTGAGAATGAAACTTCCAAGAAAGAAGAGCCATTGTGTGCCCCTGGGAAGCAGGCATTCTAATGTAAGCTTGGTGTTTAACAGGAAGTCTGCCTGTGATTTACTGTTATCCACCAGGGGAGAGGACGTATAAAATGCTTACCTCCTCGGGCAGCCTGTGTTTATGAAAAGATACTGAAGAGCAGTCGGTTCATGTGGGACCCCAGTCATGTAGACAAGACCTTCAGCAGCTTCCCCTTCCTTGTTGGAACCAGCATGGGATCTATGTCACCCTAATACGACTCAAAACTCAGAGGTAGATCTAGGACTCAGAGACTTTGGTTCCTTGTTATTTGGATTATGCAAGTTTAGGCTCCAGATGTATGGACTCACTTTGATTAAACTGTGGCAGGGCAATTTCAGGAATTGTTTCTTCGAACTAAAGCAAGACATGGTATGGGGAAGCATGGAAGCCCTCTCTCCAGAAATCCTGAACACTTGGGTTCGCACAGCTCCTGGCCCTTGGGCCTTTAACCGAGCTCCACATTTGAGAATTAGGGTTGTGCTGCCAGGTTCTGTGGATGTCTGAGCCCAACTAGGGCGTAAAGCTGTGCCTGAAACGTGCATGGAAGATAACGGCGTGTCTGATGTTCTCTCTCTAGGGTGAAGTTGGGGAGCAAGGCCTCGCAGGCCAGTCTGGAGACAAGGTCTGATCGTTCCTGCTTTCACTCAAACATTTCATTCTTCATTTAATTGATTCATTCATTGTTCTGTCATAGGTCTTATATAAATTCTTCATGTGCCAAGGGGAATTAGTCATGTCTTTTGAGGACTCACTATGTTCATTTCATGCATTTGTTTATGTATTCAGTAATTCCAAGCATGTTCAGTGTATTCATGGCTATGTTGGGTATTGAGGTCACAGACACAAACCAAGACAAACTGGACACTGGGGAACAACTGAACAGGTCTAATGCATGGTGACATGCAGTGTCAGTGAGGGACATGAGACAAGGCTTTTCAGGCTTAGGGAATGTCAGGAAAGACGGTGAAGAGTTATGTTTTAGTCACTTTTTTGTCCATGGGACAAAATACCTGACGCCTACAGCTTAAAGGAGGAGAGATTTATTTTGACTCATATTTCAGTCCATGGATTGGCCTGTTTCAATGCAGGACAGCATGGCAGAGGGGCCTGGTGGAGGGAAAGCTGCCTACTTCATGGCAGCCAGGAAGGAGAGAGAGAAGGCCAATGGGGCAGGAGATACATCTTATCAGGTCACTTTACAGTGGCCCACCTTTGCCAACCAGGCCCCACCTGCTAACATCACATTTAGCTATAGTGGCTCCATGACTCAATCACCTTTCAAAAGCCCCATCTTTGAGTGTATGAGGCTTTGAGGGGACATCCAGATATAAACTCTAAGGTGACATTTTGGTTGAGTGAGTCTTAAAAGACCAAAAGAATTAGACACTCAGAGAGTTGGAACAAGGTTCCTAGGAGAAGAAATAGCTCAAGTAGGAAGGAGCTGTAGAATCCTAAATCTATACATTGTATAGATTTCCCCTTTTTTCACAGCTCTGCTTTCTATGTGACCTCCACTAAGCCCAAAAGTTTCTAGGGATGTGGGAGGAATGAAAAAGTGCATTGCCCACAGCCTGTTCCATTAGAGAGCATCCCCCCCAACAGGTGCCTCATTGACCGAGCCGCCATTTTGTTTTCACAGGGAGAAACTGGCCTCCCAGGTGCTCCAGGGCTCCCAGGTGTTCGAGGAGAGAAGGGAGACCAGGTAAGTGTAGTGGCCTCTTGCCTCTGAGGCCATCTGGCTGGTCCCCATGGGAAGCAAACCCTCTGGTGTCTTACTCCCTTGAGGCGAGATGAATAGAGTAGTTCTCATGTTGGTGGAAGAGAAATGAGGTGGGAGAAGACACTATCAGAGTCCATGAGCAGGACTAAAGGATTGTGATAGCTGTGGAAAGGGCAGAGCATCTTCAGATTGAATTGATGAGAATGAGGATGGGAGGCATTTCCACAGGGGCCAAGTAGAGAGCCTGGTGACAGAGAGAGAGAGAGAGAGAGAGAGAAAGAGGGAGGGAGGAGAGAGATCCCAAGGTCATACTGCTTTTATCTGGAAGAGGAAGGATTAAACTTAGCTTGATTCTAATGTTTTCTAATTACGTCTCTCCGTCTAGGGAGAAAAAGGTGGACTGGGACTTCCTGGACTGAAAGGTGACCGAGGTGAAAAGGTAGGAGCTGCTTATTCTCATCCTGATCATTCATTATCACTGGCTGCTGTCTCCTGAAGAGGTATTTTGTGTGTGTGTGTGTGTGTGTGTGTGTGTGTGTGTGTGTGTGTAATGTATTTTCATGATTCAAAAATACATTTTTGAGGAACAATAAGTTAGACGTAAACCTTATTTGCAATTTTTAGGAAACTTGAAACTTTTTTAGGAAACCTGATTCTATCTCTAACAGAATCAGAGATGATACATCCATCCAAGGATCCACCCACCCTTCCTTTGTGCCTGTAGTGCTTGAGAATTGCTTGAACATTCGTGACAGGCCAGGTGCTGAGTTTGGCTGGCTTAGTTTTAGACTTTTGTTCTGAATCTAGTACAATTTTAGTAAAAGTGGGTAAGCTCATGTTGTTGAGGGCAGAGGAGGCTCAAAGAGGGAGAAGGATTTGCCATGAAGCAAACCCCTTGTGGTCTGGTTCTTGATTCTTTCCTGTACATCATACATGACCAAGCCTGTCAGTGCTTGTGGTGTTGGCCCTAGGGCTAGCTTCAGAGTCAGAGCAGAGTCTGTCTCAGTCAAGGGACATAATTGCCTTTGCTGAGCCTACTGTGTGCTCTGCAATGCTCAACAGGTGTCTTGGGCATTGTTTTCCCAGCACTCTTTGCAGAAGACACTGTATCTGTCAGAGCAACACCCTCCAAATGGATGGCTAGAGAGAGAGGACTAACATATGTCTGGATAATGCTAAGGGAAATCAATCAGATGTGGTGACTCACTCCAGGGAAAAAAATAGCAAGAGACCGGAAAGGGCAGGAAGAGGGAGCCTGTGGACATGGAAGAAGGAGCCTGACAGTCATCCTGGCTCAGGGCTGGGAAATTGACATGGCGGGGCTGAGTCCTGGTGCCTTCAGCCTCGCACCCTGTCCTTCCCCTTCCTCCTGATCTCCTGGAAAACCACTGCATGCTGGAGGGCAAGGTCAGTGAAATCATTGGTGTCACCTCCTGGGACAGCAGGCACAGAGGAGAAAAGTGCAGAGGTGGACATGAGGTGACAAAGAGAAAATAAGGTAGCAGGGCAGACCCACTTGCCAGGCGAACTTCATCTGTTTGCCTTGTGCCAAAGTCCCACAGAAAACTATGGGCGTGGAAAACATGGGTTTTACACACTCACTTTGGCCAGGGACTTAGAGCTACAGTCACCTGAATTCCTGAGGGTCACTTGCCTGAGGTGTATGGATTTGTCATGGGAGCCTTTAGACTGGAGTCAGTATGCAGACCCACACCAGAGTTTGTTAGACTTTGTGGAAAGGGAAGCCACTGATTGGTTGTCATGTAAACGAGGCTGCTGGTGAAGTTAAAGGTGCATGAGCTGTTTGTTTCTGTCTTACCCGCTGGGACGGCCTGCGTCCAAGTGAACCTTTGCCAGCTTGGCAGGTGCGGAAGGCAGAGTTTCAGTATGATTGGTCCTTCAGCACATTGGACTTTATTGCAATTTCCATATCTTACTGGTAATCAGTGAGCTATAAGGTCATTTCCATTTAAATCCCCTTTGTACATGTCTTGGTTACTTTTCTCATTTCTGAGATCAAAATACCCTAACACCCAAAATTAAAGGAGGAAAGTTTTATTTCAGCTCACTGTTTGTAGAGGTTTCAGTCCATAATCAGCTGGCTCCCAGGCAGGGTGGCAGGGCAGAGGGGCATCATGGAGCAGGCTGGAAGCAGCAGCAGACAAGCAGCAGCAGCTACAGTAGCAGCAGCCTCTCTTCCTTTATATTCCATCCATGCTGTAAGCCTATTGACTGATTCCACCCACATCCAGGGTGGGGCTTTTCTTATCCACCCCTTTAATGCCAGTATCACATGCTTAATCCACATTCACACTCCCTAAGTCCAATCACCTTCACAAGTCCCCACCTATGACTGCATGAGGCTTTGGGAGACATCTAGATATGAGCCATAATAGTTTGGGTGAAAGAGCTAAAGTACAGAGAGCTGTGGTGACTCACCCTGACTCACAGAACAAAAGGGTGGGTAGGAGGCCAGGTAGCCAGGCTGTGGAGCAGCTGGTTTCAGCCACAGTGCCCCTGTCCATCCAACTAGAATCTGACCTTGAGGGCTGCATCCATAACCCCACCAGCTCAGGACAGCCACGGATGTCTTCACTGATACTCACTCTTTAGCAGACTGCAGATCATTTGCTCTCTTCTGGGCCAGCACTAATGAAATGACAGTGAGCAAGACGTGTTCCAGGCCCCCAAAATCTTAGACTCTGAAGGGGTGGACACGGAATGAGTTGAGAATTCTACCGTGAACAAATGCTGTCCAAGCTGCTATTCCTAACTGCCTCATGTTCAGCTCCTGATAACATTCTGCATACCCTGAATCCCAGAGCAACTTTATAAACACATAAACGCACACACACACACACACACACACAATCACATACTCAGGACCTGCCTATGTGATTGTGTGTGTTTGCCTGCAGTGTAGCAGAAAGAGCACTGTTCTGGTTATCGCAAAGGTGGCCTAGGTCACCATCCTTGCTCTGTCTGCTGTATGTCTTATAAATCTAATATTAGCTTTCCCTCTGCTGGGACAAAATACCTGACACCTGCAACTTGAAGAAGAGGTTTATTTGGCTCATGATTCTGAGAGTTCAGTCCATGGTTGGCTGGTTCCAAGGCAGAAGTATCATGGCAGAGAGGCATTGCAGAGGTAAACTTCTCAACTCATGGTGGCCAGAGGCATAGCAAAGAAGAAGAGTGCCCGCCAGAGGGGAAGAGGCTAGGAATTAGATATATACTCCAAGCTCACGCCTCTGTGCCTCACCCACACACCCAGAAGTGTGTGTTACTAATCCCCTAGGCCAGTGGTGATGAATCTATGGCACATATGCTGCTGCTGGCTGTTAGTTATCATTGAAAGCTCTGAAAGGTTTGCCATCACTGCCCTAGGCAGTCAAGTTAAGCTTAATCGTCATAGACTGTCTATGCTCTGGTTGCCAACCTGGAAATGTCCCATAGGCACCTCCTTCTGAGTTCTTCATAGATTCTGTGCCAGATATCCCTAAGCACTGTCCACATAAAGCCCTAGCTAACACTTAGGATGGTTCTGGGATGAGCCACTGTGGTCAACAGTGCCCCATTTCAGGAATGTCAAAACAGAGGCCAAGAAAAGCTCAATTGCTTGTCTAGGGCTGTATGCAGAATTAGAATCTGAACCCTTCCAGTGTCGACCTGGGGCCCTGGCTCTGCCATTCACTGTGCTGCACACTAGGTCTGACGCTGGAGGCCTGAGGACTGTGATACCCACACCCAAAGAGACTTGCATTCAGCCTCCTCCTTCCAGCTGTTTGTTCTCCCAAGTTTGCACTTTCTCTGCTCCAACTTCTGGTCTCCTTCCTCCCCTTCCCTTCTGTAGCTTCAGGAATGCTGACCCGCATGAGCCGCACCCAGACCTGCTGCTTTGGTGGCCTTCTCAAAAATGCAATTTCCATTTGATAAACTCATTTCCAGAATGTAAGCCTTAGGAAGACCACAGAGCTCCACTGTTCCCTTCAGCAGAATCACACTCAGGCTTCCAAAGAGTTTGGATCACCTCTGTGTGCCTTCAGAGATTGGTGATAATAGGCAATTTTTGACAAAGATTCAAAATAAGACGTGAAGATACTACTCCCCCTTTCTGATTGTGCCTTACACATTCCCGCTTCTGCCTTCCCCTCCACTGGTTGCACTCTAGTTTTTCACCCCACAGCCTGGACTTGGAAAGTGGAGATGGCCCTGCTCCTTCTCATCAGGGCAACCGAGAACAAAACACAGAGAAGCAGGGTTGGAACCCAGGCCCATCAAATTCACCCCAAATGCACAGGTCCTCCAATGTCTTTCTCAAAATCAGAGAGCCCTTGGCTGCCCCACGCTGCACACTGTGCCTCTGCTCCCTGCATCTCTGAGGACACATGCAGAGGCTCTTCATGTCTCTGTCTTGCCATGCTCCACCTACTCACACCTATTTATTCATGTGCTCCACTAGGAAACATTCAGCTCTTCAGCTCTGATATTGAGCTTGTTAATGGTGCAGAGGGGGATGTAGATGAGATTAGCTCTGGAGGGCGAGTCCAACTATATCAGGATGAAGATCAGTAAAATCAGACAACGCATGGTGAGCTAAGAAAGTGCTTTTCTTCCTGAAGCTTCTAGAAATTCAGTCTGGGTTAAGAGCATGTTTTTTGAGTTTAAAACCTGGCTCAGCCATTGGCTAGTAGTGTGCATTTGGGTAGGTTGTGACTTTTATGCCTCAGTTACTTCATCCATGAAATGGGAGTACGTAAATGCCTTATAAGCATGTCTGTGAAGTTTAAGTGAGTTCATACATAAATGAGCACATGGAATTAAACACTATGTAACAAGAGAAATAATAGTAGAAACCTTTTTCATTATTGTATTATTGCTGTTTGCTAAGAATGGCCTTGTCCCTTGCTAAGTTTGTCCATCTAATAACCAGATGTAGAAGGGCTGCCATAGGCCTGGTTCTGGGCTGGTTCCAAGATCAGCTGGAGTTCACACCCTGTCTCCTGGCCCCACACCCTGTCTCCTGGCCCCACATAGCCCCTGTCATGTGACTGTCACGTGACACCACATTTACTCACTTCACTGTTGCTGCCCTTTCCCATGCACTGGACGGCTCAATGACCCCACTTCCTCAGGGTGAAGGTGACGTCAAACTCCTTATCATCTCTACTCCACCAGAGGCTGTGAGTTGTCTGCGTTATTATCTTTATGGTGTGCAAAGAAGAAACAAAACAAAGAGGTGAACTCACTCGTGAAATGGCAGAGTTGGGTTTTGAAATCAGGTGCTTTGGCTCCCAACCTCGATTTGTTTACAGGAGTAATGCTGCTCACTTTGAGAAATGTCAGCTTCTTTCCAGAGTATGGGGCAGGCAGGACTGGGCACCTGTATGGAAGCTGGACTCTGTGGCCATCGCGCTTAAGGGCACATGTGGGAATGTTTTCTGTCGCACATCGGACACTGGCTGTGCTTGCAACCCGAGGGAAAGCTCTTCGTGTCATTGAGAGGGAGCTGCACAATGGATAACTTCATTACCATACACTTAGTGGGAGGACAGATAGTGATTGAAATGGTTTGTAGCTAAACAGATCAATGCAGATACTTCTCAAAGGTACTCTTTATACATCTGAAATGTTTAATGATTTATAGTGGATGCATGTTTTTGTCTGCCTGTCTGTTTGTCTACCTACTGCTGCATGTGTGGTGAGTGCGTTCCTATTGCTTAGGGAAAAGTGGCCTTATCAGACCTGTCCCAGCACAGGTGGGGTTGGCAAGGAAATTAATGGTTATTTATTTTTCCCGTCTCCATCTAGGGTGAAGCTGGTCCAGCAGGCCCCCCTGGGCTACCTGGAACTGTGAGTTACTCAGCTTCTACTCCTTTCTCCTTCTCTAAATTCCCAAGGAACTGGGATCCCCCCTTACACACTCACCAGTTAGTTATAAGCTCTCCCTGTTAGAGGTTTCCAGTAGTTAGATCCACTTGTAGGTCACAAACACCCCCAAATATGGAAGCTTCTCTGAGAACTACCCTCTGGTAACCGATCCGCTTTATTCACAAAAGTACAGTGACTCTAATCAGAGCATATGCTGAATACTGAGAATACAAATTCACCTGTCCCATATGGGGAAACTGAGGTCCAGAAACAAGAAGCTCCACGAGCAGAGTAAGACTATAGTACATGGCCAAAGAGCAGGGCTCCTCTTCCACTGTGTGCAGGTATCAGGCTGGCACCGTGAGTCTCTGCTGAGTATCAGCAAGAGCAAGGGGTAGGAAATAGGGCAGAAGAAACTGACTCTCAGCTCTGCCATTCACCAGTAGTGGTCTCAGATATGTTATTTACTTCCCTAAAAAGTAAGTTTTCTCATCTGCCAGAAAAAAATATTATACTCAGCTCTCTTATACATTCATATGAAAATGAACTGAAATAATGCAAAGTATTTAGTAGATTTCCTGGTACATTATAAATACTAAACAACTGCTATTAATATTATTTGTCTTACTCTCAAGAATTCTGTAACGGGGCTATGTTCAGATTTTTAAAAATGTAATGTTTTGCCTAGTTTTGAAATGCTCTGCTTTGAGCATTGGTTTCAGGGCTTGATGTGCTGGTCCCGAATGGGAGAATACATCAGGGTATTGGTGTATTTGGCTCCTGAGCAAAGCAGGGCACAGCCTTGCTGTGGCTGGCAGGAGAGGAGACAGCGTGGACACTTGGAAAGCCTGTTTGCAATGTGGCAAATCATCTCCTCTGCAGCTTTTATCAAAGTTAAATCATTACTCTATATTCCTGCATGCCTGCCCTGTCAGAATGAGACTTAATCTTTCCACAAAAATGTTGGAAGAATCTTAGCATCATAAAAGAACAGAACTGGAAATAGTTCCATTGAGGTGTCACTTATCATGATGAAAAATTATGGAAAAAGTTCACATGACTATAAGCATAGAATTTACTAAATGATAGAATAGCTGTATCACAAAATTCTGTTTTATAAAGGAATACACATACTATAGATAGTCTTGAAAAGATATATTTTCTTTTTTTTTTTTGGTACTGGGGATCAAACTCGGAACCTTGTGCTTGCAAGGCAGGGGCCAGAACCACTGAGCTAAATCCCTGGCCCTTGAAAAGATAGAAATATACAAATTGAGCAGTGCAAGACTAAGTTGAGAGATCGATTTGCAGGTTTCTATGGACTCAGAGATTAAGACGCAGCGTCACAGCCCACCTTGTGAGTGTCAGTCTCTGATCCCGCATTCCCCATTTCTCTGATTTTCATTTCAGACTTCCCCGTTCACACCACACCCAAGAATGCCTGTAAGTATCGAGGCACCCTGGTACAGCTGGTGCCCTCAGCCTGGGGGGATGTGTGACCTGGGTGAGGACGCTGGCTGGCTGGGTCTGATTCTCAGCCCCTCCTGCCAGTCAGCCCGGCAGGCAGCTTGGATTCCAGGTGGGAACCACCTTCTGCTAGGCAGGACATTCCAGGGAATTGCCTAGCGGTCAGGGGCAAAGGAAGGCCACATTTCTCTTGGGTAAAGTTGATTCTTTAGCACTCAGAGCTGCTGCTGGTTTTAAGATCTGAGATGACAGAATGTGAAAGAGTCAGAAGGAGCTGGGCATGGTGGTGCCTGCCTGTAATCCCAGCAGTCTGGTATGCTGAGGTGGGAGGATGGCATGTGTTAGCCTAGCTTGAGCAACTCAGTGAGCTCCTGTTTCAAAATGAAATAAAAAAGGACTGGAGATGCAGTTCAGTGTGCAGGACTTGGGTTCAAATCTCAGCATCTCTCACTCTCTCTCTCTCTCTCTCTCTCTCTCTCACACACACACACACACACACACACACACACACTAAGATCCAAAGATTGAGAGGGAGGCAGAGATGGTCTGTGAGTGGTGGGAGTGAAGGAGACCAGGCCTCTAGGGGACCCTGGTCTGAGGGAGGCTGCTTGGCAAATGGTGTTGGCCCAGCATGGCCCTGTACCCTCAGGGTGTGGCAGATGGAAGGGAAGCTGAGCTGAGGTCTCTGGTAGTAGAAGCCGCAGTACAGAAAAATTAAAGACATCACCACAGCCTGGCCTGCAGGAACCTTTCATTCCTCTTTCTGTGAATGGCTCTTCTGTAAGGATCTCTTCACGTCGGTTGTGGCACTGAGGCTACAACATGTGCCCCTGTTTCCTGTGTGGCTCATCTGTCATTAGGGTGTGACCTGCAGCTCCCAGACACGCTCCAGCAGAGAGGCTGGGACGAGGAGCTCTAAACTCCAGCAGCTGCTGCCTCCTCTGTGTCAGTCATAAGAAGATACAGCTTCAAAAGCTGAAAAGAGCTTTGTCATTGACGGAAAAGAACAGAGCAGGTAGAGAGATGGAGCCGGTCACCAGAATCTCCTTTGTAGAAGGAGAAGCGTTTTGAGGTCCAGAGGTGCAACAGGAAGGAAGCAGCTGTGGGGGGGCTCTCTGGGCAGCGTGGACCTCAGAGCAGCTGGGGGAGGCCTCTGTTGGCCATAGTGCGCTGGCTGGAGGGACATTGCCACCTGTTGCTGGGTTTCCGGGTTAGTCCCATGTGGAGGCAGGTTTCTTATCCCACATCCCCCTCTCCAGGATGCTTCTGTCTTTGTCTTGCTTCTCTGTCCCCTGTCATTTTGGGGTCTCTTCGCTCCTGCAGGTCCACCCTGAGGCTCCTGAGATTAGAACTATCCTACACTTCCTGTCTCTCCCTGAAGGAGTTGCTCCATAAAAATACAATTTCCAGACTATTCCACCGGGAAGGCCTGTAAAGAGGGGAATGCAGGAGGGGCTGCCCTTCACTTCTCTTTGAATGTCAGTGGTGACATCTTTCTTGAACAATGCAGTTCTGTGGGAGACAGGAAACTACTTTCTGAATCAAAGCAAGGAAATTGTGTCTAAAGAAAAAAAGTTTCCTTGTGGACAATTGCAGGACTCTCTGGGCCTGGTTGCATCAGCATGGCGACTTTGGTTTGCATTGATGGGTTTGGAAAGTGCTGTTCTGTCAGGCTCCCCCTGCTCTCCCCAGGTGCCCACCTTTGAGTCTCTGCAGTACAGAAAGAGGCAAGACTTAGAGGGACACGAAGTTTCCTGTACAACTAAGAGACTGGAAGAGGGAATGCCCCAGCTCCCGTGACCCCTTGTGCAGCATGGAGGAGGCCCATGGGGGTGGCTCATGGGCATGCCCATGCCCAGTGAGTAGGACTCTTAGGGGATGTGGAGACCCCTCAGGTCTGCAGGTGTCACACTGGGGAGAGAAACCGTCTTTAGCTGGAGGAATGGGACAGACAAGCGGCCACAGCCACGGGGATATTACACTGCAGAACACAAGCAGGGTTTCAAGCTGGAAGTCAGTAGGTGACTCAGAAGTTGCATCTCAGGAAGGGTCTGGGGCAGCCTGAACCCATTCATCACCCCACAGTGGATCTTCCATGATGTCCCTGGCAGTGCCTGGCATCTGCTGTGAGGATTCTGAATCCCATAAATGGGGGCTGGCCTGATAACATCACCTGGGGGCAGAGGCAGGAGAAGCCAGCAAGGCTCCTGAATTCAGAAACTATTGAAAGAGTGCCCACCGTGTCCCCGCAGTGAGGTGCTGCCTCTTGACTCCCAGGGCTCGGGGCAGGACTGCCTTGAGCATCTTTCCTGGGAGTCCTCGGGGTTCCCAAGGTCCCACACTTGTCTTCCTACAGTCCCCTCCCCCTACCTTCTTCTACTGTGTCACCCGAAACTGTCCCCAGAGCCCTTTTGTCTTTACGGGTTGCATTACTCATAACTGGAGGGCCAGGCAGAGTTTCACAGATCTTCACCGCAGGAAATACTCTAGCACGGAAGCATGCTGAAAAGCAGGGCATTGTTGTCCCTGGTGCACAGGCTTGCCATGTCCTTCTGGGCTGCTTGGCCATGGAGATTCTAGAAGGAATGAGGCGGCCTCTGTTGAAGTCCCCTCTCTGTCAAGCTCTGAGAGACACTTGGCAAAGGTAATCTCATTTAACCTAGGAGGTTATCTCTCTGTAAAGTGGACTGTGGAGACCCCACTCTGTAGATGATGTTGACAGAAGGAGAACACCAGCCTGAGGTCGTGCAGGTGCCAACAGCAGGGTCTAAGAGAGGCTTGGGAGGGGAGGCAGGCTTGACCTGCTATGGCAAGATCCCAAACATTTCCTGGGGCCTGGCAGAGAAATCGGTGTGAAACCACCAATGTGTAAGACTGGTTTCCCTCACTAAGTCTTAGAGGCAGCTCACCTCAGGCTCTCTAGGTGTCTCTCTCTAGAGTCTGCTTTCAGGTATATCCAGGGTCTTCCCCAGACTTGCAGTTCTCCAAAGCCGTTGCGCACACACTGCTACCTATGCAGAATTCTGTTCTCCATTCAGGCACGTTCCTATCCCATTTCTTCTGCAGTCTCTCTGTATAAGTCCCTGAACAGGCCAGAGCAATTTTGGACAATGCTGGGCCTGCCCCTTGGGGTGGGCCGTTCCACCCAGCCTTTCTGGATGCTATGCTGTGGCTGTCAGCTGTTGTCCTGCAGAGCCCCACAGATCTACCCAGTCTCCCATGGCAGCTCTTCACTTTACCATTGACTCCCTCCTTCTGTGAGACAAAGACAGCCTGTGTGTCCTCCAGACATGGAAGCTGAAGTCAGCAGGTCATCGTGGGTGACTAATGGCCTGAGGTTATATTACCAATGAAGCACAGTCAAGACCTCAAGCAGTCTGTTATTGCTGTTATTGCTTAAGGTTCAGGCTATTTTCACCATAGCCACCTGTCTCTGCTGCTCTTTTGCAAGAAGGTTGGCCCTTCAACCTTCCAAAGACAGACACCTGAGCCCCTGAGGCCTGTCCTTGATGAAGGACTGTAGGATGGGGGTCTCCTGCTCCTCTTCCTAGGAGGTGTGTTGGGAGTCCCAGGTTCGGCAGCCTCAGGGAGTGGGAGGGTCCAGTCCCCCATCCCCCAGTGGATGATTCTGGCCTGGGCACATCCAGCAATTGCCTTTCCAGTCTGTCTGATCTCCTCTTCAGCCAAACTTAGACATGCTGCTCTCACCACCAGAGTCTAGTGTTCAATCCCAGTCAGTTCCCAGAGGTCTGATTCCTTTCAGCAAAGCAAGCTCTCCACATCTCCATCCCGAAAGGGGGTGTGAGAGACACCTCCTTCTCTCAGCATTGTTCCATCTTTATTAATTGATGAGCTGGAGGGGACATGGGTTAAACCACACAAATGTAAAGCTACAACCTTAGTGCGTGCCCTAGAGGACAGACTCTGGATTCCAAGAGTCCCTAACAGAAGGATTTGGTGTGCGAGCTTCCAGTTTCTGCCCTTAGATCTGAAAGATCAGTCAGAGAGGTCAGGCTCTCAGGCCAGTGTGGGAAAGGCCATCTCTGGCCAGCAGGCACTGCCTCTGGGGAGTGGCGTTCACCCACCAGGTACATCCCTAGGACTGAGGTGGCTTTTGTGCCACAGTTGAGGGCCAGGCACATGTGCCATAGGAGGGGAACTTGACTCTCAAGTCAGTGTGACTGTACCCTGTGCTTCTACCCAGCAGGGAGAACAAGGGCCTAAAGGACAGAAGGGCGACCCAGGAGTGCCCGGGGAACTGGTGAGTACTCACCCAAGGCTGCTCCCCTCAGCTCCCCTGTGCACCAGGCCTCCGGAGACCAGGCCTTCAGGGGACGGCTACCTCAGGCCTGCCCTGCGGAGTCCAGCATCCAACCCCGAAGCCCTGGTGAACTCAGTGTGACCCTGGTCGCAGCCCCTTAGGGGACCTCAAATTGTACCCACTGCACTACTGTGCCCCACCCCCTCTCCCGAGAACTAGGGTGCTGAACTCTTCACAGATGGGTTGTTTCATTGCAGGGCCCTCCTGGAGAACTAGGTCCTCGGGGACCCACCGGACCTCCGGTAAGATAGCTACCTCCACCTGTCGCTTCAGAGTCCACTTACATGTCTCACCCCTAAGCTGTCACACCTGGCATTTCGGAAGTCCTCGCCAGGGGGTGCTGTGACAAGGTCCAGGGGTGAGATCATCCCAGAGCCCCAGGGCGCCATCACCTTGCAGATTGTCCCGGAATGCAGGGGCCTTGCTTCTGGAAAGCTGGCTGTTCCTACCCTGCCACTAAAGGCTGGCCATGTCCCTGCAAGGGCTGCCTTAGATACAGTGGGAGCTGGAGACCGCTGCACCCAGTAGTCAGGATGGCTCTGGGGTCCCAAAGCGTTTTTTCAGATGCAGAAAATCCGCTTCCCTCCCCAGCTTTGACTGGCTCCCCTGCCTTAAGCGGTGCCCGAGTCACGTTAGCATTTTGATGTTATTATTTTTCCCAGTTTTGGCATCTTCCCTGTGTCCCTTCAGGACAGGGCTCTGGCCCTCTGGGGGCTCAGCACTGTGAGAAGGGGCTTATGGGAAGGACTTGTCTGCCTGGAATCCCAGAGTCCCCTGGCCATGCCAGTGGTGCCCATGCAGCACATTCGTGCTGTGGGCCAGGGAATAGTAGTTTCCTGTCCCTTTCAGGCCTTCTCCAGTTTCTTTCTTTGGTGAGGATCAACTGATTCCCATGAGCCAGGTTTTTCAGAGACTTTACTGGGTCTCTGACCACTTACATCTCCCCTTTGTTTCCTGTCCAGGGTACCAAAGGACAAGATGGTGCCCATGGGGCTCCTGGAGTGGCAGGAAACCCCGTAAGTCCTATGTCCTCCTGCCTTGTTGCGAAACCACAGGAGGGAAATAGGGCCAAGAGTCTGCCCCGTGACTCCGGGGTCTGGGCTAGCACAAGCACAGGGATGCTTCTGGCCTCCATGGCATTGGCCACATGAGCAACCCAGGAGCGCAGTCTCCTTCCATAAGCACATGGAGGATACACACAGATGATCTACTCACATAGGAGTTGTTACTCTGAGCAGTGTGCTTGTGTGTGCATCCTCTGAGGTCTCCTGCTGCTGCTGCTGGCTCTCCCATGCCCAAGGCCAGGGTCCAGAATCTGGGGTGTGTCTGACGTAAAAGGGGCTGAGTAGAGCTCCGTGGTATGGCATAGAGTTTGGGCAGGTCCCTCATGCTGATGGGAAGCTGGACAAGGCTGTCGCCTTTCAGGAATGGTGGCGGTAGGAAGAGGAGCAGGTTGTTTCTTGTCTGCTCCTGGGACCATAGGCCAGATGTGCCAGCTGGAACACACTCATGTGTCCCGGCCACCATGACTGTGACCCAGTGGGGAGGGGTCAGCCAAGGGTCGTGAGCAGGGTCAGATGCCATGGAGGGGGCAGAAGGCAGCTTCTCCCTGAAGTGGACAGAGCCACAGACTGAGCTCAGCTGGGGAAAAATGGAAGCTGTGTAGGCAAGGAGCCTGGGAACAGAGTGAGCTCTCTGACTTCCTACCCTCGAGATGCCTGTGATCTTGTGGCAGTGAGGTAAAAGCCTAGAAGAAACACAAGCAGCATCCAATTTTTGGAGAGTTCCCACTTGCCCACTTCCACAGCACTGACCTACCTGGAATGTCTCATCCACATCTCATGGACTCCTGGCCCAGTCATCAAGTCCTAGTTCTTACCCACTTTCTCTGAGAAGCTGATCCTCTAGGCAGAGCGAAGGTGTGCATGCGTGCACACACACACCCCTCCCCCATGTCCTTTCCCTGTGAATGTTCCTCAGCATCTTCAGCACATCTACACTAAAAGCAGATATGCCCTGGTCCATTCAGATTTGTGATCACCACGAAGCTGCAGTTGATCCCGAGCCCTGGTCAGCGCTCTGCACACCCTCCAGGAATGCCCTTTCCTGGTCTGTGTGGGCAGCCACCACCAACCACAAAGTGTTTCTTTCATCCCAGGCTTGTCCGTGCCCTCCAGCCGACCTTCTTTGCTGCACTGAAGACTTTTCTCTGCAGCTCAACTCTGAGTGGTTCCTTCCCTCTCCAGTGTTTCTCTCCCTCATGCTTAGCATTAAGGCCAAACCTCCGCCAAAGTTCTCATACTGGGCCTAAGAAACTGCCAGAGCCCTGGCCTCTTGTCTCCCCACTCTGAGCCTGAAGCCCACTCACTTCGGGCTTGCCTGGGTAGGGTGTCACAACACTCCAAAGGCGAAGGTTCCTAGGACTCCTACAGTATTGCACACTGGAGGAATTCCAAGCAGTCACAGAAAACAGGCTGGGGCAATGGCCAGGATACATATTTGTAGTTCATCCTTTGTCCTTTCTGAACTGCTTCTGTCTCTGCCTAGGGCACTCCTGGACCTGCAGGGCTCCCTGGTCCCGGTGGCCTCCCGGGAAGCATGGTGAGTAATTGGGAGCACTGGCTGTGGACCTGCCTGGCTGTCCACTAAGTTAGCTTAGTTATCCTCCAGGAGACTCAGGCACAGGCCTTCTTACCCCATCCCTAGGTGGGGATACCAATGTCCTGACAAACTTACAGAGAAAGTTAGCAGACATGAGTCCCTAGGTAACACTTCACCTCTCCAGGTAGTGAATGGAATTCCCATTGCAAACGGGCTGCGCTTTTCCCTGATGCTGGAATCAACATCGTAGTTTGTCTTAGAAGAAACAGAATTTAAAGAAGTCACAGTTCCCCTGACTGGCTTTTAGGACACCAGGATTCCAAGGGCGGCTCTTCCACCGACTTGTATAAGGCCTGACAAGGTGCTCATGTACGCCTCAGCAGCAGGTGGGGCTGCCCCCCACAAAAATCCCACCTCACCTGTCCTGCTGAGATCTCACATCTGAGAGCGTGCCTCTGGTGTGGAATCCCCACGTGTCTGCTAATGGACTAGCTTTATGATTCACCATAAAAATTGATTTAGACTTTAAAGTCGTTCAATAAAACACACGCCAACATCTGGTCAAGGACTACGGAGAAGTTGTCCCCCATGATACATTTAGGTCTGTCCTGTACATTCATCAGCCTTTGCAGGTTATAATCCTAATGGCTTAGAGGACAAATACTGGGCAGCTACATGTTCTGGGCACCATTCTTGCTGCCTTACTTGAGTTAAGTCATTTCCTATGACCCTAACACTTAACTTTAGGTGAACATATATTTGACTCAATTTTACACAGGTGGAAGCTGAAGCACAAGGAGACTGAATCAGGGACTGAGTGGTTGCAGTAGAAGCTACTGACACCATGCCCGTATAGCCTCATCTTGCCACGGGGCACGTGCAGCCTTCCTAGCCCTGAGGGTCTCCCCTGGCCATTAGAGAGCACAGTGTCCAGCTGCATATGAGTGGCCAATAGCACCGCCATCAGGAGCCTGAGATCATGGTGCCTTCAGGTGGGACTGCCCTGTGGTGTGTCCCAGGTGGGCTCCCAGAGTCCATAGCAACAATGTGTTTCTAGCTGCTCATCCTCCTCTTTCTCATCTCCCTCTTGGGGGATGCTGGGAAAGCTTGCCCTTGAGATTTGTCTCAAAATAAACTTGTGGGGACTCTGTTGACACTGCTGGAGCAGGGCTTTGGCACTGAGCCTGTTTTCTTTGAGTCATCTGCATCCTCCCTGGTGTCCTGTCTGTGAGGTCCTGCCCTCCACAGCGCAGGGGTAGGCAGGACACTGCAGACCAGCCCTGCTCTGAAGAGATCTGTTGTGCTGGATGCACAGTCAGACTGAGGGAGGAGACAGGCCTAGGGAATTTAAGCCTGGAAGGGGAACGGGGGGAGAGAGCTGGAAGAAGTCTTGATCACCCCTCCGTGGGGACTATGAACCATGGAGACACTCACCATGTGAATAATCTTCCTTTTTCAGGGCCCACCTGGCCTCAGAGGCCCCCCTGGGAAAGATGGGGAGCGCGGTGCGAAGGTAAGACCAGCACAATCTCTCAGCATAGAGACCTTTCTTCTTAGCCTGTAAGACCAGTGAAAGAGGATCTCGCGTTGCTCATGTCTGGATTAGGACCCAGGAATCAGGAGAGATTTGCAAGTTGGAGAAAGGGAGAAAACTGGGTCCTCTCAGCATCTCTTCTACCCCTCCCCACAGGCCTCTGAATCATCTGAGTGCCCATTTCACAGATGTGGAGGTGGAGGCTCTGAGAGGTTAATTAGTTCGCCCTGGCTCTCATCGGTAGCCTCAGAGTTAGGTCTGTCTGACTCCAAATCCTGCTCTCTCTCTCTGTTCCTTGGCCAGCTAATCCACTGTGCACCAGTGATTGAACTTAAACCTCACCAAGCTGTGACAGAGTTGTGTTCATTAGGAGGCAGAGAGAAATAATGTCAACCACCAATTATAAAAATCCCAAAGGCTGAGGAGAATCCACACCGCTCTTCCATTCTCCCACTGAGCACTTTAGGAACATGAGCAGTTTATCTCACGTTCATTGATGACATGGAGCCCTAGCTTGGAAAACCCAAAGTGCTCATTTAAATGACTCCAGTGAGTTTCATGGACTTCAGACGCAGGTGAAATGCCAGCTCCTGTGTCCTAGTTGTGCAGATCTAAATTCGGGTGACAGTAGCGGTTCTCAACCTCCCAACGTGTCTTGCTTGTCATATCTGGCGCCAGTAGGTAGAAGGCAGGAATTCTGCTAACAATCTCAGAAGGTAAGGACAGCTTCCCACCTCCAAAAATCATCCACCCTGATTTTTAGTAGTGCCAAGACGGACAACACCTGAGCGGAATGAAAGGCACCATCTTTTTCCCAAGTCTGTACAGCTGTAAAATGATGCAAATGCATACGTTAGTCCCAGGTTGTGAAGATTAGCCGGGGGAACTGGGGAATCAGGTGCATAATGCTCAGCAGAGCACAGGTGGTGAGGGCCTGGAGTCAGTTCTGTCCTTGCCTCCTCATGTGCGTGGGTTGCACTCAGCCTTGGACAGGTGGCGCAGATTCCCGGGTATACCTGATGGATCGCCTTCAGGGGCCTCTCCTAATACAGAAGTGTCCAAAAATCTTCATACAAATTTCGTCAAGCTCACTTTGCCTGCTACCTTTTTGAGGAGTGACTGTCATTTTTATATTTGTAAAATTTAACAAGAGTAGATGTAGATTTTGCATTCTTGCAAAAGACTCATTTTAAAAACATGTACTTCAGAGAAAAAACAGTTTGTTACAAGAAAAATGATGAACCATCCTGTGGAAAGTAACTTGAGATTCTGAAGTGTTAGGTGATCACAGGCTCAGTGATAACCTTTAATGATATAGGTGCTAAAATTATTTGGGAAATGATAGCACCATCTTAGACTTTAGACTTTAGAAGTAGGAGTAGAGCACCAAAATTAAATAAGAAGAAAGATCCAGCCTCTATGATTTTTGACTGTGCCACATGAGAAGGCGTGCACATTATAAGTAAAGGACTGGCAACCCAGAAGTGGTGTGACCCAGATGTTAAGGGAGATGTTACCAGAGCTGGCGGAGCCTTCCAAAACCAGAAAATCAGTGGGCTGTTGGCACATTTGACCTCTAGGGGGAGCCAAATTCCTTTCCTTGACTGAGCAGAAGCAAAGGCTGAGGCCTGAGGAAAACCCAGGGCTGTGTTTGGAAAGGAACCTCCAGTGCTCTGGCAAGTGGTAAAACTCTCTGACCCTGCATTAGGCTCCTTTTATTTTACATGTCCAGAGGCTGATCTGAGGCTCAGAAGGCTGGTTTTACCCTCCCTATCATTCGCTTTGACATCCTTGGCTCATCTCATCTCACTTTCAGTGTGGAGACAGCAGGACTGCAGCTTAGCAGGGAACTCTGCTTGGGAAAAGGTGCCCCTCCAGCGACGGATTCTACTCGGTGCCCCACATGGGGGCTGCTGATATCTTTGAGGTCAGAAAGATGAGCATAGTTTGGAGCAAACTCAAATCCTAGCTTCTCCGCATCTCTGGATTTCTGCCCTACCGCTTTTGGAGCATCAAGCACTGCTCACATTGGTGAAGACCTGTTGTGTGATAAGAGACTATGTTTTGTCTCCAAAAGCTCCAGGGAGCAAGTTCAGTGTCAAATATTGGAAGATGTCAGAGAGGGCTGTGAAGGTACTGTATAATTGAGCTGTTTCATCCAGAAATGGACAGCCTAGAGCAGGGTGAGCTTCCTGTTCCCAGAGGAGTTTGAGCAGAAATGAAGGACCATCTTCAAGAGTCACATTGACAGTGCTCTAGGACAGGGTGGAAGATGCATTAGGTAGTGACTGATGTCCTTGCATGTCCACATTCCATGTCACATTCATTGGCTAGCATTGCTGTAATAAAATATCAGACTCAGTGACCGAAACAGCAGGGACTTATCTTCTCTCAGTTCTGGAGACTTGAATTCCTAAGTCAGGTGTTGGTAAGGTTGGCTTCCTCTCAGTGGTGTGAGGGAAGGATCTGTTCCAGGTACTCTTCTTGGCTCACCCACGTCCATCTCTCCCTTGGATCTTCACATCATCTTCTCTCTGCCTGTCTGTGTCCAGGTGTGCCTTTCTTCAAAGAACACCAATGTATTTGTCACTTTCTCAGCACTAGGACAAAATACCCAAGTCTCACAATTTAAAGGAAGAGAGGTTTATTTTGACTCACGGTTTTAGAGGATTCAGTCCGTGGTTGGCTGGCTCCAAGGCAGAGATGGCGTAGTGGAGGAAAGCTGCTTAACCCATGGCAGCCAGGAAAAATTGGGGGAGAGCCAAGGATAAGAATACACCATTCCAGGTCACACGCCCAGTAACCCACCTCTTTGATGAGGTCCCGTTTCCTAGAACCTCCTAGCACTGCATTTAGCTACTGAACTCAACAGTGGATCCACTGATGAGTATTAGCACCCCATAATGCAATCAGACTTTGGAGTGGACATTTTAGGTCTAGACCACTATAGCCAGTCATATTGGATGAGTCCCAAGGAGTGTCATATTCCAGTGTAATCTCATCCTAAGCTAAGTAACTACATCTGCAAAGACCCCATTTCCACACTGAGGTACTGGGATTTAGGACTTCAACATATGAATTTTGGGGACACAATTCCACCTGTAACACCTGGTACAGTCCATCTGTCTATGCCCCTAGAGGTTGAGCTTTCTAAAATTATCAGTACAGGGTAGCTCCAGAAAACCCACCAACCCACTCAGGCTGATTAACCGTGGGGTAGCTATCTGAAGAATAACTCTGAAGATATCTAAGTAGTTATGTAAGATAGCTTATCTAAGATAACTGTGAAGAATCACTGATCCTGAAAAATGACCACTTTTCTCTCCAGGGAACAGCAGGTGAAGAAGGGAACCAAGGGCCAGCTGGCCCCAGGGGTGATCCTGGTACTCCTGGGGTCCCCGGGCCACCTGGAAAAGGGAATGATGGAGAACGGGTAAGTGGCAAGTTGCGGGGGGGGCACGTTTCTGAACTTGGAGAAATCCAGCTAAAACTGAAAAACAAAAGGATGTAATAGAGTCACTACCAGACTGCAAAACTGCATCATAGCCAGTGACCCTGAGCTAGCTGGGAAAGATCTGTGAGCACCAGCAGGCTTTAGCACACAGTTGTCCACCCTTATCCATGAGGGACGCATTCCAGTATGACCCACAAGTGCCTGATACCTTGGATAGGACTAAGCCTTATATTTTTCCAGTACATGCATACCTATGATAAGTTTAATTTACAAATTAAGTACAGTAAAAGATTAACAGCAATAATAAAATAGAACAATTATAGCAATAAGCTGCAATAAAAGTTATTAAAAACTTATGAGATGTTTATTTTTTGGAGTTTTCCTTTTAGTATTTTCAGACTCATGTAACTAAAACCTTGGAAAGCAAAACTGCAGATAAACAGGAATGACTATTTCTGGCTAACACAGCACCATGTGGAAAGCTTGCTGAATGCCAGGCCATGCCAGGTGCTGGGGACACAGACAGATCAGACAGTCTGTGGCCTAGAGATGCTCACAATCTGGAGGGAGACAGTCAAACAAACAAATGGTTCACAATGAACCTGAGTGTATAGCAGAGAAGGGCTGCTGGGTCTCTCTGGTTCATTCATCTAGTGTTTCCTGAAATAGACTCATGGTTTTAATTCTGCCCATGAGTGCTGCATCAGGCAAAATCCATCAGTATGAAACTGAAGCTGCCTTGCAAGGGCCACCCCTGGGTCTCAATAGCACAGTAATGACAAAAGAGGTCAGGGTTTGGAATTAGGCAAGCCCTACTTTGAAACCTGACTTTGTCCCTTGGTTGTGGAAGCCTGCATTATGTCAGTCTTTTGGAGAAAAGCTAACTAAGGTGGAGAATAACTTCATGGTCACATAGAAGTGGCAGGTGGCTGTCAAAAAGCACAACACTCCCCACATTTATGGCTGAAAAACAGTTTGTGTTTCCTTTGTGCAAGTTGCATCACAGTGAGAGTACACGATGCATCTGCCCCTACTCCCAGAGGACTGCACCCAGCTTGGCAACAGGTGGACAGTCAGTGGTCACTCACAGTTCTATAATTAGTCTTGAATCATTCATTTCACCAGGGCCCACATGGATTGCCTGGACTACCTGGACCCCCAGGAACCAAGGTAAGTGCTTGTCAAACAAATGGTGGATAAGGGCCGGGGATTTAGCTCAGTGGCACCACACCTGCCTCGCAAGCACAAGGTCCTGAGTTTGATTCCCAGTACAAAAAAAACCCAAAACTCAAAACAGATGGTGGACAGCATGGGTTGCACTTAGGAAGGGACCATGGAAATGCTTGTTATAAGCGTCTTTGGTGAACTCAATACCCTTTCATATCTCTCCATTTATCATATTTATCTTAGTTGCTTTTCTCATTGCTGAGACAAAATACCCAAAACCCACAAGTTAAAGGAGGAGAGGTTTATTTCATTTCACAGTTTGTACAGGTTTCAGTCCATAATAGTCTGCCTGCAAGGCAGGACAGCAAGGCAGAATAGAAACAGTCCATAATGTGGCAGGCAGAAGGCAGGGAACCAGCAAGCATCAGCAGCAAGCATCAGCAGCAACAACAGTGAGCCTTTGTATTCCATCCAGGATACACCACCCTGGGGTGTTGGTACCACCCACATTCAGGATGGGGCTTCCATTTTCCACACCCAGAACTATAATAGTTCCAGTCAGTGAACTAATTTAGTATCACACACCCTTAATCCCAGTATCACATGCCCTAGATCCACCCAACTCTGAAAAGGCCCTCCTATGAGCACATGAGGCTTTGGGGAGGACATCTAGATACAAGCCATAACAATATTCCATTGGACTGGAGATTCTATGACTTCTAACTATTATCTTGAAGTAGTGCTCACATAGTCAGTGCTTAATAGGTAGTTGCTGAATCAATGAAATTCCAAGTGATATTGCCTTTCAACTGGCTGAGCAATCTAAGTAATCTCAGATTATTAATTTAATTTTGGTAATATGATTCCCCAAACCTCAGGGGTTTAACATGATAAAACTTTATTTCTTACTCAGATTAAGTCTCATGGGAGTCTTGGTGTGTGGGGAGTTCTCATTCACACATCCATTCAGGGAATCACATCTGATTCAGTTACCCTTCCATCATCAGAGGCCTGAGCATCTTTTCCCAAGTCCTTGGAATACAGTGGTAAAGAAGGGGAAGGAGAGTGGAAAATCTGGTGGGAAGAATTTACGGACTAGGCCTAGAGGAAGGTAATTTATATCCACAAGCTTTAGTGACAGTCATGACAGATGAGGGACTGTGATCTATTCATACACTCAGGAGGTAAGGACAGACACCTGTGGATTCCACCAATCTCTTCCTCAATTCACGGGCAAGCACAATCTAAAGATGACTTTTCCCAAGATTGGATGTTCTTATCAAAATTTTTCCTGAATGGGCAGAAAGTGCCCTGAAGTCAACTCTACAGTGAATGGCTTCTTTGTTTATGCATTGATTACCCGCACATTTATTATTTAACCCATTGCATGTCTACTGACCTTATTCCCTCAGCTCAGATTTAGAGTGGGCTATGGGACAACAATAATACACATGATCTGTTTCTGGGCCCCAAATCTCATGGTCCAGAGGGGGATTGGATGCATGAACAGCAAAGCAGACTGATGCTGGGAGAGGGGGAACTTTTGAGGGGACAACCTTGGAACACATGAGCTTTTGGGGAGACAGCATAGACACAAACCCTAACAGACTCTTAGAGGAAAAGAAGGTAATGGAACATGAAATGGCAGAGCAGCAAAATGGCTTCAAATGTTTTGTCTGTGATAGTGATTTAAGACCATTTGTCTAACCATAGAATTTTTTTTTATTCCTTTTATTCTGCAGCTATGTCTTTGGGATCTCAGCAACATAGTCATAGGGCATGTTGCCACCTTTCTTTTAAGCAGAGTTTGAGGAAAAATTATATAATACAAATAAAAATAGCACTAGCATAGTATTGACATACTCAAATGATCAATAAATATTTGTGATCCTTGTCATTTGATCTCCCCAGGGGTTCTGCTGTAGGTTTGTAGCCAAAAGGTGGGCATCAAGAGAGACTGTCTCCAATCTGCAGGTGTGTTGTTGGAAAAAGGCCCAGGGGAAATGATTGGAGGCCTCATTAAAGGTTAGAGAAGCAGACAGAGACCATGGGATGAGGAGTTTGGAGATTCTGACCCAGGCCAGCAGACCAACTAGTCTCACATCTACAGGCCTCAGGGTATATTGTGCTTCCCCTTTGGCCAATGTTTCTTCTACTTAAAATGTGATAGTAAACAGATAATCTATTCTAGAGTGGGTATTGTGTGAATTTGTAAGCCAGAATGTGGTTTAGAAATACACATTTCATAGTATGACATTGAGAAACTAAGTTGGAAATCAGGAAGGTGTTTAATTGAAGGATAGGTTGCTCAGGGAGAGGAAGAAGGAAGGTGGAGAGGGAGATGTGAGCGGACAGATGGAGAAAGATCCCAGAGCCAGTGCTTTCTACCATCCCAGTCCTGGAATTACAAATGCTAAATGAGCAATGTCTTAGTTACATTTTGTGTTGCTGACACCCAAAATATCTGACCCCCAAAGGTAAAGAGGAAAGGTTTATTTTAGCTCATTGTTTATAGTGGTTTTAGTCTGCTTGCTCCAAGTCATGGTGGCATAGCAGAGGGGCATTGCAGAGGAGAAATAGTCCATGGCATGGCAAGCAGTAGGCTGCAAGCAGCAGCAGCAGCAAGCTTGCCTTTTCCTTTTATCCCATCCAAGCTACCAGGCTTTTGGGTGGTGCCACCCAGAACTATGCTGAGTCCAATTGGTGGATTAATTTAGTATCACACACCCTTAATCCCAATATCACATACCATAGATCCAGCCAGCTTCAAAAGGGCCCACCTATGAGGGTATGAGGCTTTAGGGGGACACCTTGATACAAGCCATAACAAGTACCCTTTAGGGAGTTGAAGGAGGGAGCAATCAGGTCTGTACTGGCACATCCTCAGGCCTTTTTGACCACTTTTTAGTGAAGGTTTGCAATACATAGTAGTTACATTTGTTTTGGGGAATTGGTATATTTATATAACATCACTTGATCACTTTCAATCCCTTTATTACCTGCCCTACTCTCATCCCTCCATCTGATCTCCTTCTCCATCTCCAAAAAGGGTGCCTTTTAATTTCATACCATCTCTCTTTCATTTTGATTTTATTTTTATTTTGGGTTTTTTATATAAAAGAAACTGCCATATTTAAATTTAAGTGTCTGACTTAGTTTACTTAACATTGTGGTGTCAACTTCTATCCATTTGCCTGCAAATGACATCATTTTATTCTTTATGGCTGAACAATAGTCCACAGTGTATATATAGAGTGTGTCTATATCCATTCATGTTGATGGACTCCTAGGCTGTTTCCACAGCTTAGCTATTGTAAATTGCACTGCTGTAAACATGGGCTTGCATGTGACACTATGGCTTGAAGTTTTTAAGACTTTTGGTAACATTCTCAGGACAGGAGACTTACGGATGTCTTTCTGCTCTTGAGTGGCTTTGCTTCCAGTGAAATGCACAGGATTTGGCTTTTTACAGACCTGGGTTAGAATCCCAGCTCACCTGCCTGCAAGACAGATAACTTGCATGCAAAAATTTCTCTGTCTTTCTGAGACAGTGCAATGAACCTTATCTGTATAAATGAAAAAAGGATATCAGACACCAAAGAAAAGGCTCCCCAGGAGAAAAATTATCTTACAGTACAGAGTTTTTGCTCTATAAATGTCATTCTCCCTCCAGAACCCCCAAACATCCTCCAGATTTCTGCTCTGGACCTGTGCTATGGATTTTAGCTCATGTGCCCCTTTTCATATTATCCATTAGCTTTCTTGCTTCTGCTGACAGAGCACTAAAGTTTTTTACTGTCTTCTTGGGGCCATTTTCTAAAAATGTCTCTTCATTAAGTTGTGAAGTCATTTCTTGGGGAAATTGCTAGCGTCACAATAGACCACACACACACAGATGGCGCCAGACCTGACCACTGTGCAGAAAAACTCTCAGTGACTCAGCTGCCAGCTGGGCTGGGAGAGGCCTCTGCATCCTGCTCCTTCCTGGGGGAAAAGCTTGTTTTGGTCACAGGCTGAATTCAGTGTCAGATGCAATGTGGCTGATGGAGGATTGCTTGTTCCCATGTTCAAGAAGTAGCCATTAAAGGCTCTACCCTAAACTGTGCACTATGGACACAGAGGTGCCCAACATAGACTCTGACCTATTATAGGTCTTGATAAATATTTACTGAATGAACAAATGAGTTGAGAGTCTCTCCATTTAAGCCACTGACAGAGCATTCAGAGGGTAAGATAGACAAATGGACAATGGGGTACAGTGTATTAAAGTTAATGAAGATCAGTGCAAATATCTGCATGAAGGTAGAAGAGGGGAGCAGACAGAAGCAAATGAGAATGGGATGATTGCACTAGTTCAGTGGAAGGGAAGATGTTTGCAAGCTTAGAACCTGGATGGCTGAGCATCCCCAGCAAAGTCAGTCAGCTGTACAAGTAGCAGAGGTGTAGATAAATAGCAGCGAAGAGTATCGATTGTGTTGTTTGCACCACTTCGTGTGCTTCGAGTTTGCCGACATACCTGGACCATGGCCTTGAGAAGAGAAAGGAAACCTGGCCAACACACAAAATAGTAACAGGAAAATCTGCACTACGATAATTAAACCAAGATCCAAGGGGCAAAAGGACCTGGATTTCTCTGACACTTACTTGTTTTTACTTTTCTGTTAACTCTCTAATAAGTGATAATGATATAACTGTAATACTAATATATTACTTATCTTATACATACTTATTTACTTTTTCATTGACTCCTCATAAGATATATGGGAATTTGGTAGAATCTAGTTTTATGATTGTTTTTTGATGAGTTCTAAGGTGCAGAGATTTTGTGAGACTTACCTAAGGTTACAAAACTAGTTTGACCTTGTCCTGAACATGGACCTCGAGTTGCCCACCAGTCTGAAATCTCCCTACCCAACTCACTCTACTGTCAGAATGAGCCCGTGACAGATATATTGTAGATTGTATTCTTTCTTAGTTCATTATGTTTCCATATTTGTCTTAGTTCTGGACCTCCTTCCTTCCCTGGTCTCCTCATACACACAAATTAGATTTCCTAGTGATTCCCAGCATCTTGTTCTTTCCAGAACCAGCCATACCATATTATTCTAAGGAAATAGAATGTCCTGATGGGGAATTTGGAAAAAAAATGAATGAACTATTGGGAAAGATGAGGGTGGGGTGGGGGATGCTGTGGTTGCCAGGGATCAAGAGCAGCAGGTAGCGTGGCCATCATGGGTGAGAGGGTCAAGAAGGAAGGGCATTGAAGGAGCCTCCGCGAGGATACAGAGCTTGGGTCTGACATGTGGGGAGAACTTTGCTAACCCTGAGTCCTCCTTATCCCCATGAAGGACACTTTGCTTCAGGACTCGGCACTGGGTACTGACAAATGCTAGGCCTCATAGCTGAGTCATCTGTGGAGCTTGGAGCCCAAATTGTTGCTTGCAGTGGACAAATAGAGAACATGAGCTGAATGAACAGAGAACTTAGGTATTCATCCAAGCCACAGTCGCCCTGCAGGGAAAGCTAGCCATTTACTTTACTTTTCTTAAAAGTTCAGTTGAAATGATGAGGGGTAGAGGATAGGCTACTTATTAGTGAAAATTTTAAAACAATGCTTAAAACCTTAAGTCTTAATAAAGCAGTATGTGACCTAGCAATATTGAGCTTTAGGTTAAATCAGTTTGCTGTGTGTTATCTCCCAACTCTTCATACAAGCTTCTGAGGCTGTTTCCATTTGTCACATGAGTTAACCAATGCCAGGGATATTCTTTGTGGCTGGATCATTCTCATCTGCCACCACTGTCTCAGGGGTGCAGTCCCAGGTTGCAGTCCAGCTGACCTCACAAGTACAAGAGGACGGTCACTTACACAGGATTGTGGGGACCATGTGTGCCTTGGACCACATTTGTAATGTTTACTGTGAGTCTGGCAAAGCATTTCTTGCAATTTTATGCAAGAAAACCATATGAATATTTATACAAAAGGGGTGAACCAAAACCTGATATAATCTGTGTCAGCACAAATGATACTTTTAGAATTAGAATTCTAAAGATTGAGGACATCGAAATTGTGGAAAAAGTATGATTGTACTTAGTTTTTATCTACAGGAAATGGCAAAAAAATCTTCTTCCTCTCTCTCTCTTTCCTTCTCCCTTTTATTTTCCTATCCAGCCCAGAGTGGCAGGGAATGAGAGAAGCAGCAAGTGCACAGCTGGCTTGTACCTCTTGTGCACCAGGCTCCGAGCTGAGCACACTCCCTGCTTTATCTCATTTGATGAGCACAGTGCCTTCTGGCCACCACCTGAATGGGAAGTGTGTTCAAAGTATACAGTGAAAGTTTAAACTTAAAAATATTATTACAATAAGAGACATTGGCTTAAATGCCCCCTCAAAATAATCCCTTTTATTTCAAACACACTTATCTCATTGTTCTTGCCACTTTTTGAAGCGGTTCTGGAAATTTCCTTTCATGTCTTTATGAGGTATGATAAAAATATGGCCAATGCTGCTTCTGAGTGCCATCCAACAGAAAGGCAGCTCATCAAAACATTGCAGTGGGCTGGGGATTTAGCTCAGTGGCACTGCGGCTGCCTCACAAGTGCAAGGTCCTGAGTTTGATCTCCGGTAGCAAAAAAAAAAAATTGCAGTGTGTCCTCATCCACCATATTCACTTGATGTGGCACTGAGAGACTCCACTGCCACTGCCTAAAGTCAACAGCTTATAAATGTTGAAGCCAGAACTTGAATGCAGGCCTCTGTCCCCCAAGTGTACATTACTACTGTGCTTGAGACAGAAGTCTTACGTCAGTCTTCCTAAGGACACTCACTGCCATGCCTGCAAAATGCAGGTATTGGTAAATTCTGGATAAAATGATGACTTAATTGACTGGAGATTTGGGATCTGAATCGAAAGGTGATTGTGTGTGTGACTGGGTTGGAGGTATGATGTGTCCAGGGAAAGCACAGTACATCTGGACCATAGTCACCCTGTGGGGAGGATCACAGTGTTATGCTCATATTTGGAGGTATGGTCCAGGTTGGGAACAGCCAGCCTTGAAAGGTGCATGGTCACAGTTGGCAGCTGTGGTCCTTGCAGTCCATGCAGAAGCATGGGCTTCCTCAGGGGACTGGAATGACCCACAGGACAGGTGAAGGGAGAGGGTTTGATGGGCTCCCACTCAGCATCTGGGGAGAAAAGCGATTCTTCCTGTACCTTGGCTCTCTCCTTCCCAGAACTGACCTCTTGATCTTAATTTTTCTCTTTGTAGGGGGACCAAGGAGCACCCGGGATCCCTGGCTCTCCTGGCAGCCGCGGTGACCCAGGCATCGGGGTTGCTGGCCCCACTGTGAGTACTTATTCAGCAAACAATTTCTTGCTCTCAGGCCACACAGCCATTCCCTGGTGGCTGCTGTGGAGGGCGATGTCTGGGCCCCTGCAGGGACACTCCGTCCAGCAGACATGGTGCTGGGTCACAGGGCTGGGTCAGTGGGGTGGGAGGCCTGTGCATGCAGCTGAAGCCGATGTAAGGCATGGAAGAGTCTTCATGAGAATAACAAGAATGTCACTTTTGGAGAGGCCAATATTTGCCTAATTTAAAGAAGGGAAAGGAAATTTCACTAAAATTAAAAAAGAAAAAGAAAGACTCTTGGGCCAAACGTTGAGAAACTGAAACATAATGGGTGACATTGGGGTGTTTCGTAAAGGAGTCTGATGGGGAAAACAATGCCCTTTCCTGTATTTCAGGCAAAAAATTACTGTTTTCCTCTAATTAGTACAGGCGAGAACATAAAGAAATCATATCTCCAAAATAAAATGCATTAAGTGATCATCAGATTGGTAGTTTTAATGAATCATTCACATCAGTCTACCCAGTGTGCGTTTGCAAGCTACCTGGCGGTGATAGTTTTAAGAATGGCTAACACCTTTGAGTTATGGGGGCTGAGTAGCCATTTATTAGAACTTTGTTTTCGCTGAGAATAGGACTGTGGTTTTTTGTATTTCCCATCCATTGCTTCTTCACCTTTCCTTTGTACCACAGTACCCACATCTTTCTTTTCCACCTCATAGATGATAGTTTTTAGAATCTGAGAAAGATTTTCAATCTTGACGTCTTCTTTTTAATCCCTTCATCACTAAAAAGACCACTTAGATGCACTTCAAATTGCATTTGTTTTTCTTGACAGCCATCTCTTACTATTTTTAAAAGATGCTCAAGTACCCAGTCCTTTCCTAACAGCAGTGCCAAGCTTTGGAATGTCCGAACCGCCCATGTTCATTGTTGTTGTTATTATTACTGTAACCCAGGTGCACAATCTGACTTTATCCCTATTACACATAACCTGGATACAAACTAGAGAAACAAGTGGCCCAGTCTGTCCTTCACTTTGCATTTAAGAAGTGCACATCACAATCAAAATAATGAAAAGTAAAACCATCCTTCATATACCATTTTCAAAGAATAAGAAGAGAAATCCAGTTTATTACTCACATTATCACCTATAAAATAAATCCCCATTTGATTCTCTTTGGTCTTACATTCCAGAGGAGTTCTGGCCACTTCATCTGTCCTCAAATCCTTCAGGCTTCTGTCTTTTCTGCCCCCTGCTCTCCAGCAGGCCTCCTCTCTCCCCAGGAGCAAGGACCATCCATTTCTGTCCCCCCCACCCACAGGGGGAGCTCATTTCTGGGTGGAGAGGTCAAGGTGGCTCTGTATCACCCTAGATGTCACTGGTACCCATAGAAGGAGCTTGTGGAACCCCTTGGGAATGTCTGGCTGGGTTAAACTGTGGTGCACAAAACCGTCCACTGTGTTCCATGTGGTTCACAGAACCGTCCACTGTGTTCCATCAGTTTTATCTGTTCTTCAGTCTTCTCATAACTGTAAGGAACTTTGAGGTAAATGATGCAGTGAAGGAACAAACAGTCCAGAATTTCTTACTTCTGAAATTCTCCTTTCACTAGAGCTCTATGTGCTGGAGTTAGGATTTTGGTTCATGTAAGAATTACCTCATAAAACGGAGAACTGGGCTTGTCACCTGGATGTGGCTCGTTTTCTCACAAGGTTCTACAAGTCCGATGTACTTGTTAATGACTCCTGTGTATCAAGCTCTTAATCAGAAAGCCCAGCTGCAGGGGTGAACACAGTTCATCCCACCCCACACTTCAGAGCCAGCTAAAACCACTCATGAAATATGTTCCTGCCTAAGTGATCCCACCTGAGAAGGAATTGGCTGACTCCAGCCAAGAGGCTGTAAATCAACTGTTGAGTGTCTTCCTACCACTCTGACTTATTAAAAGCTTCCACGGTGGATGAAACCTTATTGAATTGCCATAAGTCTATCTTTGGCCATGAGCCTAGGTTGCTGATGGCCTGGGACTGTGTAGGAGGGTTCAAAGGCATGCTGAGCATGCAGATGTGGAAGGGTCGGGGGCTTGTGAGGTCCACCCGGGATGCAGGTGCATCATACAGAAGCATCATCCTTTGCTGAACACCCCTGGTCCATCGGATCTTGTGTTGGGCTTTAAGCATCACATAAATCACTCCGTTCATTCCCTTGGGCATTGTTTTTATCCTTTGGCTAAGGCTGAGGTCCCAAGGATGCTGAGTTTATTTGGGAGGTAATCCAGAAGTTACCACTTAGGAAGTGACAAAGTGAGACAGAGAAGGAAAGAAAGCCTAGGGCAGCATGTTAATGAGAATCCAATGGGCACTGTGGGCAACTGGGACTCATTCTGCTGACCTCTGAGTGAGCACATGGTACAGTTTCAGAGTCATTCTGCAAAAAGTTGTTGAATCTAGAGAGTTGATGAACCAATATCTTCCAGTCATTGGCCTGGACATCAAATTCTCCTGTCGCTAAAGGAAGCCCTGGGGCAGCTGCCTATGCTGGGAGCTGCTGGATCTGTGGGAATATGGGGTAGGGGATGGAAGTTGTCTGTATGTAACTGCTGTCCAGGTGAATGGTATGGGGTACTGAAGGTCCAGGCCCATGTCACAGAGCTAGGCCATAGGCGGCACCAGGGTATAGGCAAACTTCCCACCCCAGAGAATCTAGCTCTCCTTCTCCTAGGTCACCTTTCCAGTGGCTTTGTCAGGACAAATAGGACCTACTCATTCCCATTAAGTTCCCCAGAAAAAGGCATGTTAAGGATAGATCTGATCCAAGTTATTCTCCACTTCTTGCCTCCTAAAGCATCACGCCCAGGACCCTGGTAGCCAGGAGTGTCACTGGTCTCAGAAGGGAGCCTGGGGCTCTGTCTTCCAGTCTCTGCTCCATCAGCAGACAGGAGGATGTATTGTGATATGGTTGTTTGGGGTTTTGGCTTCCTGTTTCAGAATATTCACACACACACACACACACACACACACACACATACACACACACACTTCACACTTCAAATGCTGAAGAATGAGCTCAGGTGGGCCACAGGAAGATCAAAGTGCTAATGGACCTCACTAATACTTAGATCTCAGGTTTGTGAAGAGTAAGCTCTCCCTGAAAATCATGTCACACAGCCTGTCCTTCTAGCCTGACCGTTTGTTACCACTGTCTTCCCCCAGCACACAGCACAGGAGCTGTACACATCCTGGGCACTCAGATTATGGGCAATAAAGCACACTTTACTTTCAGATATGTAATGGATCCCCCAAATTCATGGGGGTTATGTCCCTAGAGCACCTATGCATTGTGAAAAACCATGAATTTCAGATATGGTCAGAACAAAGCATATGTTTACAGTTTACACCCTAAATATACTATGACTCCTGCAGTTATGTAATTTAATTTAGTAAAATACCATATTAATAAAGCCTGAGAAGGTGCAGGTCATTTTGGCCACATCTTAGGGATCTTAGGGCTTTAAGTAAAACAAAACCGAGAACACTGGAGACAGTTACACATACAGCAACCTGTTATGATGCGGGAACGCTGGTGCATCTGACCTAGATGGGTTACAGGGCACCAGCTAATCAGCAGCAAGGAGAACTGAGTAACAGTCTCAGATTGGCTGCTTGCAAACCTCCTGTCAAAAATACAATTGCAGAGGATATTTGCTGTTTCTGTGAAATTACGGGGGTTTCTGGGAACAATTATTAGATTCTAAGGAAAAACCCATGATGAACGACTGAGGCCTTGGACTCTGAATCCTGACTTCATGGGGATGTTCTGTATATCTATGGGGGAGGAAAAAAGAGGTGATCAAATTGGTAAGAAGAAAAACAAGTGACTTTTTGAACATTATGGCAGAGAACAAGAGGAAATGTTTAGCACTAAAATCCCTTGGGGCTTTCAGTCTCAAGTTTTCACTAATCACAATCATCAGCAAACACTGAGAGTGTGGTACTGTGTGCCTGCGTACAGATATACATGTGTACGTGTGTGTGTTTGCGCGCTGTGTCTGTCTGTGTACACACCAACAGTCCTACGTCCCTGAAAAACGCAGCTGCACTCTGAAAAATACATTGTTAGGCAATTTTGTCATTGTGTGAGGATCACAGATTGTACTTGCACAAATTGAGATGGTTGTGCTGTCACTAAGCAATATAATCTTATGGGACTGTCAGTGTATATGCAGGCTGTCGTTGGTGGAAGCATGAGTATGCAGTGAAGGACTATATGTAAATTTGTGTTACGAAAATTTTCAGATATGCTGAAAGTAAGCTGAATAATAAACTCCCAGAGGGCCGGGGATTTAGCTCAGTGGTTCCACTGCCTGCCCTGCAAGCGCAAGGACCCGAGTTTTATCCCTGGTACCAAAACAAAAATAACAACAACAACAACAAAAATAATAAACTCACAGATATCCAGTCACTGTTCAAATTTTCAGTTTTTTCAGAAATGCCCAATTTGACAGTCTTCTTTCTTTTTTGGAATCAAGAGCCAAGTAAAGTAAACAGTGATTGGTTGACCTTTAAAAAAAAGTATGTGTCTAATTTATAGATTTCTCCTTCATTATTTTTATTTCATTTTGAAAATTATGTATTGGTGAAATCAGTTTTAGTTTTTATTACCATAGAATTTTCCACAGTCTGGGATTTGCTAATTTAATCACTTAGCCTGTTGTTCTGTCCCATGATTCTAATTATTTGGTACTCAGATGTAGGTGTTTGTTTGATCAGGCTCCGGTTTGACGTTTTCGGCAAGATCTCACAGATGGTGCGTTCTTCCATCAGGAGGTCTGTGATGTCTGCTGAAGTCTCTTTTCGTCATGTTTGCACCCTTTGATGTCCAATACTTCCATCAATTAGCACGGCAAGGGTTGTAAATTGGCGCTATGCTAGTTCTATCAATTCTTCTTTCTTAGCAGACCGCTTCCGTGCTGAGACACACTCCCTCAGTTACCCTTTGCAGACCATTGGCAATACACATGCAAGGCTGAATGTAAATGTTTGAGTCATTTCCACCCATGGTCCCACATAATGACTTGGTTCCCAAACACCTTGCAAAGATGGCCAGTTAGATGTTTATTTATTTACTAAGAATAATTTTAAATTCATGGATTTAAGCATATTTGTTTTAATGCATTGCAGTTATTTTACCTTTTGATGCTCAAATTTTTATCTTATGCTGAGCTGTCTGGCTAGTCCTTTATTAAGAAGTCATAGTTCCTTTTAGTGGAAACTGGTACCAAAGGTTGCAATCCGGGTGTTAGGTGAATTGAACCTTGAACAAACATCACAGGACACAATCTTGGGAAAGAGAGTTGTTACTGCCAAAGACATATTTAGACTTCAGATTTAGGAATGACATTAGAAAGTCATGTTCAGTCTCCTCCACACACTTTCCTATTTCTTCAAGATAGACAAGCAAAACAGCTGGCGAGTTGTCTTTTACGGATCATGTGCTGAGCTGCTTCCTCTACTCAAAGTAGCTTTTATTTCTGATAACATAGGAGAAGGTGATGGGTGATCTAGCTTTCTATCACAACTGACAAAGCTGAAACTGGAGAGGCTACGTAAGTGGCTTAAGGGCAAACAGCTAATTTTTGATAGCCAAGATTGAAAATGAAGACCTTTGATCATAAATCCATCCCTCAAAGTGGACTTTTTTAGTCACTTTTTTAGTCAAGAAAAGAATTTGGAGCTAAGTTTAATGGGTAAATTAAATGCTTAAATGGAATTTAATTTGAAAACAAAAGCGAGGCTAAAATGACATGGCCACATGCCCTGTGCCAATAACAAACTGTGTCTTGGCTATTTTCCTTGAGGACTGAGGTCAGCATCATTGGGAACTACTCTGCGATGAACACAGTTCAGATATTACATGTTGGTCCATGTGGACCAATCACTTAATGGAGGGAGCAGACAGACAGAAGCGCAGTGCTAGGCCCACAATTCTACTTGCTTGACTTTGGCTATGTTTATTAAGGGGTTTTACCTTCTGTTTCTCCATCTGAAGCAAAGGAGTGCTGGTGGTACCGTGCATGCAGGCTGCTGATAGGGATGAAAGAGAGACTTTGAGATTGTGTGAAGAAGCTGGGGCCACTCCTGACGTTTAATCCAAGAGCTGCATGTCCTCTTCTTTTGTCACCTTGAGTTATTCACCTTGAAATTTCCCCTGGGCAGTCCTCCTGTGTGTGTACAGCTGTTTTAAGCCTTTAGCAAATTTGATAGGATTCTGAGAAATAGCTAATGAGAGGTTATCTTCAGACAGTTTCACACTGAAGAGCAGAGTTGAGTATTTGTGATAGCTCCTTTCATACAAATCCTATTTTGTTGTCTGTCTTTAAGTCTGCGGACCGTTATAGCCTGCAGAAATTCCTGCCTTTACCGGCCATCCTGAGTTTCAATGTCTTTGTGAGACGAGAGCTCAATCTCTTCCGTCTCAGACCCTTGAAGCCTGTACCCTCTGTGGAGACCCCAGTGCCCCCGGGGCACTTGTATGTTACCTCTTTCTTTACTTTCTCCTGTTTCTGGAGTTTCTCTTACTTTTCACATTGCTCAAAATGATGCTTATTCTATTTTATCAGGTGGCTCTGGAACATACTTAATGGATGAGCTTGTAGGCTGCCTGGTCTGTCATTCTTCAGAGATCTTGATGTTTGTATGAAACCTTTTCTCCCTCTCAGGAATACCTGGGGACATGGTACCTGGCTCTGCTGCAGGGAGATGCAAGGTGCTTATACTGAGGGTGGGAGAGGGGACTTAACTTCACCCTGGCAAGGCTTTCCAGGGGCAGTGACATCTAAAATGAGAACCTCTGTCTTCATGTGTGACAAGGGTGTATCCAAGTAGAAAGGCAGGACATCATCTTCCATGCAAATGTACAAACAAAGCAAGGGCCCAGAGACACAGGGTAGTTCTGCTCCTGCAAGACCTGAACCTGTCCCTGGATGTCTTCAAGTTTGGCTTCAGCAGGAGTCTACCCATCCTGAGTGGGAAGAGCCATCACCTCTCCAAGGGGATGCTGCATGGGGAAGTAGGGGTGACTGGATCCAGCCCTATACCAGACCCATGGAGGAGAGGAGAGCCCAGGCTCAGCAACCATTTCAGGATGGCACTGGTGCAGGGACAAAAACAGAAGGTTGCAGGGGGATTTCTGTGAGCAACATTTGTGGGTGGGCAGGTAGCTGAAAGATGGGAGGAAGCTACTAACTCCTTTAGGATGACCCAAGGCCTGGTTTAGAAATAAATACCTCATCATGTTTAAATGAGAACTATATTATTTCTTGACTTACTAATTTGTTTGTTTCTTAGGGCCCTTCTGGACCACCAGGAGACAAAGGGCCCCCGGTACAGTATCCTTTATATAAGGGACTGGGTTTCAATTGGAAGAATTATGCTCTTGTGCTCTAATGCAAGCAGTTGTGTGTGTATGTGTGTGTGATTGCTGGGGGTCAAACCCAGGGCCTTCATCCTTGATTTTGAGACAAGATCTCACTAAGTTTCCCAGGATATCTTCAAACTTGTGACCCTCCTGCCTCAGCCTCCATAGTAGCTGGGACTACTGACATGTGCCACAATGCTTGGCAACTCAAAGCGATTTTTCAGTTGGAGGCACCAAAAACTAAAATAGTGTCTGAACATTCTTAATATTGAACAGTGTGGTGCCTCCACAGTATGAGCACCGGTCTCTGGAATGAGACGTGGCCGCGGTGGACAGGAGTGTGAAGGAGATGCTGAGGGTCATATACTCTAATAATCCCATTTTATAGTTGGGAAAACTGAGACTGGCTTTGCTCTCTGCCTCCTCTCTATCACAGAAGGACAGCTGTAGTTTAATGAATTTAATCAAATGGCCAGAAGAACTGATTTTGAATTCTGGCTTCTCCCACTCCTAGCCACTTAGCTGTGAGTAAATGAGGGTATTAATCTTACTCTGTGACAAAGTAAAACCTGTGAGTGACTGCAGAGATCCAATGGGCTCATTTTATGGCAAAGCAGCAAGAGCTCTCAGGAAGCATTTGTTCTAGGAGTAGCAACCATTGGCGACAGGCACATGTGCACACTTATAGAGAAAGTGATTTCTTACACACTCAGCCGCTGGGAAAGGAGCCTCCCATGAGCAGCTGGTGTGAGCTTGGACTTTTCCTCTTGGGCGCATTTTATAAACTGTGTTTGTGCATATGATTTGTGATTGGGGAGGACAGGGATTTTTCTGCCCATTTTTGTAGATGAAGAACTTGAGGCACAGAGCAAATAATTGATAGGCATAGAATTCTAGAGGACGTTGTTGGAGAGTAGAGGTAAGGAAAATTGGACTCCACATGAAGGGGAGGGGAGGTTTGTGAAAGCCCAGAAGAGGCAGGAGTGGGTCTGGTAGTGGCCTCTGAGAGGAGGAAGAGCTGACTTTCATTTGCAGATCTGCTTGAGGAAAAGTCTTCTATGGCAGGCAAGGTGACACGGGCCTGTAATCCCAGCACTCGGGAGACTGAGGCAGGAAGGACTGCCACTAGTTCGAGGCCATCCTGGGTTACATAGTGAGTTCAAGGCCAGCCTGGACTACATCTTGAGAGCCTTTCTCAAAAGAAAAAAAAAAGTCTTCTATTAATGAGATCCATAATGAAAGACATCTGTGAAATTTTCTGATGTTATTCAGAAATTATCAACAGAAGAGGAATAATTTTTTTACTATAAAAAGTAGTAAATGTTTGTGTAGAGCAGAGCTTTGCCCCAGGCCTTGCCCAGGAAACACATTTAGCTGATTAACAGCTGCCGGGGCTGGTGATCCACTGCATGCACCAGGGAAGCGTGCTGCTTGGAAGTAAGCCTGGATCACCCACCCAAGAAGCTGTTCCTAGGGCTCCAGGGAGGAGCCAGGGATTCCAGGCTCTGAGTGTGGCTTTTCCTGAGTGTCCTCACTGCGTGTGGAGCCTGTCCACCTCCACCAGGGCAAGGCATGAGCGCTGCCTGATGCTTTTAGCGCATGTGTCATACTGGATTCTTACTGGAGCAAGCTCGCCCAGACAGACAACTATGGCCAAGGAAAGGTGGCCTTATTTGTTCACTTGTGGTGGTGTCTTCTCTTTCCAGGGATCTCGAGGATTGCCTGGATTCCCCGGGCCCCAGGGGCCAGCTGGCCAGGATGTAAGTAAAGAGAAATACCATGGAATTTGTCAGGATTTTAGATTCACCCTGGAAGGCCACCATTCCCCTGCCTCCATGGATCCTGTGACTAATTTTATAGCCCAGTTAAAGATTTCTAGGGAGCCCAGGGTCTTCATTTAAAATATTTTTCTCTTCTATTGATTGTGGCTTATGATTTTGTGTTGTCCAGTTTTTTTTTTTCCTTGTAATTCTGTGTTATGGTTTCAGAACATTGAACCTCCTGGTCTATATTGTTTCCTGTCTCTTGGGCAATTTTCTCACATGGCTGCCTGCTCAGTTCTCCTCAAATTAGGAACCACCTGCTCTGTGAATTTCTTCCCAGTCTTTCCTGGAATCATTCTCTCCCTTCAAGGGAATTCTACAGGCACATTTGATTCTCAGAGAGGATGTGCCACTTCCAGCTTTGTGATGATGACAGTCATATCATCCTCCCTATCTAGCTTTGTCTAGCTAGGTCTGAGCTCTGTGGATCCTGTGCCTCAGGATCCTTGATGCTCAGCAACATGTACGCACAGAATTATTTGGCCCATACTCACTGGCCAAAAGGATAAACAGCAGCCAGGAGTTCTCACAGGGCAAAAGTGCCCGGCACTAGTAGGCAGTCGTGTTTATTGTATATATGTGTCTATTTGAACTGTCCTGGTTCATGTAAAGGAGGAAAAATAACATCCTTTCCCCTTCTTGAGTTCTAGTTCAAAAAGTAGCTACATCCTAATTCTTAACTCCAAATGTTCAAATTTACGTGGTCCCCTCTCAACCCTGTGTCCTCATAGCCAGCCCCATAGAATTAGTCTTCTTTTCAAAGCCAGTCTTTCCTACCACTGTGTTTGGAAGAGGACTGGGAGGTATTAAGACAGTTTGTGTGTGCCTATGTGTAGATGTGCTTGTGAGCCCACACTTGTGTGTAGGAGCAGGTTTTAGTTTTGAGTTTTGGGCAGGAGTTACAGGAGGCATAGCTGTCTTGTAAATGCTTGCAGCTGTTGCTTGATTCCTGGGAAAGGTTGGAGATTCAGTTGAGATTGGAAATCATGAGTTTTAATCAGTGTCTGAAATCACATTTGGGTGATTGTTTTTCCTACTGAGTCACACTCAACAGATAGAGAGATCAGCAGAGGGGTGGTTAGAGTGGGTCAAGATCATACAGTCTTCACAGTTCAAACTTACTTTCTTTTTTCTCTTAGGGTACACCAGGAAGTCCAGGAGAAAGGGGGCCCCCTGGGAAACCGGTATGTCACCCTGCACTTTTGGATGGATGTTGATTACCAGTCAGGGCTCCGGCAAGAAAGTAAAGCGCAGCTCAGACAGTTGGAGAGGCTTTTACAAGGGGATGTTTGACAAGCACTAATACAGGATACTGTGAGACCTAGGATAAGCCACAGTGGGTAACTGTGACAACCATTGTGCCTCTTTTCTGAGCCAAATGAGATCTAAGATGTGGAATGAGAGAGAGCTGTAACTGTGGGTTCAAAGCCACTGGGTGAAAGCTTGGCTTGAGATGGGGAGAGAACATTTATTCCCCTCCAGTTTCTGACAGTGTTGTCCTTTGATCCAACTTAACCGTAGGCTAGTAGGCACTCAAGCCTGGGCTATGTTCCCAGGGCCAAGCATGTCATGAAACAGGACAGAGGAGGGTAAACATTTGGCATGGGATGAAAAAATGGACAAGAGAAGCGTCCACTGCAAATTTCCACCTTGCCTGTTCCTTGTTCCTTGGCTGGATTGCCAGTTTCCAGGGGATAAAGAACAGAATTGTTCTTTCTCGTCTCACATCAGAACAGTGGAAGCTGTTGAAATTTGAACAAACACAAACAGCCCAGGGGGCTGGGTCCCCAGCAGTCTGGCCACAGTCTAGCTGAGGGTCCTGCAAAATTTTTCTCAGGTCTAATACCTTTATCTTCTGAGTCCCTCTCTCCCTGGTTTACCAGTGCCAAAGAAGTCCCCAAGGTTTGGCTAGATAATTAGACTGTGAGTGGCCCATCCAGGAAGGAACAAAAGGAAGAACAGGTCTGAGTGGAGTCAGAGGAAGCTGCTTAGATCTGAGAAGAGTTAATCTAATAGAAGATGCTACCAGGAATGGATGAGACAGTGGCCATCATTACTAGGGCATCACAGACCTGTGTGAGCCCACAGCCTGGTGTAAGCACCAAGATACTCATCCGGAAGGAGCTTCACCCACTTGTCTCCTTTGCAGACCTGGTCTGCTACAGGTTTCTTATAGGACCCAGGATCCAGAGGCTTCTATGGGCCCATTGTCTGGGCCCATAGAACGATGCCTGTTATCTGAAGGCATTTGAAGATTGAGAAGGGGTCTTGGTCTGTCTGTGAAGGTGCTTAAAGTTGTCACTGAAGACCTACCAATGGGAAGGGTGGAAAGTCTTACTGGAGGTTAGGGATAAAGCATTCACTTGCCCTCTGGAGTCAGCTAGATGACAGCTAAATAAGCCTCTAAGAACCCACACCATTACCCTGGGGCTCATGTAGAATGGGTGGACGAGAGTAGGTCAGGCCAGAAGCCAGATGAGGGCTCGGCTTCAGTGATGCTCACCACATCCAGAGGGCCCTTACCATTCCCCAAAGAGAGATTTAAGTGAGCAAAGTCCAGCTGTAAATGTGGGCGGTAATGAGTGTCTCATATCTGAGCACCACAGAGCACAGAGCTAGAGAGAAAGTTGGAGAGAAAAAGAAAAAGTAGGCTGTGGGGAATTGGTGTGGCAGCATGTGCCTTGTAAAACCAGCGCTCTGACAGGGTGAGCCTAGGCTGGGCAACTTAGAGACTTAGCAACTTCCTGTTTCAAAATAAATGATGAAGAAGGGCTGGAGATGTGGCGCAGTGAGTAGTTCCTGGATTCGGTCACCCGTGCGGGGTAGGGGATACTTTGCACATCCTTTAAATTCTCAGAACGATCTCCCCTAGATGGTCCCAGTATGGCCCAGGATCCCCAGGTCTTACTGTCTCATTAGCCACAGTCTCTGCGTTTAGGATTCTCAGGTCTACCCTCAGTTGCAAGGAATTGGTAGAAGAACTCACTGAGCTTAGAAGGCCAGGTATGCTCATGGTTGTGGTTTAGCACAGTGAGAGGATGTCCATGGAAGTTACGGGGAGCAGGTGCCTGCGGAGGGGCCCAGGAAAGACAGGAGTGGTGCAGACAGCTCCCTCGCCCGGACCTGCAGGGCCTAATGGTGCACACAGTCTGTTGCAAGTGGGGATGCCCCTGTCCAGGGAAGATCAGCTCCAGTTTGAGGTCCAAGCTTTTATCAGGAGTGTCATACAATCATGGAGTGGCTAATTTGGTGACCTTCATCACACAGTCCATAGCTTCACCAGGGGTCAAACTGATGCGGTGTGGCCCAAGGCCCCCACATGAATCATATTGTTGGCATTGGCTGTCTGCCTTGCTCAAGGCCCCAGGTAAGCAGACACTGTAACCAGGCCCAACATCCCATCCTAGAGGTTGCACTGAGGAACCAGACAGCAGCCAGGCATTTACTTGGGATGAGCGGGGTTTGAACAACTCAGGCTCGCTGAGCTGACTCTTCATTGCACAGTCATCCATTCTCAGTGGGTGGAGAGGGTGAGCTGAGTGTTTTCCCAATGCCAGATCCACCTGGGGAGAAGCTGCCAGGAATCCTCTCATGTCTGGTTAGTTTTCTGGAAGCAGAACCTTCACTGGGCATTCTTGCCCCAGTGGTGGGCTGGAGGAGGGCTTGAAGGTGAGACGTGCAAGGGTGGAGAGAAGCAGGACATGAGCAGGGAAAGAGCCCACTGAAGGTGTGAGTCCAACTCAAGGCCAGCCGTGGTCCACTCCCATGTGGGGCTCAGGTGTGGATGGTGCCACACAGCTGTCTTGCCTACAGGTAAGTCCCACCTGTGGCCCCATACCAGTCACTGTCTGTGTGACCTGGCATTTCTAGTCAGTGTTCCCTGTACCAGGGGATGGTTTCCAAGGAAGAACAAAGGTCTTAGTGGGGTCTTCTACATCCCAGCACTTCCCACCATGTGTTCTCTTAGCCTTTTAGGCCTAATAGCAATCTACTGTGTGTGGTCTTCTCCCGAGAGGTGGAAATGGTGGTTTACTAATATTTTCTGTCTGCTTTCCTTGGGACACTACCTGGCTACCTTCTGGAGACCTGCCTTGTGAGGTTCACAAAAATGAGTCAGAACAAGCTTTAGTGAAACCATCCTCAGGGCCATGCTATGGGCTGGATGCTTCTCTCTCTCTCTCTCTCTCTCTCTCTCTCTCTCTCTCTCTCTCTCTCTCGTATCGATGCCTGGGGACCTTTTCTAATAGAGCTCACGTTAGTTAGATAAAGGGCTAAAATAACAGGATAAATATCCTAGATAATACAATGGCAGGAGCATAAAAATGTCCTAATGTGAACAATATGAACCCCCTACTATTGTGCACCTTTCCTTTTTTAAAATTCAAATTTTACTGAGGTCCTGTTGCCTCTGATAACTAGGGAGATCTCAGCCTTGTCTTTAGCAGCTGCATATTTAATGGGTTTTGTAGCATGCTAGTAATTCATGCAGCTTCTCTTAATCTGAGTTGCACCCCAGTTCTCTCTAGGAGCCCCTTCTTGCAGTAGCCTAGAGTCATTAAAATTTCTGAGCGTATCAGCCGAGAAAATAATAGGAACACATCTCCAGCTCCTGCAGCTGTTACCTTAGGCAGACATCTTACCTGTCAGGTAACTTGTCAGCTGCAGGATGGGACAGAAACTCCAGGGAGTCCAAAAAGGAGGAACAGCCAGAAGAAATGTCTTGGTTTTTGACTGTTCAGACTTCATATACTGAAATTTAAACAGAAAGAGTTATCCATCACAAGTGTAATCATGGCGTGAGCTCCCCACGTTGCAGGGAAAAGCTTCAGGCTTTGCCTCTGGTGAGTGGGAAGTCCAGGCTCCTTTTCGGCTGGACAACTAGAAGTTCCAAGGTGGCCCACCAGTCTCTGATTATCACCTAAGGACCCCTTCTCCCTTTTAAGGTCTGCCTTTTATCTCCCCTCCCCAGTCTTGTGTTCCTTGCACCCAAATGGCTCTCTGTCTTCGGCTCCACTATAGCAGGCCATGCTTCAACTCACACTGGGCTTGAATGTGAGGCCACTGACCTGCAGGATCTTGTAAACCTTCACAGGTCTTTCTAGTTATTTCAGGTAGCTGAAATCTCCTTTCCAGAATTAAATACTTTCAAGCCATAACAACAGATGAAGTTAAAATGCTGTTTCACTTACAAGAGCTGAAAACATGGGTGTAAATTGGTACTAGCTCCGAATGATTGACAGCAACAGCTGCTGCCCATCAGGAAAACCTAAGAACATTCCAGAGTGCAGATAGACTTCTCCTTTCCTCTCCCACTGCCCATAGGACCCATCAGATTTTGGTGAGGGTAGGGGAAAGGACAACCAGGAGAAGAGAAGGGGCCTTACACTTTGAAAGTCATTTACTTTCTAAGGATGCACAGAATAGATTGGATGTTTGCGTTATGTGTGTATTTATTTATTTTTGTTTTGACAGGGCCCGTCTTCACTACTGTCTCCGGGCGACATAAATCTCTTGGTTAAGGTAAAAACATACAGTAAATGTACTTATGTTTTGTAAATGGTAATGGGGATTAAAGATATCAATATTTTTTTCTACACAGATACAATATTAGGAATATAAGCATCAGTATTTGTTGAGAATTCACATGCTAAAGCCATGTTATCCAATATAGCAGCCACTGGCCATGTACATGTATTTCAATTTAAATTAATTTCCACTTACAAAAAAATCAGGCCCTTGGTCACACTGACCACTTTCTCTGTACTTAACAACTGCATGTGGCTGGTGGCTCCTTCATAGGGCAATGCAGCTATGGAGCAGAAAGCTCTGGATGGTGCCGTGGTAAATTTAAATTTTCACGCAATGACAACAGCAGTAATCATGTACTGTTCCTGTTCTTGCTTTCCATATAGGAAACCTGAGACACTGTTAGGATCAATTAATAAAACAAGATGGACTCTCCTAGGCACAGAACCCAGTCCTCAGTGGTCAAAGGTTCATCTTGACCCCGCAGCACTGCCTTGTGCTCTGAAAAGGCCTGGAGGCAGCAGTCAAGCAGTTTGTCAGCTTCTGCTGGCCTGATGCTGTGGGTGCAACCCTGCCGGTCTAGTCCAGGTGATGGGTGGCAGGTGCCTTTCTTGCTGAGAAGCCATCCTTTATTATAGAATATTTTCCTTTGTCCCAGAGAGGTTCATCACACTTCTCATTCTGACTTTTGAAAAGCTGCCTGCATAGAAAGTTCATCTTCTCAGAGTCCCTGTTAAAGGGGCTTTCAGAGTTAGATCTGTGCCCAAGGAGGCCAGCTTTGGATGTCTCCATTAGATAACTCCCCTGCATAAACATGTCATCCAATCCTCACGGTTCTGCACCTGTGTTCCATTCCTGTCTGCATCGTGCAGGTGAGGAGGTTGAGGCATACATAGGTAAGCTGCGTGCCATATGCCACAGACCTGGGTGGTGGCAGAGCTGAGGCTCGAGCCCAGTGTGACCAGATCCGGAGCCTTTCTTGTAATCTCTCTGCCATCTGATTTTCTCTTGGAGTGAGCCAGAACTTCATGCCAGCTCTCTGATGAAATGCAGGCAGGCATTTCACTGCACATACCCTGGAGACTTTGAGATACAGGCTACACAACCCTTTGGTAGGAATGCTGTGGTGAGGATTCAGATATGTGGACAAAGGGTAGATGAGATGACCTGAGGCCATTTCTCCTCCTGGAAAATAGGAATTATATTGTTGTACACAGTGAAACCTGCAGCACTCGTCCAGTATAGGCATTTTATGGAAAGTCTGTTTCCTTGGTCTGCTATACTACACTGAACACTGCATACAGTGACAAAGGGAGCTGGAGTTGTTGAAAATATCTCACGCAAAAGCAAGGTGTAGAGACTGGAAGAGAATCAGCTTTTGTAAATAATGCACAATGGGTTCTGAAACATGGTGATCACTTCATATGGATTATTTAATATAAATATTGCAACAATCTCCTAAGGTCAGAGGAAAACCTTTGTTTACAGATAAGAAAATAGATTCAAAGACGTTGAGTGACTTGAAGACATAACTCCATAAGCCAAGAGATTGGGAGCAAGAATTGATGACCCAGAGCACTTAGTCTGTTAAGGGGGCGACAAAACACATTTGGGGAGTAAAATAAGAACTGGAACAATAATGGCACACAGAGCAGCTGAAAGTCTCTGTGCTTTCACTGTTTGCCATCCACAGTGCGTGTCATTTCCCATTCGTTATCTCATTAGCTATGGACTCTATGGTCCCAGTGTCACAGTAGGGAGACTGAGGCTCAAGTAGATGAGGCCATGAGGCAGAGGCTTCATTTGAGTCTGGACAAGCTCATGTAAGTGGAAGCATGACCCTGTCCAGTCTCAAGGAATTTAGAGAAAACATGAAGTACTCTCAGGAAAGGGGAGGTAGAGTCAAGAAGGCTGAGGGTTCTTGGAGCCCAGGAGCCAAGGGGAGCATTGGACCATAGTGGGTGCTGGTCTCCTCTCCACTCGCTGGACACTCAGTCTGGGCCAGTGTGATGTGTCCAACACCTCACTGCTACATCTTGGGCTGCTGACAGCTGTGCTCTTCAGGAACAAGTTACATAGTATACAATTAAGACAGACCCCAGGTAAGTTCTCTACTAGAAATTGGACAGAAATTTGAAAGTAGCAAGAGCTTGTATTGCTCAGATGCAACCTCTTGATGCTGTGGGTGTCATGGAAAGAATGGCTTCCATTCATCACTGCACACCCCAAGTCCAGACACACCTCAGTGGCCAGAATTCTGCAGCCAGGCCAGTTTCATTTCTGGCTGATCATCCATCCATCCATCCATCCATCCATCTATCCACTTATCCATCCTTTGTTGCACTGTTTTATGGCAGCACTCATTTCAAAGTACCTCAGGTGAAGCCTAGAAATAAGTGAGTTCCACTTTACTCTGCTGCTTTTCCAAACAAACAAACAAAAAGCAACCATTATTTTCCTTCATCTTATTCACTCTTGCTTCCTATTATCACATTATTTAAACTCCTCACCTTCTGGCTGGGGATTTAGCTCAGTGGTTCTGCCACCTGCCTCACAAGCGCAACGTTTCCAGTTTGATCTCCAGTGCATGCGCACACACACACACACACACACACACACACACACACACTACACCAAGAAACAAGAAAACTCCTCACCTTCCAAAGATCCAATCAGCTTCCCACTAGTGAAAGGTTGCACAAGACAACAAAAGTCCAGGTTGTCAATTGCATGGTTTATTAGTTATTGGTTGTTGATGGGTTGTGTTGCCTGGGTCATGCACTTTTTGAGTCTCCCTACCGTGGGAGACTATTTGTTATGAATTGGATGTATGAAGATAAAACAACTTTACCTCTATCCTCTGAGAGCCTGCATTTTCTTTTTGTCTGGTGGTGAGAGGATGCAGTCCTCAGCAGACTTTTCCATTGGTGGCACAAGTCTTTCCGTGGAGGAGATTCCTGAGACCCATGGGAGCAGAATGAGCTTGTACTCATCCTGAGGGCATCAGGAAGGTTTTTTGGAGTTAGAGATTTCCCAAGTATCTTTAGAGACTAAGTAGAAATGAAGCAAATGAAAGGAAAGTGGGTCATTCAGAGTTGGTTTTGTGATGGCAAAACTTTACATCCTGAGAGTGGAGGCTGCGAGACCATGATGAATGCTAAATCATTTGAGACCGCACCTCATTTAATATGAACATGTGAAGCTGCTACATACCTCTGCACCTGCCTCAGTAAGAGCCCTCAGAAGACCTTATTTAGTGCATTTCCTTTGTGTTGGTTGACACCAACCCTGAGCTGGTGATGCACATTCACTCTGGTCTCAAAGCTCAGCACAGTGCCTAACACAGAGCAGATGCTTTGCGAGTATTTTTGCAAAGAGTAACTTAGTAAATAATGAATTAATAACAATAGCTAAATGTGTTGGGCATTACCTATCCTGACCTTATTCTCAGTGACTTATTTATATTATCTCATTTAACTCTTATTGCAAGGATAGAGGAGGGGAGAAGGAGAGAAAGGTTTAGAGAGAAGGGCCTTGTGGAAGTAATCTAAGAGATAGGAAGAGGAGGTAGGCTTAAGTGAGTCTCACCTGGTGTATGCTGTACTGCAAACTGTGTAATCCAGAGATGCCACAGACAAATCAGGAAGCAGGTTCCCTGGGCTCTCAGCACTTTACATTTACTGCAGGGGTAGCATTTATCTGCCTCGAAGAAGCAGAACAAAGCTTGACTCCAGAGAACACTTATTAAATGCCTCCCTTGGGGAAAGAATAATGCCAGTCATGCTCATTGCTTGGGTTGTGTGTCACAGCAAAAGGCTCCCAAGAGCCTGTGCCTGTTGCTCCCTCTGATCTCCTTTCTTCTGAAAACACTGTACCCCAGGAAACACACCAGATATTTTAGGCTCCAGCTTTGTTTGACTTCACCTTTGGGGACAGAGCACACTATTAGTAATAATAAATGTTTGCCTCAAGTCTGCACTGTTAATGCTTTTTAGTGCTCACAGATAATTTTCCATGCACTGTTGACATTGTTTTCTCAGGCTGTACTTGCAGCTGCCTGGTTGGCTGGAAGTAGGGAGAAACTGAGTAATAACCCAGACATATCAGTGCTGAAATGCAAAGTCTTGACACAAAAGTATGTGGATAATGTCTCAGTCTACTTGTTTGCTTTTCCATCTTTGCTAGCGTTAAAAAACAAAACCTTCATGTAGAGAGCTAGGAACTAGGGCTGCTTTACTTTGCAAGTAACTGTATTATTTATTCCCTTTCTCTCTCCTTTCTTAGGACGTATGCAGTGAGTGCCCTCCTGGTCCACCAGGCCTCCCTGGTCTACCAGGGTTTAAAGGAGACAAAGGCCTCCCAGGAAAGCCAGGCAGAGAAGGCATGGAAGGGAAAAAGGTAAGGAGAAAAGAGAAATCTTAGTCTTTACCTTTGCAGTGAATGATATTCTGGGAATCCTGACATGGTTCCTTATGACTCCGAAAGGATTAAGGTTATAAGGGATTAGAAATAGCAGCGAAGCATGAGGTTGAAAGGACAGAGCTATAGGAATGGTAAGGACTGGGGATATATAAGTTCTTGTCATTTTAAGAATATGTTGACTGTGATACTCCAATACATGTTGAGGTCTAGAAATTCATAGTCATTATATTGACTGACTTTTCCTACTTTCCTCATTTACTACTACTTCCATCCACCCAACAACTTTGACAACTATGTACTAGGCACCAAGATTCTACAGATCTATCCACTCGTCCACTTCTCTCCCTGACCGTCCATCCGTCCACCCATTTGTCTTTCCATTTCTTTGTTATTGCCTGTTTTGTTCCATTAAATGTTTCCTATGTATCAGTCAACATGTCAACACTGGAGAGGGCTGGGGATTTAGCTCAGTGGTTCCGCCGCCTGCCTTGCAAGTGCAAGGACCTGAGTTCCATCCCTGGTACCAAAAAAAACCCAACACTGGAGAGGCCCAGGAGAAAAGACTGAGACCCTGTTCTCATGCAGCTCCTGAGGGAAGAAAGTTGCATATGGGTGGATGAGGGTTATAACTCAAAACAAAATCTTCTGAGTCAGAAATCCTCTCCATAAAGGTAAAAGAGAAAGAGCACAATCTTATTGAATAAACATTAAGACAGAATGTGATGTGCATCACAGGCAGGCTGCTAAAATATTACAAAGTCAGAGAGAAACTCATTCTTTTACTTAGTCAAGATTATTGAAACATCCATTTCATATATTTTTAAGATAAGCAATAGCTAGTTCTAAAGTAAAAGGACTCAGCAGCACCACTTGTCATACACGTTCACCCTGAATGCAGCTGGGTAGCTATCTGTGTCAACTAAGTGGCTTTATCTAAAGGAAAGATAAACATCTTCCATCTGCCTGACAGGAGGTACTTTTGCAAGTTGGGAAGAGGCTCCTACCATCTCACAGAAATTAGGCTAGAGCCATTATCTTTCTTGCTGATTACAAACATTCCTGGATTGCAAAGCTGGAAAATGCTTTATTTGGCTTTTGAAAGTATCTGAACACATTTTAAAGAGAGAAAGAACTCACAATGAGAAGTTTTGGAAAGTGAATGTTTATATGAGACAGAAGCAAACTCAGATGTGAAACTGACCTTTGTTCTTATGCTCCGGGCCTTCACCAGCTTGGTTTCCCTCCAGCCCCAGCTGTGCAGGTGTTTTTAGGATGTGTGTACGAGGATCCCAGAAAATTCTTCATGTCCTCTGGAACCCTGAGAGAGGCCAGGGTTTTAAAATTTTAAAACTGACATGACTAAGAATATTTTCACTTGATTTAATTCTGGTGAGCAAGTCATCAATAATAAGTATTTGACATTTGGCCTTTCATGTGTCTTATTATATGAGATAGTAAATAGATATGTTTGGATGTTTTTACACCCATGTTATGGATATTTTCCTCAGCTTGCTGTTAAACAACTCAAAAGACCATTTAGTTGGTTAAGATGGGTGGGCCTTAGAGGTTGATTCCAACAGTCTTCTCCTCAGAGTGGCTCTCGGGGCAGGTGGCAGCTCCACATCACTTCAGGACATTTTTAGATAAACTTTTCTGAGACTCTCAACCAGACCCTTTGCATCAGATCCCCAGATGGGAGACATGCGTGGTTGTTGAGAAACAACACTAGTAACCCTAATAGCTACCCTACCCTTCCTGGCAGGGCCTGGCAGGTGACTCAGAGCCCCCTCTTCCCACCTCGACAGCCCCTCCTCAGAGCCAGGCAGCTCTGTAGTACAGAGAGATACACGTATATAAAATGAGATGCTACATCATTCAGTCTCTTTTTCTTATTGCAGCAGAATTCTCCACTCACTGCCTCCCATTTCTGAGGGATAGGAATCCAGGAATGGCTTGCTGGAGGTTCTGGATCAGATATTTCCTGAATGGCTGTCAAGTTCTTAGCTGCAGTCATCTCAAGCTCTGTTTGCAAGGCTTGCTCTGTGGCTATCAGCTAAATTCTCACTTCGTCACTAGCTGCAGTCAGGAGCCCATTTCTTCCTACATAGCTTCCTAGTGAGATGGAGGCATGGAAGCTTGTTTCCGCAGAGTGAGTGGTTAGACAGAGAACGAGCAGGATGGAAGGAGGACGCCAGGCAAAGGCTGTTCCTTTCTGTACTCTAATCCCGGAAGTGACACCTCATCCTTTCTGCTGTATTCTGTTACCCACACAAACCAATCCTGATACAAATGGGGACTACTCAAGGCTATGAGTGTGGGAAGCAGGGGGCATGGAGCCATCTTGGAGACTGGACCCATACCATCCGACTACACCATTGGGCTTATGCACACAATTGCACAGATGCTCATGGTACTGACACTTGTACATGACCTATTCCCAGATGTGCTGGTGGCAGGGGCTGGCTGCAGGGAAATCCTGGGAGGAAATCAGTGGACAGGTGTTCAAGGTGGATGGCTTGATGATGACTTTGGTCATGGGATCCAGACCCTCAGAATAGTTTTTTTCTTTATTTTCCTTGCTATAGGGAGAAGCTGGATCCCAAGGCCCCCCAGGGCCCCCAGGAATAGCTGGACCACAGGTCAGTAAAACTTCATAAATATCTGTACACATCTGTTCTGTTCACATCAGTGATTCATCCAAGTTTGAGGAAGAGTGATGGCCTTTGTAAAGGAATGGTGATCTTACAATCAGAAAACAGGTATTCCAGAGCTACTAATGGCACTGACCACCCTAGTGCCCTTGGGTGGGTGGTTCTACTTGTGAAGTCTCAGCTGCTCACTTACAAACACCTGAGTGCTACAAGGCACGAATGGCAGGTAGGAATTGGAATGTGTGGTGCTAACTGGCTAAGACATGACAGACAGCTCAACTTCACTGTCTACTAATGACAAAAAGAAAAACAGCTTCAACTGTATGTTATAAATGAATAAGAGAAGGCATGAAAAGAACTTGGTACTCAATAGAAAGCAACAGGAAAGTGCTTTACACAGGCATGTGGGCATTGTTAGCCTCACTTGAATGACAAGGTGCCTTTTACACGAAGCAGCAAGTGTTGTGGCTTCATAGAGTCGGAGAGGCCAGCTGGGAGGAAGGAGGTGAGATCTCAGCCACAGGGCAGGCAGGGAAGCACTCTTTGGCTGTCAGAACAAGGGTTTGGGGGCTGTGTCTGTCTTGGCTGTTGTTGGTGACAGTATTTAGCTTTGAGAAGAGGTAGCACGACTTCCTTGTCCTTGGTCCTCCCCTGTGGGTGCTTCCTAGTTCCCTGTGTCTTTGGAGCTGCAGCAAACTGTGTGCCTCCCCTAATACTTTCTTCTGTGGCCTGGATCGTCATAGTGAGGTGCAGGATGGAGTTTTCACTAGGAGTGGGTAGAGTGTCAGAAGTCAGAGCAGGGAGCTGGAATCCTATCACAGCTCTGTGGCCTTGGGAGAGTTTCTAAGTTTTTCTGCCACTCCTTTCCCATTGACTCAGCAGGGTCCAGGGTCATTGACCTTAGAGCTTATCACTGTGAAGAGTGCAGGTGGAATGTTCTTGTCAGTGGCTGGTGCACTGAGAGCACTCAGAGGACATTATTACTCTTTCAGCCCCTGGGTCGTGGCCTGTGACAGAGCCAGAACTATTGTGAAGACTTCAGGATAAAGTGAAGGGAAAACCAAAAACCTCTTTAACCAAGATAAATAATACTTAATACTGTATTTTTAAATATAAATTAATGCAATAAATCCACAAAGAACAAAATAGCAAATTTAAAATAAAGACAGAACCCAACCTTATACTTGAATGTCTTCCCTTACTTGTCTCCCCCCAATAACAATCTGTTCAGATCTGTGTTTACTTACATTGTAATATTTTGTTCATCTTGGATTCTTTTGGATTGATTTTTACCTTTTAAAGGATTTCACTGGAATATTATTTATCATGGTTATTGAGGTTTGGGGAGCCAGAGATAGATGTTTCACTCACCTTACCCTAGGACAAGCCATGGAACATGACCTTGAATATATTATTATTACTAAAAAGGAAACAAACAAAACGTGATGTTACCACAACCAGACCTGTGGTGGATCAGGATGGGAAGTATTCATGTCTCCCAAGCCCTGGCTGGAAGGTTAAGATGTCTAGCAGTTATGATACTTAGATTTTGTAAAGATTTAGAGGTTTTTAATGGAGCCAAAACCCGTGCTTCTAAAACCAGTTATCAAATCTCAGCACAGATGGAGCAAGATATCTTGCCTGGGGCAGTGTTAGGTCCAGAGGCACCAAGAAAGAGTTGCACTGCCAAATGTGCACGCTGCTCTCTGCACATGACACCCCTTTCTGGGGTCATGAGGGGAGACTTAGCTCCTAGCTTGGAGAATTTCCCAGTCCTGTAATTTCAGCTGATCCTTAAAGAACTTTTGCTTTTGATTTTCTGGCTATTGGCTGGGCTTAGCTTCTGCAGAATAATGGTTTTTATTCAGAGAAACAAAATCAACTAAACAGATAAGGAGTTTCCACTATCAACTATGGGCTGTTTCCTCTATCATGCCAACCCTGTGTGAAGCTCTGATGATTTGGGATAATACTTCTTTCCTCATTCTTTTATAATTTGCTTCAATGAGGGCTTGCTCCTTTTAATTGTCTGTGAAAGCCAAAGAAACCTTCCAGCTGGAAAAATAACAAAACTTTGTGGTACACATGAAAGACAGGGTTCTCCCTTCTCCACTTGGGGCTCAATGGTGACCTTGAGCAGTTCTTGAAGCTTGGGTCTACTCTTCATAGTGACTGTTCACAAGTTATTCTGCTACTGAGTATTCTAAGGGCCAGATAGCCTGCTTTCCAATATTGTTTTCTGCAATGGTGAGCATAGCTCCAGGAAGTAGGGCTCTTATCCCACTTTACCAATAGGAAACTAAAGTTTAGCAAGGTTAAATGCCAGCAGCAAAACCAGTAGGCTGTTTAGCTGAGGTCAGTCCCTGGTGATCTAGCTTCAAGACCTGCTCTGTTTAGCAGCCATTAACTTGTAGTTGGGCAAATGGCAACACCAGCACCACGGACAGTTCCCAGTGGTGCTAGGTGCTTTAGTCAGCGCTGTGGTAATTAACGTCACAGTAATAATTTGCCCTTTACCACCATTTATTGCCAGAAAAACGAGTCACAAAGGGGTTAATGCATCCTCTGTAAACTCAAAGGTCTGCTTCTTGATTCATGCTTTCAAACTGAAGCCAATTTTTGTGTTCTTCATTCATCCCATACCACTTTCTGTCAGTTACCAAACAGTATCTCTGCCAAACTTGTGAACACAGAGATGGTTTGTAGCTGAAAATGCTACCCATGTTGTATAACTGCTCTAGCATCCTTTTGTAATGTGCATATTCAAGAGAGGTTGGTTCATTTCTTTGCAGTTGTCACTTGGTATCTAGAAAGGAGTTTCCCCAAGATTTATCTTACACATTTGTAGCTTCTCTCTTTGGGGGCTTGGGCTGAGCAGGTTAATACCACAGTCAGTTACAGAGCTTTGAAACTGCACAAAACACTTCCTTTAAGGAACAGGTTCTGGACAGTGTGGCTTCTGGAATGATTATGATCCATGCCAAGGGAAAAGAGAAAAGATAACAATCACAGCAGTGACCCTGGGAGCATGTGTTCCTGTTGTCAGATATAACACCATTTCTCTCACACTGGAGATGATGATAATTATATACCCCATGAAAAACATTTTATTCTCTTCTCACTGAACATTCAGTTACCAGGTAATGGAGTCTACAGGGAGTCTGTGGTGGCCCTGAAGACACCCTAATGAGCAGGAATCCTGTCTTAGAGGTTCTGGGTTAGTCTAGGGAGGCAAACACTACTGGTATAATCACTGCCAGAAAAGACCCCCAGGAATCATCCTACCCAGAAAGACACCCAGAGCCACTCGCTCCATTCTCTCTTAAGAAGTGGGCATGTCTTTCCAATCACAGATGCTTCAGTCCTGAGAGACTGTCACCAAGGTCCCCTTCAACAGTTTCCTTCCAAGTCAGCAGGTACAGACAGAGGTCAGACTGGAACCAGGCTTTCTGTGCCTGGGCAGAGAGAGATTACAAGCTGATAAGTGACACTCAGAAAAGCTAAACAGAGGCTGGTGGCCCTCCAAGCAGTAGAGACACGCTGAGCATTGGAAGCCAATGGCTCCTTAATCTGCCCTGCCTTCCATTAGCTGAATGAATGTATTTCCTAATTATAGGGCTTGAGCATTTGTTTGATTTCCCTGACCTTTCAGTCCCTTATATAAAAAATGCATAGCTTAACTCACAAAGAAAATATGAAGACTAAACAAGAGAAAATTTACAAAGCATAGCATGTAGGAAACATTTAATATGTGCAATTGCTGTGGTCCTCATAACTCTTGCTTCATTTCAGTTCATTGCCGCTACAACAGTGTCAGAACCATAAATGATTTTAAGAAAACTAACACCATGGTCAGGGAGTAATTTGTGGGGGCTGCCTGGAGGGAGTGGGATTTTAGTGTCTTAAAGGAATAAGCAGGATTTTCCAAGTATCTGTGTGACAGTATTTTCTAGGCAGAGTAGCAGCATGCAAAAGTTCAGCTTGTTCTGAGAGTAGCGGAGACATATTAATTTATAAAGTTGAGGTCTTGGCCTCAATAGTTTGCAAACCCCTGGAGAAAATCACCTGTCCCATAGACCCACAAAGGCAGACAACCTGAGAACAGCCCTTGGTACAAAGGTAACCTCTAAGTAATTGAAAATACAATTGAATGGCTCTAGTAAATATTTATAATACTTTACTATTAAATACATGTGAAAACAAACCAGAACATTTCCCCAATCCCGAAAACCATAAAGTGAAAGAGAAAAAAATTTTCCTAATGGATAATCATGAAGCCAGAGTGGGATGTGCTTCAGAGGTTGGCTCAGAGCTTCCAGGGTCAGAAAGAAAACTCCCTCTTTTATAGGGCTGAGCTGCTAGAACAGCTGCCACTGCACATGTGCTCAGGATTCGAAGTAACTGGTCCTCAAGTTGGAGGGCTTGGTAGCAACACTTGTCACCCTCGTTCACCCCAGATTCAGCTGGTAACTGGGCTGGCCAGCTGCACTAGCTCATTGGCCTTATTGAGAGGCAAGATAAATGTCTCTTATCTTTATGACAAGGAGGTAAGTTTTATTGTTTCAGTACTGGGGATTGAAACCAGGGCCTCTGCACTGAGCAGTGTCCCCTGCAGTATGTTTTATTTTGAACCAAGTTCTCACTAAGTCTCTAAATTGCCCAAGCTGGGCTGAAATTTGTGATCCATCCCCAACCTCAAAGAGTGCTAGGATTACGGGCTGCCCTACCACATCCAGCTGACAAGAGGTAGTTTTGCACCTTGGATCTGCCCAAGTTAAGTTCCTGCTTTCCCTTAGGAACTGAGAGCTAGAGCTGTTATCTTCCTTGCTGGTTATATTGCAAAGATACAGACCTTAAATCTTGAGAGAGACAGTCCTGATTCCTGGTCATAAAGTGGGCAGGAGATTTATCCAGCTTTTGAAATGATCTACAGACATTTCAAGGACGCAGACCAAGAACTCAAAGTAACAAGTTTTCTTGAAGTGCTCTGAGAATGAGGGCCTCTGTACCCTTATTTTCAACAAGGAGAATTAAGCTTTTACAAGGGCTCCCCAGTAAACATTTTCCGAGGAGAACCGAGTTAGTAAAGAAATCAATGAATAACCTCCCTGGGATAAAAATTCCAGACAGACTGGGGTTTTTATGTGTTTGGTTGATTGTTACATCTCCAGTACATTGTATCAAGCTTGGCATGTGGTCAGTCTGGTGGATCAGGCCTCCCACTTGTAAAAGCAGTGCTCTTGACATTATAAAAACAGTGGGACCATGCATTAGGGCCTAAAGAAGTAGCAGGAAAATAACTTGGGTGGGGAAAGCTTGCCTGGAAATTTGATAAACAGACAGACCAGTCTGGATTAGATTCCAGACCTTGCTCTTGATTAGCTGTGTGACCTCAGTTGAATGACTTAACCTGTCTGGTCTTCAGATTTTTTTCTAATAGTTTGTTAGTAATGGTTATGTCAAAAGCAGTTTTACTGACTAAAGTAGGTATCATAGACATATTAAATTTTTTGGCATCGGCTCAGAATGTAAACAAAGATACACAGTTAATGCATCTCATGTGGAAAGCCCTGGCAGAGTGCTTGGCAAAGTAGGGGCTCTGTAAACATCAGGCTCTTTCTCTGCAAGGAAGTGAGTCAGGCTTGGCGGTGGCTGTGTTTGCTTCAGTCTTTGTCTGTGGTGGGCAAGGAGACAGGGACAACTGCAGGGGCCCTGAGCCAATGACATTTTCATTGTTGCCAGGTGTTGGAACCACTCTGAAGACAGGCTGAGGCCTAAAATTTGAAAGGAAAACATTTACCTTTAAGGCCATTGTCCTAAATGTCAAGAGTGCTTTGTGCTATTCTTTGTCCCTGCTTTTCATTGATTATAAAGCTGGCCTGCAGACTGTGTGCTAGCTTTAAAGATATAGAAGCAGTAGATATAATTACATGCAAAATGTGAGAACAAATGCTCTTCCTCTTGAACCCATTTTCTCCCCCTCTACACAGTGGGGTTTAGCACTTGCTGGGCCTGGGTAACCTAACCCTCCCCATTTCCCCCAGACAGAGGCAGAGAGAGAGGGAGGCTTATGATAGAGTCAGCCCAGCAGTGATCTGCTCTATGGGTGGTTGGAAAGAGGGCTGGCCTCCATGTTTCGGTGAGGAAGTGGTCTGGATCTGGCCCAGAAGGACCCTCGTAGCCTATGCTGCCCCTGAGCTTCATTTACCGGGTGACTGAGACCTGAGAGTGTGTGTGAGCTGCTCAAGTATGCAAAGCTGAGAGCGCCAAGAATGGAAACAGGCCAGGATAGACTTCTGCCAAGGACTCACTTTACTGCCTAATGAATGCGTTATTTTAAAGGAACTGAAGTGCTTCAGTCTAATAACGTTCTACAGAAGTGTGTTGGTTAACACAGTACATACGGAGCTGTGGTGGGCAACAGGTAGCACACTGGAACCCGCGAATGGTACCTCTAGGGTTAGACTATAAAAATATGTTTGCTAGGTTGCGTATCCCGCGTGTTTTGATAACGATTGGTGAAAATGATGATGGGGACAGCGAAGACAGCAGGACCGTAGTGGTGGCAGTGGGTGACCCTAAGTGGTGAGGATGAATATGGCAGTGATGATGACAGTGACAGCGATGACCCTGCTCACAGTGACGATGCCAAGAGAGGGATGACAGTTGGTGTTTGTCGAGTCTCTTGCTAGTCTCAGCGCTTTGTAGACTTTGTGTACTTTAAGGCTTACAGTCCTGCAACAAGATGCCATTGTTATTATGATGTAGAAGAAGACAGAGCGTAGCCCAGTGTCACGCAATAAATCACAAAGTTTGGATTGAAATGCCAAAATAACCGCAACAATAATTACACTAACCTTTGTGAGCTCTCACTTTTGCATGCTGTTTTCTATGTACCATTTGCTTGTGTTTGCCTAGCATTTCATAGGATGAGTGCCATTTGGTTTTCTTTTTGGTGGATTAAAAGACCATTACTGTGAGAGTGGGAGTGGCTCACCAAGACTACACAGCTGCTCAGAGAGGGAGCACAGGGCATGCGCAGGGAGTCGCCATCCCCAAAGCCCACGGTTCAGTGCTTCCCAGCGTTTCAGCTCTCTACTCCCTTCCTCCTCCCTGCACACCTGCACTGCCAGATCATGAGCGTGGCAGGTTCCGCCTCTCTCTCACTCAGTCCTGAAACACCCGGTCCCCTCCTTGCTCTTCTCTACCTAGACCTTCTAGCCCACTTATCACCACAGTCACAGCTAAGCTTTGGGTGCTCATGCATCTTCTAACAAAGCCCAAGGCCTACAGCGAAGTCTGGATGTAGGAGTTGGTACACTGAACTTACAAAGAATAGGGCCCTGCCTGCCTTCCCAGCCTCATTTCCTGATGCTGGCCCATGGTACCCAAAACCCCATTAGGCTATTGCAACAACAAACCCCCAGTCAGGCCTTGTTTCTCTGTCTGCTGGCATCATACCTGGAACTCAGCAGTAACTTGGTAAGAGGTTGTTGAAAGATGGATGGATGGATGGATGGAAGCATGGACATGGTTTTTGTTTGGCCTTTTGCAATATAGTTCTAGTAAAAATTTCATTGACCTTTCTTTCTGTTTCTTGCTTTTTTCTTCCAAGGGAAACCCAGGAGAGCGGGGTGCAGATGGTGAGGTTGGACAGAAAGGTGATCAGGTGAGGAACAATTTCCTTTATAGTGCATTGCTCACCTTGAGTACAGATTCCTGTTTCCTCTCTGCAGCCCCTGTCCTCCATTCTGATGCGAGCCCTGGCTGCTCTTTTGCCTGAAGTAGGAAAGTCTGAAATAGGGGTTCTTGGTTTCCATCTCAACCTCTCAGATGCACAGCCACCCACCCTTTCCCTAGGTGTCCAAGGACCCACCTTTCCCCCTTCTCTTTGATTTTGCTGTGTAATCTTTTATTGGCTACCTCTTGGTCACCGAAAGTCATCCTTCAATGCCCCATTCCTCCCTCCGACTGAATCTTGCATGCCTACTGTGTAACACACACGGACCCAGGTAAAATAACCCCTGGCTCTGGTTGGTGCCACCAGGCTGCTGGGCTCTCTCTAATGAGTGTTAAGAAGGGAGCAATGATGACATGCGATCTTTCTGTCCATCTGTGTTGACCCTTGCCCCATCTAATGGTTCTGGCCCAGTGTCCTGACTGTGATTACAGTAGCTGTTGGGAACCTGGGGACCGAGCACCTAGCCAAGTCAGGTTCCATATATTATGGCCACTTTTCTTCCATCTGTATTCTCAGCCACTTCTCCACAGCTGCTCCCTCTATGTTATTTTGAAGCAAATCCATGTAAGACAGATTCTTTTAAAGTATTTTCAACTACTTTCTTCACCTCCTGAAGCACTAGGAATGTAGGAAAAATAGATTGTTTTTTCTGTGTCTTCAACTTAAATTGTTAATGGAGCTAGAAGGTGGATTCTAGATAGTTTCCTAAAATTTGGTGTTCTTACAAGGTTAAAGACTTGCTTACAGAATTACCGCTTGTGTCTTCCTAGGGTCGTCCTGGAGTTCCAGGTTTCATGGGGCCCCCAGGGATCCCTGGGCCACCAGTAAGTAAGATCTCTAATCTCCTTCCCCTTTGGCCTTGATGTTCAGCACAAGTGCACACTCACTGGAGTTGGCATCATACTGGATCTATCTCATTGAAAGGATGGGATGACCCCCTAAGAACCCCTAAGAGTGCCCTAGGATGAACTGAAAGTCCCAGGCCCAAATCACCTTGGGAGAATGCAGAGGGACCCCTGTGGCTTTGATGGGCAGTGTACTTAGAACGCCCTTGGGATTAGGAGCACTGGCAGGGATGGATTTAGCCTGTGTATTTCTAGGTTAAGAAATTCATTATGCATTGCAAATGTATAATAATAAAAGTGGGAAATTTTTCTTGTTTTGAAAATGAAAATTAACCAAAAAAATTCTTTCTCATGGGGACTTGCCCTATGGTGAGAAGTTCTGGGACTTAGAATGAGCCTGTAGAATTTTCCTGAATGTCCATGGATTGTCTCCATGAGACCCCTCCCAGACTTTGCACATGAGGGCTACTAATGCCTAACAGCCCCCAGAGAGGGAACTCACTTCAAATAGACCATTGTGTCATAAGAAACTGTGAAACAGAGGTTCACTTGGGATTATGAAGTTAAATATACCAAATTAAACTTTCTGTCTTCTTTTTAAATAAAATCTCACTGACATCTCTTATTGGTAACTTTGTGTTAATTACTTGAACAAATGAAGTTGTTTTAAATGTATTTTTTCAATAAAATCATATGAGGTCGTGAAACAGCATTCTTCCACTTCATGATTAACTTTCACAGCGTACTTGTCAAAAGGTAAATTCATCTATGAAAGTATTGAAAGCTTTATTAGTTCTTCAGAGAGCCTACTTTAAATTGTTGATATCCAGCTCAGTCTCTGCAAGTGCTCTGATGTTATTATCTTTTTTAATTTCTCAGCCTTGATTCCTAACTGATCCAACTCTGCTTTGTGCACATTTTTTGAAGGATATTGTAAGGGACGGATGAATTTGCTATCAATTAACTTCATGAAATTTTATAATTCTTTCAAGATTTAGAATTCACATTGTTAAATGGCTTGCATTACATTTGCATATGTTACTGGGTTTTGTAGCATTTGACAGTCAGCAAAAGGAAAAACTGACAAAAGTGGTGAAACTGAGTATTGGAAAGAGAGACACTAGCATTTAGCAAAGAGAGACATTTGAGAAGGTACTTTTGTTTTAAAAAATCGGTTCATTGTTAGATAATTTTGTGTCACGAAGACTTTAGCTTCCCTGTTCAACCTACAAGCTGGGGAGCTCAAGTTAAAGTCTCATCCCCACTTCATCCTCTGAGTTCAAAACCTTGTAACATATCTCCAGTATGGATGAGATCCTGGCCTCTTCTCATTGGAAGTCTCAGTAACTTACAACTCTGGGACAGTGTGGAATATGGCCTCTGGCTTCTCAGACTAGAGGATGCATCTGAGACTCAGAGACAATCATAATCAGAAGCCAGCTTGTCTGTCTTCAACTGATTAATGCTTTCTGTTCACTTGGCAGATGTTTATTGGGCTACTATTTTGTGTCATCCCTTGTACTGCTAATTGCCATTGAGGGAGGATACTGAGTCAGCTGCCTCTTTGGGATCAGCAGCCAGGCACACAGAAGCACCTGGTCTTCGTTTTGTTTTTTGTTGTTGTTGCTGTTTGTTTGTTTGTTTGTTTTTACTCTGGGCCATTCCTTGAGTATCTATTATTTGTCAGGGCCTGTCCAAGATATCCAATGCTTTAGGCATTTCCTTGTTTATTTTCTGGTTCTCAATCAATGTCTTTCCTCTAGATAAAACTATTACATTGTTCTCAATTTTGCAGGAGAGAATTTAATCTCAACTCAGCAATTTTCCAAGAAAATTCCATTTCTAGTTCCAGAAATGTTTGCTAACATCATGTAGAAATATCCAAATTTGAAGTGGAAACTCTATTGTCCTGTTAGCTTTTGACTAAATATATAATTAAACCAAAAGCCTTATGCTCTTTGTTGAAATATTATCAGTATCTCTTTTTTTCATGAATATTTCCTGGGTCTTCACTTAGTAGAAGAGATGGAGCCAAACCACGTAGATTCTGTCCTAGAAACTGGCCATCCATGGAAAATAAGACCTATTTTCTATTGCTATATCAAATTTCTGAGGTCCAAGACCATGGTGCAGTCTCTTCTATATTACTAAAACTTGACTACCACCTGGTAAAAATAGGCATTCAATAAATATATGTCAAACACTTAAATGAAGACTGCTGGATCAGTATCAATAAAGTGCTTGCTTGTTCACGTTTCCATATTTGGTTAATAGTATTGTCCCTGGACTTTGAATAGTCAGTCAGTAGAAGCGTAATAATGGATAGCTCTTCACGGGGAGCTCATAGGATGCTCTTGGTGCTGGCTGATTCTTAATGCATATTAACTTATTGAAATCTTTTAACAACTCATGCAAAAATTGTAGGCTGTTTTTGCATTTTACAAAGGAAATAGTATGTGGAAGGGATAATTACCTTGCCTGGGATTCCATTGCTAGCCTAGGAGAAACAGGATATGGACACAGAGGTTCTTAATCTGAGAAGGTTCATACCTAACCAATACCCTCTGTGCTGTACTAAGCACCGCTTCGTTGACTCCTCGTCTCCTTATGGTATGGGAGACAATTTTTAACTGTTACTGGAAATGAAGCTGAAGCTTACAGATCATGTGTGACCCAATCAATGCCACTAAGAGGCAGGGAGCTGAATTCATCTACAGAATAGTTGCTTTCATCACTCAGCCAGATCAGCTCCCAATTCATCCATTTATTCAAGAAATATTGACTGAGTGCCCAGTATATTCCAGGTGCTCTTTTAGATTCCAGGAGGAAAAGAAAAAGAAAATTCCTGACTTTGTGATGTAGCAGGTGTATGGGAGGAGGGAGACAGACAAACAAATACCAAATCAATAAACACTAGGACATCAGATGTTGCCAAGTGCTTCAGAGAAAAGTATACAGAAAAAGGACAGATTGTACCGGAGTGGTGAGTGGCAAGGGCTTGCAATTGCAGGCCTGGTAGGACAAAATCCTCATACTAAGAAAAGGATACTTGAGCTAAGACCTGGAGGATGGGGGTGGCGTGCTGTGGACACAGAGAGGCTCAGATTCAGGCCAGGGGAATAGCTCACACAAGAGCCCTGATTCAGATGTGTGCCTGAGAACACTGCACTGCTGAGCTACCTGTGTACAGTTCTTCCATCTATCCATCTCTTCATCTCTGGATTGACATAAAAAATTGTCTTCCTGATCTTTCTCTTCAGATCTTGTTTCCTACCATCAAATGTTCTCTAACATTAGCTGAAAATGTCTGTTAGGAAGTGAGACCATTTACCATTATTGCCTTGGGAATGACTGGTTGATTAATCATCCCAGCCCTTCCTGAAATGTGGGCCTTCTTCCTCCAATATCATTGCATTCTCAGGGAACAACCCGACCCGATGGGGAAGAAGCAGGGCTTTTGCAACCTGTCTAGTGTTGGCAGCTGTGCGGAAGATGTGTGCATTACACATCTGCTAAAGAGGCTATATAGGACCTCTGCCCAGGCACACCATAAACTAATCCGATCTGCCTTGTCGTTTTAAGGGAGCAGATGGAATCGCAGGAGCTTCTGGACCACCAGGAATTCAAGGGCCTCCGGTAAGTTCCTCGAGGAGCAAGGTCTTCTTTAAATCTGTCTTTAGGCCTTTCCAAAGGCCCAGGTGTTTGTCAACCTTGTTCAGACCCTCTGTGGCTCCTGTGGCCCATGTGTCCCCAGGGTTCTGTCACTAATAGTTCTGCAGTGAAAGAGCAGAAGGGTTGCTTTCTGTTGGACCCCAGGTTACTTTGCCACTAAAATAAAGGTTTGGATGACATAGTCTGGCCATCTGCGATTTCGGAATTAGTTTACAACCAATCTCACAAGCAGGCCCAAGGTTGTGGCCTCATCTCTGCATTATGATTCCAGCATAGTTTCTGTTCTGAACATGTGCAGGTGAGTGGAAAGGCTCAGGCTGGCCTAATGAGCATACACTGTGCCCCGGGTGCATCTCAGGCAGGAGGCAGACAGACCTTGTCATCCCACCTGTTCCAAAGGGGAGATGTCATCACTGCAAAGAGAAAAAAGATGTCACTGATCAAGGTCCCTACATCGCAGATGGTACAGTTGGCATTTGAATGCAATGCTTTTATCTCAAAAACTAGAGTTACCTTCATGTTACAAGGCTACTAGAATCACCTTTAGTTTCAATGCCATAAAGCAAAGGTGAACTATATTTTAGCAGGCATATTCCTAGTAATAATATGTGTATGGGATCCAAAGGAATATGTAGCACATTCATATTCCTCATCCCATCTATTTCTTTTCACTTTAGGGCTACAATTTGGAAAGGTCCTAAATCATTGTATCCACTTTGTAAGTAAGGGAAGGGAGGATTGGAGAATAAAAAGACCAGTTCAGAGTCACATAGTGAGGAAATGTCAGAGCGAGGCACAAAGCCCAGTTCATGAGACTCTCAACATCACAGTACAAAACTGGGTAGCAAGGCCAACCCTGCCATGGTGTCTTTGGACTCTTCTGCAAAGGGCACCTTATGGTTCATTTAGTACACCTTCATTCTACCCATCCAGAGAAGACAGTGCCCAACAGACTTAAGACAAAGTCATGTAGGAAATTAACTTCCAAGTTGAGGGTTACATCCACTTGAAAATTCGCAGTTCACTGTTTCTACTATTTCACCTTGACCCACTTGGGAATGTAGAGATTGAACAATGATAGCCATGTGGTCCTTTTGGAGGATCATCATGTAGTTGGAAGCAACTCTCCTAGAAGCCTCAGCATGAATGCAATATTGCAGGCAGTTTTTCATTGATTCTCAGACTATGAAAGATTTTCCCCAATAAAACTAGTGGACCATTTCCCTGATAAGAATGAGTTGTGGACCCAGATATAAAATCATTACATTCCTAGGAATTAAAGTGTATTAAATAAGACATTGATTCTATCCTGGGATTTCTTGCCAAGTTATGGGAGTATTTGAAGTTGTCCATGGTCTTAATACTTTACTATAAACATTAAATCAGAATATAGTGGATATTTTCTTAGCCTAAAGAATGAATATTGGTACTTAAAAATAGAAATAAAGCAAAAAGTTAGATGGTTATTGTAAATAGAAATATACATGTAGACCTAAACATTTTCATTTTATTTTGAATTAAGACATGTAAATTATTTGTCAGTCTTTTGACATAGGCTAAAGGCCTGTACTTTTGCTTTGATCTCCCTGAATGAGTTTTTTAAATGATCCTTATAAAAAGAATATCTGTCCATGTACTATTTGCTGTTATAAAAAAGTGCTTTTAGAATATAACTACACCTTGAAATAATATGAATATGAAATCCTAGATTGTTGTAATCTTTGATAGCTATCTGATAGTTCTGTTTATAGAGTGAGTGACTCATCTTCATCACATTTTGTGACAGGCCAAACTTAAGTTGCATCAAAGATCATTCTTTTCCTTTCACTACCAAAATTTCATTGAGTTACCTAATAAATAATCGAATAGATTAATTTCCATAGCAGACGACTGCAGACAGATTAGAGGAACAGGCATCTGTGTCCCTGTGAGCTTCAGCTCTTGTGGGAGGGGCAGGAGCAAGACTGCCTGACAAGGCAGAGGTCTCAGAAGGATGGTGTGGCTAGGTCACCACAGGAATGGTTAGGTGGAGGTTAGTTAAGGGTGCATCCCTCTACCATATTTTAACAACTGGTCTGTCTACTGATGATGCTGCTTTCTAAAGACAGGAGAAGCCTGGTTGTGATGTCATGAGCCCTGGATAGGGAGTCAGGAGATGGGTCCTCTCTTGGATCCATGGCATTCTTATTATGAGACCAGAGCTTCAAGGCAATGGTACAGCTCAGGGCTTTGCAAACTTTTCCATAAGGAAACAAATAGTGAATATTTCAGGCTTTGTGGGGCATATGGTCTCAGCTGCAACTTCTCAGCTATGATGGGCAAAATGAGCCACAGACACTATGGAAAATAATGGATGTGGTTGTGTGCTGATTAAACTTTATTTATAAAAACAGGCAGCGGACTATACTTTGCTCATTCATATCCAACATCACTGTTGTTTTCAATTTATGATCTTTGAAACAAGAAGTATCTAGGAAGGAGTCCAGAAAGCTCCATTCATAAATATTTAAAATTCCTGAATGATAGTTGAATATATCTGTCCTACATTGAGCAAGGATGTCTACTTTATTTGCTTATATGTTTATAGCTGCTGTTCTGTGGGGGAGAGGTGAATTTATTGATCCTTTCGCATTGGTCTAAGTGGCAATATGTCTAGGTAGTTCCAAATGTCATGAATGGAAAGCTACACAGATGTAGCTTAAGACAAATTGTTACCAGTGAAATCAAAAGTATTTTCTCAATATGAATATGAAGACTGTAAAATCTTTTGAGAAAAAGCTTGAACAAACAACAGGAAACATAGAATGTGCCTTTCTCATCATTTTCTAGGACTGTAAATAATTTCAAATATACATTATGATTTTGTTCTTTTTTAGGCATGGTTAAAAACTCAGTTATCGAATTTATGCTGTTTAAATATTATATAATAAATGTTTATAACAGCACAATTCCTAATGTCTGCTTGAAGCAGCCTATGTGTACATCAGCAAATGAATGGTGATGTTTATACTCAATGGAGTACAATTCTGCTATGAAGAAGAATAAACTTGAGTCATTTGTAGGAAAATGGATGGAACTTGAGACCATCGTGTCAAATGAAATAAAAAAGAAGCAAGCTTAAATATCACATAGTTTCTCTTTATGAGAAACTCAAAGGATACATATAAATTAAAGAGCAAAGTAAAAGATAATACAAAACGAAAGATAGATCTTTTGCAAATGAGGTAGGGACCAAATGATGGAAGGAGGGGAGAGGGAGGGAAGAGGAATGTAATGTAAAAAGAATTAAGAGATGTTATGTACAACTTCTCACAAGGAATGCAATCATTTTGTGCTGCAAACATGGACTCATGAAAATAAAAATTGAAAAAACTTCTGGAGCAGCTAGAAAACAAAACCAACCATCTGATAGACAAAAAATGTCTTTTGGTTATATGATAACATGCAAAAACTGTGTAAACTTGAAATAAGCATTAACTTTTTTTTTAAGAGGATAAGAACTAGGACTAGAGGTCCCATTTGACCCAGTTATTCCCCTGCTGGATATCTTCCCCAAAGAATTAAAAGAATCATAACACAGTGATATATGTGCACTCATGTTTAAAAGCAGCAAATAAACATATGAGACAATGTTCAACATCACTGGCCATTTGAGAGATGCAGATGAAAACAATGCTGATATTCTACCTTACTCCAGTAAGAATGGCTGCTATCAAGAAATCAACTAATAACGAATGCTGTCAGGGTTGTGTGGAGAAAGAAACCCTTCTTCATTGTTGGTGGGAGTGTGAACTGGTGCAACCACTGTGGAAATCAGTATGGAGATACCTCAAAGAACTAGGATTGGAAGTCCCATTTAACCCAGCTATTCCCCTGCTGGGGATCTTCCCCAAAGGATTAAAAGAATCATACCACAGTGATATATCTGCACCTATGTTTATAGTGGCACAGTTTGTAATAGCTAAGGCTTGGAAGCAGCCCAAGTGCCCATCAAGTGGAAACTGGATAAAGAAGATGTGGTTTTTCTATAAAATGGAGTACTACTCAGCCATAAAGAATGAGAAACTAGAGACATTTATAGCTAAATGCATGCATATTGAGGCCGTACTCTTAAGTGAAATAAATAGGACACATGTGTAAATACCGAATAGTTTCCCTAGTGTGAGAAACTGAAAGTGTAAATAAGGATGAAAATGATTAAAATGAATAATTGATAATTTGAAATAGGAAAAGGTCCAAGGGTTTGGGGATGATGGGAGTGGAAGGGGAAAGGGAAGAAGGGAAAGGAAAAATGATGAGAAAAGGAAAAAAATGGAAACAAAGTCTATGTAAATAGGGAAGGGTGGAGAGGGTGAAGGGCGCACAGGTAATGCGGGAAAAAATAAGAACCAAGATACATCATGTTCAGGTACAAGCACCCAATGATAAATGTAAATGTATTGTATACCTAAAATGTACCAATAAATATATGAAAAAAAGAGGATAAAATCACAAAACCTCCTTTGATGTAATTAGGATGTAAAATCTGGCATCAGTATCTTACCTACCCAACACTGGCAGGATAGATTGTGCAGTTGCCAGAAACTCCCCACCCGCACAACAGAGACATAGGGGATGTAAAAACTGCATCGTGGTAGCAATGATGACCTGGATTATCTCATGCTGATGTAGAAGTGCTGGTTGACACTAAATATATTTGATGAGCTAATGCGTAAAACAGGCAATGACTTGTTAATGCAGTTTGGTTAAATAGTTTTCCAAAATATCATGTCTTTAATGCAGGAAAGAAATACTAACTGTAACCATTTCTGGTAGAGGGTTTAGAATCTGATACAGACAATGGAAATAATAAACCATCAGTCACACTTGCTCTCGGTGAGCCCTTCCCTTCCCTGGGTCCTGCAGGTGCAACATCTCAGGTGCCATCTGTGTCTGTGCTGTTTGGTTTGGGAATCTTAGAACATCTGGGGACAGATGTCCAGTTGGATCTTGACTCAGTATCTTCAGCCTCCTGGCACTGTACTGTGAATTCCCCAGAGGATGTGGGAGGGGGGCCCAGGGGGTCTCAGCTTGCACAGCAGCTGTGAGTGCACGTGTGCTCTGCCCAGGCACCAGAACCTTGAGAGACGGGAGAGGCAGGGTGTGGAGGAAGAAGAGATCCCTGCAGAGGCACCCATGCTTCCAGCTAAAGACCCCTTCTCCCAGCTCCTCGTTGACTTCCAGAACACCCAGTCAGGGATTTCATGGTGTTTTTATGTCTTGGATCTTTCAGGGGAAAGAAGGTCCTCCTGGTCCCCAAGGCCCATCTGGAATCCCTGGAATCCCAGTAAGTGGCATTTAAAAAAATTTAGTTGCACTGTACAAAAATTTGCAAACAAAAATATATTCCACCATTGTTAATGACTTGGCAGTGGTAGAATTTTGAGTGTTGTAGGAATTAGAATCAAGAAAAAAATGCAACGCTGACTAAATTTGAATGGAGTCAGTCTTAATTTCATTCTTCATTTATGGAAATGTTTGTTGTTTTCTACTTATTTACATAGTATTTTCTTTTCTCCTCCTCCCTCTCTCTCCCCCGCTCTGTGAATGTATATATGTTTGTGTATATCTCTCTACACAAATAAACATTTGTATATTACTGTTAAATAGTCATAGACTTTACATTCAACATATCCATGAATGCACCATAATATATGTGAGCATTCCTTTGTTATTCGTAAACCTTAGAATATTTTTTTTTACAAAACCACAGTGGGCAATTTCAAATACATAACATTTTTTCTAATTTCTTTAGAATGATCCCCAAAAGTGTAGTTCACTTGTCAGTTCTTGATTAACACTGAAAAATTGCTTTCCACAATCATGACTCTGGATTTCTCAATTTAATATACTTCTCAGTAGCACTGAGATCTTTGATGTAGTTGTAATTAGGTCTTTCTGGAAAGGTCATATGCTGTCTTCTCAAATGAGGAGGCATTCTTATGTGGCTCAAGGTCTGTCCTGTGCCTGCTGCTGTGCCATCAACTGGCCACAGCCCCTACTGCTGCTTTCTACTGTGCATTCATTTGTTCCCTCGCACCAGCTTCATTTTGCTTGCTAGAATGTGCTGCAATCTCTCCTACCACACTTAACTTCTTCCTCCAGGCCACAAGGTCTTTGCACATGCATTTCTATCTGCTTAGAATATCCTCTGGTCATTCTTTTGCTGGTTGTTGCCTTTGGTAATTCCCTCTCAGCTCAGGCATGCTTTCTTCCCCATCCCGAAGGCCGAGACAGCCTTTCTCCCTGCCCCCGCCCTTGCTTTCTGAATTCCTACCCCAGCTTGTAGTCACATTTCCATTGGTGCAATGTATGGATGAGCAGCCACTTCCTCTGCTATTCAGTGATCTGATTTAATTGTTCCTTCAACAAATGAATTAGGCACTCTTGTTTACTAGATATAACAGAGGGGATATAGCAGAGAAGAGTAACTCGTATCTATAGTATTGTATTATGGGCTGTACATTCTAGGAGAGTTAAAACCATATCCCCACACAGAGCGGACACACAGGAAATATTAATGAAATAAATATATGGATTAATTAAATGTTTCCTTAGGGCTCTTCCTCCTAGAATATCTGGTGAGTACTGATGGAAGAGCTATGTCCTGGGCATCCTTGGTAACCCTTGATGCAGCTCTGGGACTCAGAATTTCCGTAACCTGTCCAGGGCACACACATCTTAAGTGATGTGTTGGGATGTATAAACTGCAGCCCTGGACCCCGGTATGTCATGGCAGTAAGGACACAATTACCAACGTAACTCTAACAAGTGTTGAAGCTAAGGGGAGAAAAATTCTGGGATGGATTTTGTATCAACCCCTTATCAAAGTTCCAGGAGACTAGAGAACAGGGAAAAGCCTTAGAAAAGCTTGTGCTATTTTCTTAAACATATCTGGCCTTCTCTCCCATCCTCTCCCATCCCTTCCTCCCTCCTCTGTCTTTGTTCCTTCCAATGAATATCTCATCAGTCACCTCCCTTTCTGCTGACTATTGTCACTATTAAGCCAAGAGTGGGCTTTATTAATTCTTGGCCTCACATTAATTCATTCCTGTCTGTTCTGTCTCCTTCTCACCCCTGCCCTGACTCCAGCCCACATCCACACCCCTCACTCTAGCCCCTTTCAACTACTTTGGTTTCCTCTAAGAAATCATTCCTACAGAGAGAACTCCTCATCTTCCTTCTGCCTGGACAGTAGGAATCCTGATAGCTTTCCTGTGTGTTGTGCATTGTGCTCACCACTGTGGGCTCCGTGGACAGAACTTTCCAAGCATAAATCCACTGAAGGTTCACTAAGGCTGCATTCATCAGTTTATCTCCTGGTTTCCACTTGTGCTAGCTTTCCCATTGCTGGGCACAATACTGGACAGTCATACCTTAATGGAGGAAAGGCTTAATTTAGCTCATAGTTTGGGGAAGATTCAGTCTATAGCCAGCTGGTTCCAAAGCTGAAGCATCATGCTGACCTAGAATCAGAACATGGAAATAGAATAAGAGGAACACCTAAGAGACCATATATAGTACCTGAGGCCATGCCTCCATGACCCACCAATACACACCCAAGAGTGCGCTTTGTTAATCTGCTAAGGATTTTCTTAATCCAGGGAAGTTGTTATGTCAGGAGTAACAGTCATAATCCACCACTTTTCAACTCGACACCCAAACACATCTCCTTAAGCCATACTTAATCTCCAAATAAGGACAAAAGTAAATTCATAATTCCACCAATATAACTATTACAAGTACAGCTTGAAATTCAATAACCTCTTCCCCAATATCTCAACCGTTTCAGCATTTTTCAAAAGTTCAATCCAAGTCTCTTTTGAAACTCAGGCAAACTACTAACTGTGAACCTCTATAAAACTATCAAACAAGTTACATAATCCCAAGGTGCAATGGCACAGTTATATATTCCCATTCTAAAAGTGAGGAACATAGGGATAGAAAAGAATCAGTCCAAAGCAGGGCTGAAACCCAGCAGGGAAACATTAAGTCCGGTAGTTCAGTATCTGGTATCCGAGGCACACAGTGGGAAAATGTGATATCAAGGGCTTGGTGATCCCATCCCTGTGGTTTTGCTGGTGTTAGTCCATATGGCCGCTCTCTTGGGCTGATTCCACTCAATTTCTGTCCAGCTTTTATGGGCAGAAATTCTGTGTTCTTGGTCTTTTGGTCTCCCTCAGGCTTCCACTGAATCTTCCCCTTCATTCCCGCAGCTTCATGCGCTGCCCTCATGGGGGCCTCTTGTTTGGCCTCCCAGACCTTCCACTGAAACCTGGGTAGAAGCTGCCCTGACTCCATAACTCTTACATTCTGCATGCCGGTCAAACCAGCATTGCATAGGTAATGGCAAGGCCTGCTGTCGGTGGAAGCAGTAGCCAGGCCTTGTTGGACTGTGGCTGTAGTGGCTAAGACCTTTCTCAAGCAGGCATCTCAGGGACTTGCATATGGAAGATAGACACTTTTGCACTCTTGAGCCCTTGATGGGTGGGGTCTTGATGATTTCTGAGAGGCCTTCAAGGCGTCTTTCTTCTTGTTCCTGTGCAAAATACTTGGTTTCTTTCTAATGGCTTTCACTGTCCATGTTCTTATCAGTATTGGGGTCTTTTGAGTTCTGACCATAATCATCCATCAGGTTCTGTTTACTGCATTCTAGGGCTTCTCTAGCCTCATCTCCAAACTGTTCCAAATTCCTCTTGCAAACTAGTTCCAAAGTCTTTTAAATCACATAGTTGGGTAAAGTCATAGCAATGACCCCAGTTCTCCAATGCCAGTTTTCTGTATAGTCAGCTTTCTTGTCACTGAGACCCAAGACCCAACACTTACAATTTAAAGGAGGGAAGGTTTCATTTACTTCATGGTTTGGGGGATTCAGTCCATAGATGGCTGGCTCCAAGGCAGGAATGAAATGACAGAAGGGACATGGCAGAGCCAAGAGTGACAGAGAGGACAGACCGAGGACCATATATAGTACTTAAGATCACACCTCCATGACCCACCCAGACATGCCCAGGAACATGCTTTCCTAATCTGCTTTTTAATCCAATTAAATTGGCATAGCAGGACTTATAATCACAGTCCCTGGCATAATCCCTGCCCCCAGGCATGCTCTTACTCTGCTCAGTGGAGTTAGGCAGGAATAGAGCTAGACTCAGAGCGCTGCATTCACCTCCATCACAGCACTTAGGATATGAACCACCAGTGTCTCTTGATTGTCCGCTTTCACCTCACATCCCTCATTACAGAGTCATGTAGATGTTTCCTAAATCTGGCCTAGTGCAGATGTAAGGAAGGAGTGATACACAAATACAATAATCTTCTGATGCTAGCATTCTAGGTCCCAGCCTTGAAAGAAACCTGTGGTCACTCAGTGAAGCCAAATCAGACAGGAATTAACCATCAGTACAGAGCATGTTGCCTACCACAGAGGCCATGGGAGCCCTATCGATGGACCCCCAAGCCAGGCTGTGAGGGGCCACCCAGGCTTCCTGGGGGTGGTGATTTGTAAGTACTCACGGTCAAGATGCACAAGCAGAAAATGTTGGCAGGGTTCAGAAAGAAAGTGTCAGGTAGAAGGGACAACCTGAAGCCAGGTGGGGACATTTGTACTTCCACTGATGGAAGGAAAGTGGATACACTGTACTTCTGCTGGGTAGGGAAGGGGTACAAGACTCAGCAAACTCTCCAGCACCTGGACACCAACATTAGCTTCCATGAAAGGAAATGCCACATCCCTCCATTGTGGTGGGACAACTCTGAGCCAGGCACGTCCAAAATTGTCCTTCATATGTATCACACACTGAGCTCTTCTGGCAAGGGGAGGCTGTTAGAAGGGAAAGAATGCTGAGTAGCAGGTAGAAAGAGGCAGCTGTTCCTCTCTTGGAAGCCACACTTCTCAGAGTATTCAGTAGGCCACACTCAGTGCTCCTCTGCATTGTCTCAAGCCACTGCTTTTAGCTGGGTCAGTCTGCTATCTTCAAAATGATCACCTAGATTATCTTTTCCATCTTCGGAGACTGTGGAGACATATTTACCTGTTAGATGAGATGTAGTGCTCTGCCTAGAGCTGAGATTATCAGTACGGGGTTGGAGCAGAGGGACACGGAATCTTAGTGAGGCCTCATGGAAACAATTGAACGAGGTATGACAGAAAAATATGGTGTGTGTGCTTCAATACAGCTTGTTAAGGTGAAAGACATATTGCCACTAACCTCCTTCAGAGTACTCCCCACTTGAGACACACGCACTCCCTCATGCCTGTCGCTTTCTGAAGAAGTTTCAGAAGTGCTCTTTTGTGAGCATCTTTTGAGCTGCCATGGCTGCCTCAATGTCCTGAATCCATTCAAAACATTTACCTTTCACAGTCATTTTGACTTGGAGAAGACTGAGAAGTTGCATGGTGCCAGATCTGCTGAATAAGGTGGATGAGGACACACTGTCGTGTTTTTATGACCATTTTTTTTCTGTTGCATAGCACTGTGCAACAGCACTCACCATATTTTTGATCACACCTCATACAGATGCTCATGAAAGAAGATGTCAGAACTGCTTCAGAAAGTAGCAAGAACAGTGGGATAAATGTGTTTGAAGCAAAGGGGAGCATTTTGAGGGGGATTCATGGCAACGTGTCTTCTATTACAATTTTTTTTTGTAATTTAATCATTGACAGTAATTTTTGGTCATCCTTGTAGAATTCCACGTCTGTTCTGTTACCCACACACACTTCTTGCTGCCATCTCTGTTCTCTTCATATGCCCCTGGAGCAGTTCTGAGTGCTCTGCTGCATGCTTGCATTGTCCTCTTCCCCAGCACCTGAGCCCCATTGCCATGTTCAATGCAGGACACCCACGGATGAGGCCCTGCCACCCTGAGTTTGGCTTTGAAAATCTCCAATGGAAGGTTCTTTAGATGGATTACAAGAATAATGATACCATTGCATCACTCTTCCATTTTTTGCCAGGTACCATGAGTCAGAGATCCACAGCTAGAGTCTGGGTACTGGGGAAGAAACTGGAAATCAGATTTCTTTCATTTGTTGAGATGCCCCTTAACTACTCACTGTGAAGGTATCTGCCTGGAGTTAGGCAGGAGGCAATGCTTAAATGGCATCTTTTCTTCCCTTCCTTCTAATCTTCTCTGGCCTGATCACCTATTTGAGTTTTTCTTGCAGGGAGAAGAAGGCAAACAAGGCAGAGATGGAAAGCCAGGTCCCCCTGGGGAGCCGGTAAGGAACTCTAAACTTCTTACATTTTACATCCAACTTCATAGTTTCTTTCTTTTTTTCTTTTTCTTTTATTTTTTTGGTACTGGGGATTGAACTCGGGACCTTGTGCTTGTGAGGCAGGCGGTGGGACCACTGAGCTAAATCCCTGGCCCAAACTTCACAGTTTCTTAATAACAGCTGGTGTGTGCTGAGGGGAGTCTATGAGCCAGGCACGGTGATCATTATTCCCAGCGCATCACTTCACCTGCTCCTCCCAACAACCCTGCCAGTTGCTGATCCTTTTCCTGTTTCATAGCCAAAGAAAATGAATCTCAGGAAGGGACAATGAGGAGCCCAAAGTCATGTGACAGGTTGGTGACAGTGTAGGGTCCAAGCCCTGGACTCCTTTCCTTCCTTCCACTCTGTGTTTTATTACCTACATGCTCTTGATGCTATAGATGTGGAACTAGTCTCTGGGATAAGTAAGCCAGCCCTGAATAGAAATCTGGTATCTGAAAAGATTCTCTTACTAACAGAAGATTTGAATTCTCGGGGCTGGAAATTTCCTGCCACGCCACTTTTAACTCTAGCGCAGAGTTATATATTTTTTGTTTTCTTTTAATGCCAGCTGCTCAGTGTGGAGGCCCGAATGCTGCTGTGGATGTCCTGTGGCCCATGACGCTGGTGGCTGGGAGGCAGCAGGGTTTCAAAGACCTTAACCTGTGACCACTTGGTCAGACTCCCTGACCTAGAGCTGTCCATTTTGATGAAGACTAGGTTCTCTGTCTTCACAAATCTGGGCCTGGAGTGTAAACTCAGCAGCAGAGCCCTTGCCTGGCATGCAGGAGGCTCTGGGGTCCAGTCCCAGCACCCTTCCCGCAGGTGGAGGGGCGGTGGTGGGTCAGACACCTGGGTCCACCATGCCCACCCGTGAGGGGTCAGGGTGGATGTCAGAACGCAGGAGCTGACTTGGGCTGCCCCAAGGCATCTTGGTTTGGTAGAGGGTGCAGAGTGGCGTGTGTCAAACCAGGTATCCGTGTATTTTTTCTAGTTCTTACCTAGAGGCTCTCTGGGAGGCTCCACAGCACACTCACAAAAGTGGTTTCCATCCATGCAAGGGTGGTTCTGAGCAGAGGGGGGTCACAGAAATGGGAAGGCAGCTTACACCCCAATGTATTGTTTTATTGTATTGTTATCTTCTTACTTGTTGGAAGTATGTGTATGCATGACATGTTGATAAAATTAAATTGAAAATCTAATTACTCAATACAAATATTTTATGCTAAAATTATAGCGACAGCCATAGCAGGGACGAAATGCCTTTGAATGCTGGCTCCTTTCATCGAAGGCTTTGTGACCTGGAGCGAGTCAAAAACGGCCTCTGAGCTTCAGCCTCTTTTCACACAGAGTAAGAATAGTGCGCTGACTTGCCAGAGTTGCTGGAGGATTAAATGGGGTGAAAAATGCATGCAGAGCATCAGGCCCATCTAACTGTTAATTATTTCAGCGAGTTACTTTACGCAGCTGCCCTACTTTCAGCTCCCAGTGAGGTCAGGACTGAGGAGCCTTTAGAGCCATTAAGTGGAATTACAGAAAAGTTTCTGCAGCAAGGTTCATGTTCCATTTAATTTGTTTAGTCATAAACTATTATGACTCACTTTGAATCTTGCACAACTTGCCGGAAGCACCTCTTTTGTCACTTTACAGTTTGGCACATGCTGGAGCCACAATTCAGTGCTGATAGGAAAACAAAGAGCTTTCTGCAAACTCATAGTGGAAAGCTGTGGCACAGGCAGAAAGACTGACGCCTAGCGGTGGCGCCTGTGGGAGCAAAGAGCACAGCGGGATGGAGCATGAGTGTCTTCCATGAAGCACTCGACTGGCCGGTGCTCTTTTTCCCAAAAAGCCTTATTATTACCCCGAGATGAGGCAGCATCCAGCACTTGCACCCCAGAGGCTGAGCAGGGAAAGGACCTCTCTGGCCAACTCTCACTATACTGAGAGCTCCTTGCTTGCTCCGCTTATCCAATGGCTTTGCAACCTTGGCCTGTGCCACACACTGGGCATGACTGATGACAGACCAGGCCTGTTCAGGGTAAGCAGGGTCCATGCAGGAGACAGGGCTGGTTCCCCTGGGCCAGGTAGGACTCACTGACCATGGGGCCTGAGGTCTGCATTCTGGAATTTTTTCCATTGGCTCTTTCTGAAATTCTTCAGCACAGCCATCCTAAATGATTAGCATGTTGAGTTGTTTCAGAGGAAATTGGCCTGATGGGTGACAAGTGTGTCCCTCATCGGGTTGAAGTGAGGACGTGTTGACATCCTGGTGTAAAGCCTTCTTCTGCTGGCATATGTGTGTCTCTCAATAGCAGCCTGTTGTTGCCATTATTGCCCTGGGACCTTGGGCCAGGGATGGGGATTGCATTTGACGGTGGGGCAGGGCCAGTGAGTTACTAGGCCTGTCCACCCTCCATCACAAAGGCTATGAAGAAGGATCTCAGCTGCAAAACTGCAAAGCACTCAGGAAGGGAAGTGACACTGGTGTCCAGGGATGTCCCTGGACCCCTTGTCTCCCTGAGGACCCTTCAAGAACCTTAAGGCTTACACCCTGTGAAAGTGAGATGCACAGAATGGTCTGAAACAGCCATATCCTTTGGTTATAGTGCTGAAAGACGTAGAATGCTGCCCCGTCCAGCATCAACCCAATTTGCCCTCTCAGCCCCTTCCCCTGAGCCTTCTCCTTGTTCTGTACCTCTGAAAGATTTATCTGGTCTTAATGGCCCCAGGGCACTCACTGGCTTTAGTGCCAAGCTGTGGACTGTAAAGAATTTTAAATGGCAAGTGTGTGTTCAGCGTCTTTGTGTCTGAGAAGCGGGGTGAATGAGTTCTGGGGGATCCAGGCTTCCCTACAAGTGGGGCTACTGCCGGCCTGAGAAGAGCATCCGCTTGGGCATAGCCTGAAGCTGGGATTCCATCTGGCTTTGACCTTTGGAAGCTCAGTAACAATATAACTGCTTTGATCCTCAATGCCACCACTGAAAAAGTACAATAGATAATAGCTGCCTTGAAGTGATTTAGTGAATAAAGTTATTTATAACTAAAATGGCCATGTAATTTCTCACTGTGCCAGAGCACTTCAGACAGCGAAAGGGGGTCTGCTATGGTTTAGATCTAAAGTGTCTCCAAAAGTTGCACGTGTTCGGACGTGTGGCTTTGGGAAGTCATCAGATTATGGGAGCTTTGCATTCAACAGGGGATCCATCCACAGCTGAATGTGCTCTTAGGAGGTGGGGCTGGTTGGAGCTGGGTCACTGGGAGTGTGACCTGGAAGAGCATATTCTTGTCCCTGGTTTCTCTTTCTCTCTCTGCTTCCTGGCTGCCTTGAGCTGAGCAGCTTTCCTCCAGCGTGTCCTTCCACTGTGCTGTTTCTATGCTGGAGCCAGCTGACCATGGACTGAATCCCCTGAGAACCGTGAACTAAAATGAACCTCTCCTTTAAGTTTCCAGTTTTTGGCATCTTGTCCCAGTGCCAGGTAGTTGACTAATGCAGGGACTATGAATAATGAATCTGAGGTTGAATCCTGTGGAATCCCAAAATCCCTGGAACCCCACAGGCCCGGAAGCTGCTTGTGGAGATCGACGTCCATGGCAATGGCCTGGCACTCCAGGATGCGGGCTGTCAGCAGGCACAGAGAGCAGAGCGGCCTTTGGAGACACAGTGATGTGAGGTGCAGGCGGCCGAGGACAGGAAATCCCAGCACTGTTCCTCTCACCTCTGCTTTTCTTCTTACTCCAGGGCAAAGTGGGAGATCCAGGTCTCCCGGGACCGGAGGGACCTCGAGGCTCACCCGTAAGTACGGAGCCATGCACAGCAGAGTGAAGCCACAAGTGACTCCGCCTCAGCCGTACCGCCTTGGCAGGGGCAGCTGGGGCCACTTGGCCCCAGGGCTGTAAGAGTCACTGTCTTCCCAGAGGGATGCTTTTCTGTAATTACTTCTGCATTTTTACAGGTCATAGGTTTGAAATTTATTTTCTAACTTTCGAGCATCACTAGCCCTTGCTCTTCTAAGTTGTCTTCATTCTTATTCTCTTTGTTTTAATTTAATGGGTTTTTCTCTTGATGATAAAACTTAATACTGAGTCTTTTTTTGGTACGAGGGATCGAACTCAGGACCTTGCGCTTTCGAGGCAGGCACCGGAACCACTGAGCTAAATCCCCGGCCCCCCTGTTTTTTCAGTACTGATAACTGAACCCAGGGCCTTCACACTGAACTACTTTTCCAGTCCTTTGTTTTTTATTTTGAGGCAGGATCTTAGTAAATTGTCTAGACTGGACTTGAACCTGTAATCCTCCTGCCTCAGCCTGTCAGAGTACTGAGATCACAGGCATGTGCCACAATGCCTGACTAAAAATGAATCTTCATTTCAGTTTTAAACAGGTTCTATAGCTTCAGGCTTTTTTCAAATTAGAAAAGTAAACCTAACTGTATAACAACAATGATAATGATAAAAATAAAAAGATTGGTATAGGGAAGAAAATGAAGTTACTTCTCATTCTACTGCCCAGAGTAAAACTCTGTTAACATTTTAATGCATAGCTTCCTAGTCTTATTTATTTTCCATATATTAATTCTAACATATTTACACATATATTTACATCTTTGTCCAGCTATCTAGCTATTGGGCATGTACATATGCACATACACACAGTTTTTCTACAAAATAAGGTCTTTTTGGGTTATATTTTTCTAAATCCTTCATATTTTCATAATTTCAAAATTATTTACACAATTCTTTAAATTGTTTTTGGAAAAAAAATCAATGTTTAATGAAAATCCTAAAATCCAATTATCTGGCAAGAAACAGTAGATCATAATGCTAGTTCTGTTTCCTTAATGTTATTTTTCTTTTAAAGAAATCAATAGATCACCTGGCTAGTATTCAATAAAGAGGAAATAAAACACAAAAATCAATTTTCTTTTTTCCAAAATCTCCTTGGTTTTCACTTGATTGTACCAGAAGAAATCTGAGAACAAGGAACACTATTGGCTGTAGGGATTGAAACTCAGAACTAGTGATTGATTTTTTTTTTTCCAAACATACTTTAAATTGATCCCATTATACCCTTTCTGGAGGCATTTTGTAACTTATTATGAAGCACAGTGCAGTCCTTCGTAAGCTGGGGTGTTCTGGTGGACAATGGTCAGCTTTTCAAAGGTGGTCCCTGGCTGTTGGGAGAGAGAGGCTGCCTTTCTGTACAGAGATTCGTTAGCTGAGGCCCACCCTGGGGATGAGACTGTCTCTTTCCTCTTCCTGGGTGTTGTGAGGAAGGGACACAGGTGAGAGACCAAGCAGATAAAGCATGACCCAGGTCCCGCGGCTGGCATGGCATGAGTCAAAGCAAGGCTTTGAAGAGTGCCATGGGCTCTGAGAGATACAAACCCAAGTCCAGCCTTCACTTTATCATTTATGAGCTTTGTGAACCTTCATTGCAATGGGACCTCTCTGAGCCTCTCTCTTTCTTTCTATGAAATGGAGATGTTAGCTCCCAGTGCTGTAGGGTGGTTGTGAGCACTAAAAGAGAAGACACAGCATGTAAAGTTCCTACCAAGTGCCTGCCACATCCATTGTGGCTCTCGGTCCCTGCCTGTGTGCTGGCTGGACTTGGGGCTCATTGGCCTCGAGGAAGATGCAGGGACTTAGGTAGTCACCGGGCCAGCTGTGTGTGGGCAGCTGTAGCGACCTCATCCTTTACTCGGTCCTCGGGGCTGCTCTGGAGAAGTAGATTCTACCCCTCTCCCTCATTCCTCAGCTGTGGACCTAGAGTCCTGGGAAGAAAAGTGAAGCCCTCAGGATCCACAGCTGGGAAGTGGGGCCAGGATTTCCTGCTAGTCCCATCAGACCCAGGAGCACAGGGGGTCCTCACCCACATGATACTGCAGATTATACCCCAGGGGCTTCTACTGCCCTCATTTTCCATTAAGACCTCGTGGGATTCAGTGCCCATTCCGAGGTCACAGTGGTTGACTCTGGATCCAAATCTGAGAGGACTTCATCCTTCTTCTTCCTCCCTCTTCCTTACCAGTGGCTTCCAGGCCCTGATGGCTCACGAGGTCCCAGACCTGTGTCCAGTTTACATACAGATCTCCCGGGTCCTCTCTGCAGGGTCCATCCCCAGGGAGGAGGCAGCCAGGTGACAGCTGATCTTGGTCCCTGAGGTCCTGTGTGGCCATAGACGGCCTTGTGGCTGGAGTGGGCCAGTGTAGAGCTGGGCTCTGCAGACGGACAGCCTGTGTGCAGCCTGCACCCTTGCTCCGTGTGACAGGGCGAGCTGACAATCAGATCCTTTAGCTACAAAACAGGGAAGACAAAAGCCATCTTCACGGCTTCGCAGTCATGAATGAGCTGACATAGTATGGTGTGCTATGGGGCCACAGTGCCTCCACCTTCTCTGCATCATTCCGGTTCCCCTCTGTTCCTCCTCCTTGACTTCCCACTCCCACCTGGCAGAGCAGGCTCAGCTCTGGCAGCTGACAGTGAATGAAGGGAGTCAGTGAGGCACAGCCAGAGGGATAGGATGCAGCGTGACCCTCACTGGGGTTCCTGCTCTGCTCCCAAGTCTGCTGTTTGTGGAGTAACTCTTATTTCTTCTAGGGCTTCAAGGGACACACAGGGGACCCTGGTGCTCCTGGTCCCCGGGTAAGTGGATGTCACGCCAGGTGACTCAGAGCTGACACTTGTAGAGAGAGGACTGCTTAGGCCCAGAGGCAGGGCAGTATCGGCATAGTGGGGATGAAGAGTGGGCACCCCAACACGCTGGTGTGTCTTGGTCTGGTTCTCTAGCTGGTCCTCCTGGGGGTCGGACACTGATCAGCTACTCTGGCCAAAGCAGTCTGGACTCAGGTTGGTCTCCACTATCGGACCCTGCACGTGAGCCCCTTTGAAGCAAGTTTTAGTACCCAGCTTATTTTGTAGAAGGGGAAACTGAGGCCCAGAAGGTGTGGGTGATTTTCCCAGGATTCCAGAAATTCTATGGAACATATTGGCCTGTCGCAGACAGGAAGCCTCTGAGTTTGTCTTCTACCCTTCAGCTCCTGTCTCTTCTGAAAGCTGGGAATGGAAGCGACTTTGAGGGTCAACAGTAAGACCCCTGTATGCTGTAGGTAACCAGGAAACACTGCAATGTAGCAAGGGGCCATTGGTCAGGAGACAAGGAGGTGGAGTCCAAGAGCTGATGCTCTTTCCATCTGTGCTGCCGGGAAGGTGCAGGTGGCCCCAGGCTCCCATTACTGCCTTTGAGTGCACACAGACTCTGGCTTGGCCCAGCACTGTGTGATGAGGCTGCCCTGCCCTGGGACCCTTCCCGAGTGATGGCTCCGGCCTCTGCATAGCTCCCAGGTCCTTAAAGCCCCTATGGTTGAGCCAGCCCATAGCTGAGACCCGTAGCTCAGGCCCTAACAGCAGCTTTCTGTTTCTAGGGAGAACCAGGTGCCACCGGGCCACCTGGCCAGGAAGGGACACCAGGAAAAGAGGTAAGTGGAGGTGCTCTGGGACCTGGCTGGGGGATCAGGAAGGGATACCCAGAAATTGTACCACAGTGGTCAGTGGTAGCTCTGTGAAGAGGACACAGCGGTCATGTCCGCACTGATTGGCACAAGTGAGACCCAGACTTCCAGCCTGGTGGGTTGGTGGCTGTGCCTTACAGTTGAGAGGTGGCTTTTCTGGATTAATCAACCTTATGTTGTACCAGAGATGGGCCTGTTGGACCCACCCTTATATGGCTTGAGAGACATTTGAGGGGTTCTGGGTTATTTCTCCACCTTCTGTGTACTTCAGTGTTGAAAGTACCCCTTCACCCCTCACCACCACTACTTCCACCTGCTATTTTCAAACCTTGTCTTTCAGTCAGGGATTTGGACAATCAATGAACACTAGGTCTAATACAAACAGAAAATATTTCCATTCTGTGAGATTCAAACTTTTTCTTTGTAATTGTTTCAGTCATTTTAAAATCCTGCTCTATCTGACTCAAGTGGCTCTCATTTTTATTTGGCCTTGGAATCTGTACAGACAATATTTTTTATCTGAGTTGCAAAAGGAAAATTCTGAGATCCAAAGAGGTTAAGGGCTTACTTGTAGTCACATAGAGTCACAGGCTGAGGAATGAGCCTGGAACTGGTATCTTCCATCTCAGTACCACACTCCCCAGCCCCGGGACTGGCCGCTCATCCTATGCAGCTCCCTGCAGGGCTGCGGGACATGTGAGGAGGCAGTGTAGTCTCCTGGGAACGGTGCTTGGGCAGAAACAGGGCCTCCTGTCTGCCTCTGCATCCTCCAGCACCAGCCTGAGAACTGGTAAGATGACCCCTCCATGTGGCTCTTGATTCTCTAAGCACAGTGGCTCTTTGGCTGATCTGCTATTATGGGATGAAGGACCATGGGAAAAATTCTGGTCTAGTTCCTATGTGTTTCTTTAGATTTTCTAAAACCAGTGGAGTGCCTGGAGCCTCATGCAGATAGGTGAAAGCAAAGATCCCTCCAGCCCACCCCTCTCACTGCCATTTATAGAAAAGGCAACACAAGGAGCTCCCCGGGCAAGAAGAGGGCCAAGCTCAGCTCACAGTCAGGCTAGAGCTGGGACAGGACCAGGACATTAGGTCATGGGCAAATGCTTTCTTCTCCCTTCTTAACTCCATGACTCTTTAATTGTAAAAATCCATTTTCTGGAGCAATTTCTTATTCACTTTGTGTAGGAGTGTGTCTAGGCTTCTGTGTTTTCATCCGCGACCAGGGTAGGGTGATACCATGTCATGAGGCGGTTCAGAAGGGTGTGTGAGGTGGTGAATTATAAGGCTTTGCACACTGGAAGGTGCTGTGCATGTGGATGGTGAAAGTTTTTCCTGTTGTGTTGACTCAGGCAGGAATGGCTCCAGGTTACTGTCGAGTGAAACAGGAGAAGAATGTCAAGAGAGTTTGTCTATCTTCTCTGCTTCCTTATCTTGGTTTGAGATGGAGCCTCCTGATTCCCTGGGGACCAGGTGGAGCTGTCTGAGCTGGTGAATACACACACTGATGAGGGCTTGCAAGCATCTCTTGTAGAGGAAATGAGCCTGTTGACTGGAGAGCAAAGTTAGGAGGCTGCTGGTGCCCTGGGGCCTCTTGGTGAAATCCAGTCCACATTTGAATCTAAGCCTTCATCACCCTCGCATGGTGGCTCTGTGATTATATGATCCCCCTCTCTGTTTGTTCCAGGGTGACACTGGACCTGCAGGGCCACAGGGTCCCCGAGGACCAAGGGGCCCACTGGTGAGTTTTGCTTTGAGTTTCGTTGGGTGCATGTTTCTGGCTGCACAGCTGTTGCCATGGTGATGTTTGGTTGGTTCAACCTAGTGCAGCCATATGTGCACGTACATTTAATGAGCTGGTGAACACCCATTGCCTCAGACCCTACTGCCATGCTACAAGGAGCTGGGAGCATCCCTGGAACCACTGTCTCTCATCCCAAAGTGGTGGCAGCTGCCACCTGGCTGGCAAAGGCCTATGTGGTTCCCTCTGATCTTCTCCCCTTGGCTTTGTGCCATCCTGAGGACTGGGGCTTGCATCTCATACTTCTTTCCTGCAGGCACTGTAACAAGTACCACAATCTAGGAGGCTTGAATAACAGAGATGTGTTTGCTCACAGTTCTGGAAGCCTAAATTCTGAGTTTAAGGTAGCAGTGGTCTTGGTTCATTCACCCTTAGACAGGGTACGATCTGTCCCATGTGACTCTGAAGCTTCTAAGAACTTTCTGGCTGTCATGGAATTCCTTGAGCCATAGACCCATTCACACACTTTTCTTCCTGTGTGCCTGTCTCCTAAGTTCCCCTTTTCATAAAGACACCAATCATATGGGGCTAGGGGTCACCCTGCTATGTGTGAGTTCATGTTACTACATGTACAAGGACTTTATTCTAAGTAAAGTCACATTCAGAGGGCCTGGGCATTGGAACTTCCATGCATAAATTTTGAGGCACCACAATTCAACTCACAACACTCCACATGTTGATAAATTTTTTGACCATTACCCCTGCCTGTATGTGCAGCTAGGCAAATCCTTCTCTTATCTGTGAGTAACCCAAGAGAGAATGAAAGAGGAAGATAGAAAATCGGCATGTAGGAACCTAAAATTGTGTAGAGAAAAGCAGACAATCAAGAGACCTAGTGAACAGGAGCTATAGGTGGCAGATGCCTGAGTAACAAGACTTGCTATTTTATAGTAAATTTTTGTGTTTAATAGGTAAAAGGAATTCTGTCCTCAAAGACAATATAACAGTAAATGCCCAAATGACTAGCATAGTCTTTTATTATCATTATTAAGTACTCTCATTGCATGTCACACTTTTCTGTGACTGGCATTGCAGGATGTTTGATTACAACAGCGTCAACCCAAATGTGACATGGGATGACAATCGGCATCCCTCTGCTCCACTATAATCCCCTGAGATCACTGTCCTAATGCAGTCTGTCCTTGTCCCAAATGTCCTTAGGCAGTGATCAACTTTTGTCCACTACCTCCATTTATAGTTGTGATTGTGAACATGTGCAGAGGTTGAAAACTTTCATGTTGCTTTTGTTAAAATCTACAGTCCCACAGGGGTGGGAAAGGCCCATATGACAACAACTTTACAACCACTGGCTTCTAAAAATTACCAGGAGATTCTGTGCTTGGTAGTGCATGTAGCATTAACATAATTCATTCACTGAGTTTTCTCCAAACCTAAGGCAGGTGCAGTGACTCCCCACTTACCAATGAGAAATGGAGGCAGAGAGGCAAAGTAACCTGCCCACAGTCATGTAGTGGGTATGCAGCAGAGCCAAGATTCTGAGTCAGGCAATCTGGCTTCAGAGTCTGCAGCTGAAGCACCTACTCTGGCCCTGTGTGTACCAGATTTCCTGTCATAAAGGTCATTCTCGCCTTGGAACAATAGTTTGATCCTCAGAACTTTTGGGCTGGGGGCTGTGGCCTCTGCTGTCAAGCAGCACAAGGACCCGAGGGTCTCCTTAGCTCCTTAGAAGACAGGGATGTGAGGAGTGGCCCCATGGCCCAGGAAGGAAGCAGGTCTCAGTTCTAAGAGGCATTAAGCTTAGAGCCCTGGTGGCCCCCTGTATGGCACTGTATGGAAATGTGCCTTGATTCTTACCCTTCCTGACAGGGGAGAGCCAGAGGGAGAAGGATGAGAGATCATTTCCATAGGGATGAGGCAGAGCACATATTTTTAGCGGACACAGATGGATTAGTGGGCGGAGGACGAGGGAGGGGTGGCATGCAGCACTCTCTGGAAGGGCTGAGTTTACATCCCAGCCGAGAAGACGGCTTGCCGCTCCCAAATCAGTCTGTAATATCATCGGTCCAGGCAGGGCCATGCTTTCTTGGTGCCTCAGTTTCCTCATCTATGATATAAGAATAAAGGCATCTATGCTGCACAATTCCTGAGAAGATCTGGTGTGACGAGGCCCCTGAATATTTATGGTCATGTGTGCACTTTTTTGGCACGAGGCAGAGTCTGTAGTTTTTTTTTTTTTAATCACAATCCCACAAGCCATTTCCTTAATGTGGACCAGAGCAGTAAGGGATAGATAGGGTCTGGGCAACTTTGCTCAAGCAGGTTGCTTAGCTGTCCACTCCCTCAGTTTCCCTATTTGTAAAATGGAAGTGATGTTGGTGTCTGATGGTAATGCACGTGAAGATGGTCTGGTATAGAAGAAATGCCCAGCTGAGAGCGACTGCTTTGAACTGTAACATGTTTCTCTGAAGCTGACACATGTGTGGATACATGCTTCCCAGACTATGGCGGATTAGCACCTTTGGCTAAAGAGAGTGGGTCTCTATGGTGTTCTTGGCTCATTCACTCAGCCAAAAGCCTCTGGTGCCTGGCAGAGTTCTAGATGCTGGGGACATAAAGAGTGACAAGGCACAGATTTTGTGTTTGAGTTACTGGGTTACTCATGGCAGGGAGCAGAGCCAGGCAGAGTGAAAGCATCCAGTGAGAATGAGGACATGACAGTGAAGGGCAGAAGAGGCAGCCAGCTCTGCCTGAGGAAGTTGAACTGTGAATTTTAGGCTCAACAGGAATTTGCCTGAGCCTGAAAGGGGATTGCTAAGAGTGTTTTTAGCTTTCTGAATTTTGTACTACCACGGATCTTATGGTATTTGTCAATGTTACAAATGTGTACAAACACGCATCAGCTTAGAGAACATTAAAACTGAGACAGCCAGCCCTAAAACCTGGAGTGAATGGACCTTCCACTCCAGAGCTGTATGACTTTGCATGAAGCATTTTTCCATTTGTGCCTCAGAATCTTCACCTATAAAATGGGATTATAATGATGCCCTTGGTGGAGGAATAAAATGAGACAAACCTGTGGACCTGCTCTCTCAGCCAAGAGCAACTCCATGGTAGTATGAGCAATTATTTGTAAATTGGGTTGTGCTAGATGGGGTGTTTCTTTCATAACAGCAGGAGTTGAAGGATGAATGGATGGATGAATGAATGTGGTCATAATTATTTACTGTGCCCATGTTGTGGGTGCCAGTCACTGGGCTGGGCCTTTATATACCCATGGCCTCACTTAACTCCACAACAACATTATGAATTAAATATTGCAAGCTCCTTTTACAAGCTGAGAAGCATCCTCTGAGGAATGAAGTGGTTTACTGAGAGCCATGCTGGCCTGAGGAAGAACAGGGTATGTGAAATCAGGTACTGCACATGCAGTGATTTCTTTGTTCTGATGTCCTGCTCTGTGATGCCCTGGCACACCATTTTGGCAGAATGATGATTTCTGTTTCTTCCACCAGGGAAACAATGGATCACCAGGCTCCCCAGGTGACCCTGGCCATCCAGGAACCCCCGTGAGTAAGAGAACTGCTTCACTGCTAGTTGAACTGACAGCCACAGGGCAAGGTCAGCAAGGCCATGTCGCTCATGTCTCAGAGTGTATGGCTTCTGGGAGATCTGGGTGTGAATGATAGAAAGAGACCGGAGACAAAAGCAGCCAGGGAGGACCTTGTTCAAAGCTTAAAATACATGTGATTATGCCTCAGGCTATCTGCTATCTTCAACCACAGGTATCTACAGCAATTAAACACTAAAAAATGTATAATAGTGTTGCACAGTGGGTATTTGATGGTTTTAGAGAATGGACAGGCAGTCAGGTGGCAACCCTGACCTTCTCAGATGATGGGGTAAGTGTGCAGCATGTAAATGGAGAAGGGGCCAGGGACAGTGGACAGCAAGCGGGATCAGTGGGTGGGTAGCAGGAAAGGGCGGTGTGATAACTAGCAGCATCCAGGTTAATGGATAGAGCATTCAGGGTTCAGGCCCGGTTGGTGGGGAGACATGGTAGAAAGATGGTTCTTTAATGGGTTGGATCTGAGACTGGATAAGTCCAAGTCTGGCCACAAGTCTCTGCCCAGCACAACCTTCTTGTATTTTTATTTACTAAAACTGACAATCATGTCCAGCAGGCTGACTTCAAATATGGTGGGTCAAACAACAATTTTCTAGGCAATGTGCCAGCCAGTCTCAGCCAGCTGATTGTTGGAACTATGGAGTCAAGGTGACTAGAAATTCACCAGTGCTGGGTAAAGTGGGCAGTGGAATGACACTCAGTCACCCTGGAGGAGACCCTTCTCCTGTCTGACCAGGCACAGCTGTGCCTAAGGAATCAGCCTCCCTGTTGATCTTAGTGACTGCCACCAGCGGCTGTGGTGTGGAGCCTGATGAGACATGTCCAATGGGGTAGGACTCACACTATGCGAAGCTGGGCCCAGAAAAATCAGCCCACCGATGGTGGCTTCTCAGAGAAGTTGAAATTGAAAGATTCCCAAAGGCCTTTCTCAAAGACGGAACCAACCACAGCATGAGCCTCAGCCCCTTAGCATCTTAGTGGAAAAAAGGCTACCACTTCCCTATAGGACATTGTTTTGGACGTGTGTGTGTGCGCGCACACGCGCTTTCTTGTACTGGGGATTGAACCCAGACCTTCCCACTGAGCTACAGCCGCAGTTCTTTTTACATTCTATTTTGAGACGAGGTCTTTCTGAGTCACTATGTGGCTCAGGCTGGATTCAAACTTCGGATCCTCCTGCCTCAGCCTCTCAAGAGTGCTGGAATTATAGGCGTGTACCACCACCCTGGTTCCTGGAGAACTCCTTGAAGTTCTACTTACAACTGGGTGTTTCTCTAAACATCTGTCCCATTTTGTGTTTGTTACCTTGGGTGAAAAGACCATCAGCTGTTTATGGAGACTTTTCTCATCTTCTTCCCTGCTGTAGCAATGCTATTGAGATTTCCAAGACACCACATCTCTCCCTGACCCTCTCTTCTCCATCACGGGAAAAGCCCTCGTCTTCTGTTTGTGGATGTTTCGAACCTTCAGAGTTGTGAGGAATCAAAAGGTTTCGGAATCTGCTTGAGTTGACACTTCACCTTGAAGAATTAATTTCCTCTTTTGCCTTTGCAGGGCCAGAAGGGAAGCAAAGGAGAAAATGGCAACCCAGGACTTCCTGGCTTCCTGGGCCCTCGAGGGCCTCCGGTAAGCAGAGAGCCTCCATGGGGACCATAAAGCCCAGATCCAGGGTAACATCCACGTTCAGTATCCTAACGATGTGGTGGGGGCTCAATGTGCCTCGTGATTTTGGAGACAGTGGGGGATTCAGAGGTCCTGCCTGCCCCACTGCTGCCTACTCATTGGTCATTAGGAGGGTCTTCTAACACTTCTGTGCCTTGGCTGCCTCAGCACTCAAATGTCTGTAGCAGATCCCTGGGCTCTGAGGACCACATGAGATGACCCAGGGAAAGGGATTCAGTGTTGTCTGACCCAGCATGGTGCTCAGCACATAGAAATGATTGCCACGGGGCTATGGTGGGTGGTGATGGTGGTTAGACTCCTAGAACTTGAAGGACCCTGAGAAATCATTTTAAAGATGGGCAAGTTTGGGCCACAGGGTAAAAACTTGTTGGTGGCTTATCGAAGGTCACATGCTAGGTTTGTGCCCAGCTAGTGGTTGAGTCTGAATCTCCTGATTGACAGCTTAGTGCAGGGAGAAGCTGCTGGGTCTTCCCGGTTGGATTCCACACCAGTCCCTGGTGCATTCTGCATGCCTGGCCATACCTGAGAATGCTGACCACATGAGGGCTGTGTGCACCCCCTTTTGGTAGAGGTTCTCCACATTACCCGCCTCCATCTCCTGTTTAGTTCTGACGCTCTGCAGTGACAGCTCTTTTACGCAGGTTCCCCTCTTTCACTCTCTCCTGCCCTGCTGCCCACATACCTCCTGACTATTCAATGGTGTTTACTCGGGTGTGTTCACACACTCACTTCTTTCTCTATGCCTTTGTTGACGACCTGGCTGCCACTGTGTAACCATGTACCCATTCTTTACACTTAGTATCCTTTACCTGTGCACATAGTAGGTCATTTTGCCAGGCCTTGCTACACATCTGCCACTGTTCTGAATACTTTACAAATACCAAAGCATCTAAGTCTCATGGAACCCTGTGAGGCAGGCACAACTACTCTTCCCATTTTGCAGATGAAGAAACTGAGGCACAGAGCACTAAAGGAGATCATAAAGACATTGTTTAGGATCACAAAGCTAATAAGTAGAGGAGCCAGTATTTGCCCTCAGAGCCCAGTGTCTTCTTGGTGTCTTGCCTTACACACTGTGAACTTGCTCCTCTGTGGGTCCTTCCTCCCAAAACCAGACAATTTATAAAACTGATGTTCAGGAGGCTTTAGGGTGGAACCAAACCTATCCCATTACCCAGAAGCCCAAAGCCTGGGGTCCCCCTTCCCATACTGGGACTCCTCACACTTGCGATGCTCTGCACAGACTGAGCAGATGATGATGTTCCAGATGTCCTTGGTCAGGTGGGCCATCAGTTGCTGTCTTTGTTGGAACATGACTTGAATGAAAATGACCATTTTGAAGATAGTTGCATTACTCACAATATGCCAATGCCACAGAACCAGCTGGTAATCTTTCCTGTTTCACAGGGAGAAGCAGGAGAGAAAGGTGTGCCAGGCAAAGAGGCAAGTATCACACTGCTCCTCCCTTGGAGACCCTTCCCATGGGAGCAGAGGGCAGGACTCATGGGTAGGCAGCCTGCAGTAGAAGGCTCTCCGCTCACATAATGCTTTGTTGTCATTGTGTTGAAATGATGAATGCTTTTTGAACACGGGGTCACATTTTATTTTGCATAAACTCTCACAGGTTATATAGCCACTGGGATGCTATCGGATATGTCTCTTTCCTTGTCTCACCCTCAGCATCCACTCCATCAACAAGTCCGGTCAGCTCTGACTTCACAGATGCCCACCCTCTGTCCTGTCCAGCCCTCCCCATTGCTTCCCCCCGGCACCTGGTGTAACCTATCATCCTCACTTCCTGCGACCATGGCAGTGGCATCCGGTGGCTTCCTCTGTCCAGCCTTGGCAAGCCAGAGGCCTGTGGTCCATGAGGAGGTCATGCCACTTCACAGTTTAGACCTCAGGCTTGTCCTCCCTCACACTCTCAGTGGCATCCAGGAAGCTCCAGCCCCCACTCAGCTCCTGATACTCTGGAATTTTAGGCCCCGAATTGCCAAATTCTTTCCTCAGAGGCCTCCTTTCAGAAAGCCCATACCCTGCTCTCCCTCTGCCTTCCAAATGGTTCCAGGTCTGGGAAGCATTCTCCCCTGGCCCAGCCATGGCCTGCTCACAGGGCATATCATGCACACATCTAGGTGTCCCTCTTGCTTACTGGATTGAGATGGAGAGAAATTACCCCCAACTTCCATTTTTGAGGGCTTCTTCAGCCCCATGTGATAACAGTTGAGCTGCTCTCTATGTAAGTGATCTCTGGCTCCCTATAGCTTTTCAGAGGGCTAATCAGCCATGCAAGGTCTTCCTAGACCTGACCACACTGTCTTTATCTCATGTGCCTTCCTGCCTTTTGCTGGACCACATACAGTGTCCTTGCGTTCCTCGGGGCTTGGTCTTCACCCTCAGTCTACCTGGAGAGCCTTTCCTATCTGCTCTCTCTGTTCGATGTAATCTGATCTTCAAGGCTTTGTGCTCACAACACCCAAACTCATGCTCTTTCTCCCAGGGCTGAGGAACACCTTCCCTTTCTATTACAAAAACCAAGTCCTCCTATGTTGTTTAGAATTCTGCCCATATCTGCATCTTAGCCGGGTGATGAGGACAGAGACCACGTCCCACCCTCCCCTTCCACAGGGTGAAAGTGGTGCCCACATGAGTGGGCGTAGTGAGTTTCTGGGCTAGGATGGCTGCTTTGGCCAGGCTCTGAAGAGCTGGAGAACATTTGCCTCCCTGGACCAACACAGGCTCTGTTCCCTGCTGGCGGGACAGGAGCCACTGGGGAGCTTGCTCCCCAACTATTAAACCCCTGGTCGGTACCTTTTGGACAAGGTAGGCTTTGAGATGGGGAGATAGATGTGAGAGAAAGGAAGAAGCCCAGGTCTCACTTCCCCAAAGCTTGTTTTCTGAGGGTAAAACAGACAAGGACACCTTTGCCCCGCATCTGGGGAGAAGACAGATGTCACCTGGCAGGAATGTGACCCAAGTTTAAGATTGGACATGGTCCAGAAGAATCACACAGAGGCCTGGAGAGCAGGGACCAGGGAATCGGGTCCAAGAAAGGAAAAGGACAACCAAGTGGCGAGAAGCAGGGGTGGCAGGGAGCCAGGTGTCTCAGCAAGGGGGACCAGGGGGCTGTCTCCCTTGCTTCTGATGGACCTACTATCCTGGGGGCTGTGGGTACTTAGAAGACTTGCCAGGTTCAGTTGGGTGGAGAGGGCCTGCTAGGGGCCAATCTGAGCCTGGGTCCGTTAGTTGTCTGGCCAGCAGGTGGGGCTGGGGTACTGACACAGGGAAGATGGTGAGCAGAAGCCATGGCTCAGCCTGCTCCCTGCAGTGAGGACAGTAAGTCACTGGGGTTGGCTGGACTAGAGTCAGCTGGGGCAGCAGGCACCATGTGCACATATTAAAGACAGTTGATGTTGGTCCTTGGGGCAGCCAGGGGGAGGTTCATCCTTCAAGGTGGAGGAGGAATCCAAAGAGGCTCAACTATAGGTTGGTGCTGTCCTTGGCCAAGGGTGGGAAGAGTAGGAGGAAAGGAGTGAGGAGGAAGTGGGCCAGATTTCTGACATCTGCATAAACCAGGTGGAAGCTCGGGGGAACCTTGTTTCTCTAGGACCTTTGTCCTCAGCACACAGAACTGTGTAGAAGAACCAGGACAGGCCAGCACGGTGGCCCTGGTGCAGTGTCGCCTTGGTCTCATTGCAGGGTACTCCTGGGAAACCCGGAGAACCAGGAGCCAGAGGAGAAAGGGTAAGTGTGAGGAAGGCAGGTACCGCACACACTGAGTGTGACCTTCCACAGTGGCAAATTGACTTCAAGGCTGGCGTTTGTCCCAGGGTGGTTAAGAAGCCACCCAGCTGGGGAGGCATCTCATGTGGTAGCTGCCGATGACTGTTCCCTGGGGAAATCTGGAGCCCAACTAAAGGGGTCTTTACCCTCCCCCATATTTTTGTACTCAGTGTTTTTCTGCTCTTCTTTTTGGTTATTTTGAGGAATAAAATCATGATCATAATTACAAATGCAAAGGCAAGTGTGGGGAGATGTTGACAGATTTCCTTCTCCCCCCTCTGTGTGAATGCTCCTGCATGATGTGCCTGGCTCCCAAAGTGCCAATTTGCTGGGAGCCAGATTTGTCCCTGGAGGTGACAAGGGAACAGATTTTCCCATAATGAGTTGCCTTGGTGCCACACTCAGACATTTCATTTCTCCAGAAACCAAGATGTAAAAGTGTGTGTGTGCGTGTGCGTGTGTGTGTGTGTGCGTGTGCGTGTGTGTGTGTGTGTGTGTGCGCACAGGTTAGCCACAGGGGGTGGGAAGCACCCTCACACTCACCAGGGATGCTCCCTTGAGCATCTCTGTGGGTCTCACTGGGCTGGTCCGCAGGCCTGTGTTTGGTCAGCCTTCAAAGACAGGGCCATCACTCCACTCCCACTTGTTTTTCTCAGTCCTGCAATGAATTTATCTTGGCTTTCTTTGCAAGTTGGATGGGTGGGGAGCTGGCCACGGTGGAGACAAGGAAGGAAGCAAAGTCTCAGGCATTGCACTGCTCAGGGCTCTCTCTCTCAGCCTCCCAAGGACTTCAGTTCCACTTTCCCAAGGCTTCTGGTTCCCAAATGATGGAGCCTGGGAGGGGCCATGGCTGAGAGGCTCTGGGTCCTCAGCAGAGCATCCTCCAGGTCCCCTTGAGCATTGCTGTGGGCTGAGGGCTTGAGTTTTGGGGTGCAGTCAGGGAATTCAGACCGCAGATAGGAACCTCTTCTCTGATAACAAATCAATAAAAACAGAGCTTGCCTTTCCCTTGCTAAGTGGTTTCAGGGAATAGTGCCAGGTGCCCTTAGGTTCCCAGGGATGTTTGAAATATGGGACACTCTTCTCACTGCAAAGTGACGGGAGACCTTTTTTTTTTGGTACTGGAGATCAAACTCGGGACCTTGCGCTTGTGAGGCAGGCAGCAGAACCACTGAGCTAAATCCCCGGCCCTGGGAGATCTTTAATGAGTAGGAACTGCTGTTCACTTGTGCAAGGGGTGTGGCATCCAGATGTATGAGGAACCAGAGTTTTTAAAGAGCCCTGCAGTCATGATCGCAGAGAGATTACACTGCCCCTGTGGAGTGCACCACACCTGGAGGGCTAAAGGCGCTCCCTCCGATCTGGCTGAAGTAATCATTTCATTCACTGCTTTTCTGAGTATTGTTGAAATTTTAGCTGCAAAATAAGGACATAACTAAACGTGAAAACTGCAGACAACTAAGGCAGTGAAAGTTCTTCATCCCTTCCATCCCTCTCTTGACCTGCCCTTCCATGGCCCAGGGCTGTGTATCTGCTTTCATCCCCGGGAGTCCCTGAACAGAGAAAAAGGGCTCTTACAAGCATGCCTTGCCTTGCCATGTACCCTCCCCACTCTGGATAGATCCCTCTCGCCACCTTTTTAAATTTGCTCCAGCCACTTCCCCTGAAGCACATACCTGGGATTCTGTTTCAGAACTGAGCAGTTTCCCTCCTCTCAGGCTCCAGGTCATGTTCCTGCCAAGGCAAGTTGCTGGTTACTATCTGTTCCTCTTCTTTCTCTCCCTGGCCCTCCCCCTCTGCTGTAGGCGGGCCATGGGGTTTCTTACACTCCAAGTCCATAAAGGTGGCTTCCATGTGTTCAGACCCGTGGACCACTGGCAGGAGCTGAGCAGCACAGTGCTGCATGGGCACCAAGGACTGGGCTTCCTGCCATGTACCATCCTGCTCCTAAAGCACTGATCTTGCACCCCAGGCTCTGGGTCAGAGGGGAGCACATGTGTCCAGGCAATGAGCATGGCTGTGGGATGGGCCTCTGAGAACACAACAGAGCAAGGGCACTGTAAAGGAGGGCCTGTGAAAGGGAGCCATGCGTGTCCCTCCAGCTGGTAGGGGGCAAAGCTGCACACAGGTTGCAGGTGACAGCTGGCCTAGGCTCCAGGAGGGACTGCACTTTGGGGGGCAGCGTTGGAGTGGAAAGTTCTTTCTTCTGAGGTGTAAGGTGAAAAGCACTGCTCCCCCTTTTCATCCACCACAGACAATGAACCCCCTGGATAGCCTTCCACAATGTTATATGTATACCCATCAAATATGCTACTGTTAAAATACTGTAGACATTGTTCTACATCCAGAATTTCTGTGTAGCAACACAGGCTGCTGAGCATCCACAGAGGCCCCTTGGCCACAGCCCTGTGTTTTGGCAGCTCAGTGTTCTGCGGTGTGGATATGCTTCCCACTGTCCCCCGTGACAGGCATGTGAGGGGCTCCCTTATGGGTCCTGGAGCTGGGAAGTCAAAGCTCTCCCGAACCTCTGTAGATGATCTCAGCCCCTACTCCCTCATCTGTACAATAAGGATGTTGGTGGGATGATTCTTACCCCAGGTCACCCATAGCTCAGCCAGGACCAGGCCTCCCTTGGAGTCTCAGGAGATAGCAGAAGCAGCTCTAGGCTTGTTATCTTTCCATGCTTGGTCTACATGCTCACGTGGTTGTCTTCTCCTCTAGGGAGACCCTGGGATCAAAGGCGACAAAGGACTGCCTGGTGGGAAGGGTCAGCCTGGGGACCCTGGAATCCCAGGCCACAAAGGTCACACAGGTCTGATGGGCCCCCAAGGACCACCTGGGGAAAGCGGACCAGCCGGGCCCCCAGGGCCTCCGGGCCAGCCTGGATTTCCAGGACTGAGGGTAAGGATGTTGACCTCACTGCAGATTAGGGCCTCTTCTGGGCCCATGGGAAACCAGGGATGTGGGGGAGCCTTTGAAGGGAGCAGGTTACAGATCCCTGTCTGCCAGGGATGGCTGTGTGTCCAGGGGAAGGTCACCTCCTTCTCCGAGGCTGCCTTTCCTTGATGCCAAAAGGGATAAGAAAGTGCTCTTCTGTTTTGCTATTCGTAAGTAAAATAATGTGCATAGATTAAGAGGTGCTCAAAAATATAGTCACCTTTGTCCAAATGGAAATAGTCCTCTAGGTTTTGTTCCTTGGGCCATAAGACTCTTCTACCCCAGGACCCTGTGCTGAGGTTCCTGAGAAGACTCCAGCTCTCAATGGTCCGAGTTTTACTGCAGGATGGTTCCCCATCTGTTCACTGCTGCCCTGGCTGCCCTTCTTGCTGTCTTCCTGGAGTATTCATTTATTGTCCTCAAATGTAAAAAGAAATACTTCTTTAGAGTCTTGGGTTTTTTCTTTCTTTTAACATATTTTATTCTAGTTGCAAAGTTACTGTTTTACAAAGCCTTTTAACTGTACATTGGCTATAAAATGATAAAAGCCAAGTAATTCCAGCACTTGGGAGCCAGAGGCAAGAGGATCACAAATTCGTACTCAGCAAGGCCAACTTAGTGAGACCCAGTCTCAAAATTTAAAATAATAATAATAATGATAATAACCAAAAAGACTGATAATGTAGCTCAGTCTGAAGGTCCTCGGTTTAATTCTCTGTTCTGAAAAGGAGAAAGAAAAAGTCTAGGTCCCTGGTCGATAGGATGTTAGTGGGACCTGGTTGCCTAGTCCCTGTGACTGTCTATTCCTCCTCAACAACACCCCTGTCCTCTGAGAACACTCACATTCCCCAGCGCACAGGTGTGTGTGGCTCCATGGCCCTGCCAGTCCTGATGCTATGCAGTTTCATTGATTTCTGGTGGTTGTGGTCCACTGAATCAGGATCAAGTAGGGGGCTCAGCTGGCTTCCAAAGCCCCTGGAGCCTCGCCAAGTTCTCCACATCCTGCTGCTGTGGGTAGCAAGGGACTTTTGAGATGATCACAGAGGAATCTTGGCCAGGAAGAAACAAGAGAGTAAGGAAATAGAATTCATTTCTTGCATGCTAGGTGCTGGGGAAGAGAACGGGGTGTGGTAGGACCCCAGCCTTTCGGGCTGGGCTCTGCCCTGAAGGTGTCAGGAGGGATGAGCCCCATGAGGCATGAAGACTGTTCTCCTAGATCCTGCTGAGAATTGCTGCCATTGTGAGCCAGGGACAGCACTGTATCTCTCTGCTGGACAAACTCTAGCTTCTGTGCCCAGAGCATCAGGATTGGTCAGATACTTGCTGAGAGCCAACCTGGACATCATAGGAACAATCAGACCCTGGGAATCCGAGGGGCCAATTAAACATGACTTCATGCACGATGAAGCCACCCACAGTCTGTGTCCTGGAGGGGGACAAGCAGGGGAAGATTGGGGTCCAGACCTCCCAGGACCTGTGCTGGAAGAGTGTGGGTGTGTATTTATGGGCACAGGGGGATTGGCCAGAAGGAAGCCCAGAGAAGGAGATGGAAGGGTGTGAGGGGAAGGGCTGCGGTGGATAAGAGAGTGGAATCCAGGCCACCACATACAGGGAGTGAAGCTGCTTTAGGACAGAGAGGAAGGCATTATGGGTATGTGGAGGGCAGTGCTAGGAGGACGTGCTTCCCGGGTATAGGTTGCCCATGGATTTCCGTGGACTTCTTCCTTTCTGAGTCATTAGAAGACATGCACAGTGTGTGTTACTATGAACGCAAATAACGTCACCTGCCCTCTCCTAGGGGGAGTCTCCATCTGTGGACACCCTGCGGCGGCTTATTCAGGAAGAGCTCGGGAAGCAACTGGAGAGTGAGTAGCTGGACTTTGTGATCTCCTTGCTTGCTTCCATCCTCCATGACTTACGCAGTTTGGAAGGCGCCCGAGGAGAGGAGCAGCTCACACATGGAGTAACGAGGCTGGGGAAGGCCTTGGGGACCCTTAGCCGAAACAGATTTCCTCTGCAGAGCCCTTCTAGAATGGGCAGTCAGCTTCAGCTTGATTGCCTCTAGTAACAGAGCCTGACATGTACAAAACGACCTCTTTTGGCATCATTCACATATGCTGTGCATTCAGTCATTTATCTAACCAGCTAGCGATGGTGGAGGCCTGCTATGGACCTGGTGGACTCATCCTAGTCCAGGGGAGGAGACAGATCAGTAAACAGACACAGTGGCTTCAGTCTCTGAGAGGAGTTCTGTAATTTACTCTGGAGTGGATAGCACTGAAAGAGAACAGAAGAAAGTACCTAAAACAGCTCTGAGGCAGGGGACCATGAGGACAGGCTTCCTGGAGGAGGGGGCGTTATTTGTGAGTTGAGATGGGATGAGACCCTAGACTAGTGATGGCAAACCTTTTGGAGCTTTTAATGATAATGAACAGCAGACTATAGCTTTGGCACCACTGCCCTAGACCGTTAGAGCAACATGAGTGAGGACCTCTGGGGGCCAGGGGCAGGGGTGGGCTTCTCCCTGAGTCAGGAGGAGTTCTTAGCTCCTGTATGTGTGACCGTGGAAGCCATCGAAACCGCACAAGGCAGACATGATTTCAGTCCAGAGGGTGAGGAGCAGAGAGGCTGGGCACCTTAGTCAAGGCTGAGCAACTGGAAACCCTGGTCAGGTTTCACTCTGCTGCAATCTGTGTTCCTCCGTGCACCACCAGGTTTTCTTGCATAATCGTCATCCCACCTCCTCTCTGCTGGAAGGTTAGGAGAACAGGTCACAGGAGCCTGTGCAGGAAACGAGAGGAATGCATAACTACTTTCCAGAGCCAAATGGACAAACGTGAGGGCACATGTATTCATGGGGTCATGTCTTAGTGATTTTGCATCTTGTACAGGCCAGACTCTGTGCCATGTGTGAGAACACAGCAGGAAGCAAGATGACCTCCTGCCCAGTCCCCTGGGAGTCCAGGTGAACATGGCCCATGCTCTGACACAAGAGGGGAACAGACCGTGGCCTGGAGCAGACAGCAAAAGGGCTGTGTGTGGGCAAGGCAGGTGAGGAAGGAAGGTGACTAGGGGCCACAATGGGTCACACAGGTGGCTGGTCTGAAGGACTGGTAGGTGGAGAGCTCTGAGTCCTGCCTCCTGGCATTACGTGTATTGGTAACAAAAATGGTCCCTGGCCTTGTAGAATCTCCAGTCAATAGCAGGAACAAGACATTCTGAACTTGTCTGGGTGAAAGCATCTGACGAGCTAAGTCTGTTTTCCAAATGATCTTTTGAGAAAGAAGCATCGATTCCATTTAAAAATGAGCAAATCAAGGCTTAGGGAATGTGAGAAAATGTCACAGTCACAGAAGTAGACCTTCGTACCCTCCTGGCCTGGGAGAGAGCATAGGTGGGGGCAGTCAGGCAGGCCAGAAGACCTGTGTTGGCCTGGGTTTACTGGCCAACACCAGGCCCTGTCTTAGCCTCACCATCCACAGGGTGGGTGTTTGGACCTGGTTCTCAGACTGTGTGCAAATGAGGGTGGCTCTCAGTTGCCACTGAATAGGCACTGTCTCCCTGGTCAGAGAAAGGCATACCAGGCTGGCTGTTGGATCAATTTTGTCACCTTCATAGGGCACATGAGGGGTGTACGCATCTTCCCTAATCAGCATATCCAGCCCTTCAGTTTTAAATGAGGAATCTGATGTCAGTGAGAAAGTCATGAAGTAGCTTCCTGTAGGGCATTTATCTCTCCCTAAGCCTCAGTTTCCCCAACTGACAATTGGAATTGCTCCTGCTGCTACTGTGATCAATGCTACTGCTGCCAATACTACTCCTGCTGCTTCTACTACTACTACTATTCCTACTGGCAATGCTACTACTACTGCTGTCAATATTACTACTCCTACTGCTGCAACTATTGTCAGTACTATTACTGTTGCTGTCAGTACTGCTAATACTGCTGCTAGTACTATTATTACTACTGCCCAAACTACTGTAGCTTCTGTCAGTATTATTACTATTGCTACCAGTACTACTACTACCAATACTACTACTGCTCTGTCAGTACCACTACTATTGCCAGTACCACTACTATAGCCCAAACTGTGACTGCTTCCACTAGTACTATTACTATTGGCAATCCTACTACTACTTCCAAGAATACTACTACTGCTGCCATATTACTGCTATTGATACCACTATTATTTTTACTAGTGCTAATATTGATACTCCCCAAACTACTACTGCTGCCAATACTACTACCGCTGCTGCTCCCGATACTGCTATTCATGCTGCTGATGATACTATTACCACTGCTACTACTTCTGATAATGCTACTCCTACTAATGCCCACACAAATACAACTACTGCACTGAGTCCTGCTGCTGTGATTGACACTGGGATCTCCAGAGCAGTGACCCAGAGCCAGGCATTGTCTTTCTGGACTCTCTCATTTGCTCATCCTTGCACCAAGCTGCATAATAGGCATTATCCCATTGCCTGTCTTTTCCTGAAGGGGAGACTGAGGCTGAGAGAAGCCATGTGGCTTGTCCAAGGTCACAGACTGCTGCTGGTTGGATCCCTGGGGCTAAACCACTGGAAGGGTGTGTACTATGCTGTGCATGAGGGAAACTGGTGGCGTTGGTAGTCTTATGCAGTTGCTCTTGTCCCCTTGGGTCCTAGCTTTGCAGTCAGTGGCCATTCTGCCCTTTGCCCTCTACCTCGTCTCATGGGATGTCTCTCTTCTTCCCACCCATAGGTAGACTTGCCTACCTCCTGGCCCAGATGCAGCCTGCACACATGAAAGTCTCACAAGGCAGACCCGGTCCTCCAGGACCCCCTGGAAAAGATGGTGTTCCTGGCAGGGCAGGACTCATGGGGGAGCCGGGCCGACCTGGCCAGGGGGGTCTGGAAGGACCATCTGGGCCAGTAGGTCCCAAAGGTGAGTGGGCACAAGAAGGAACTGCTTTACGGGCCACACGAGGCTTACAGGAGCTGAGAGTGAGGTGGACTGGGCTGAGCCTGAATTATCATTCTGTCCTACACCCTGGATTGTGACGTCCTGCCACGATGTTTTATATGTTTAAGAGGTTTTTATCCTTGATATTGTTGCAAAATTATGCTTCTGCTGTGAAGATTGAATCTGTTCCCTCCTGCTTTTTTGTCCTCTCTCCATCTCCCCTATGTAAGTTTCAGGGGCCTAAGGCAAAATGCCTCTTCTTCCCCCACCAAGTTTAGAGCTAACTGAGGGTTACAACACTTATGCTCCATTTCTTGGAGATCAGTGCCAGCTTTGAAATTGGATCCGATAGTGTTGAGCTGCAGCTAGAAGTGGCTGATAACTGTCCTGCTGGAGGACAGAGGGGCCTCCCCACCCAGCAAGGCTCTGGACAGCAGCAGGTCTCTCCCTCAGCAGAACTTGTCCCTCTTAACCCATCATGCCCTGCAGGCAGGGTAGAAAGCTGTCCCTCTCTGCAGGCAGGCGGGGATGAAGAGCAGAGAGGAAGGACCCAGAACCAAAGCCAGCAACTTGAGAATCCTCCATGTAGCTCCTTTCCTCCTATGCACACACTCATACACACACACAGAGGCATGCACACACACAGTCAAGCATGGGTGGAAAAGAAGCGTGTGGACTCCTTTTTGCTGTTGCTGGGTGACTTATAATTGGAGCATTGACTTATTTACTTATTCTCTATGTTTCTCTTAGTTGAAAGGCTTTTTGTTAAATTTGTGTGCCCTAATCTTACATATATCTGTTAATAAATATGAAATATGAAATAATAAATGAAATAATTATTCATAAAAAGAGTAAGGCAGAGGCATAGGAAGTGGCAGAGCATGGCAGAATGCTGACCAAATGTAATAATTAAAATCATAGAAATGAGTGGTCTAAAGACCCCATGAACTAGTAGCAGAATTTATTTATTTATTTATTTATTTATTTATTTATTTATTTGGTATGGGGGATCGAACTCAGGTCCTAGCGCTTCTGGGGCAGGTGGAGGAACCACTGAGCTAAATCCCCGGCCCAAGTAGCAGAATTTAAATTTAAGAAATGCATTTAAGAAATGTTTTGGAATCTACATGGTAAAAAACTGACTGATTAAAAATAGAGAGTTGAGAGAGGGAGTTTAATCAAATCTGTATAAGCTTAACTCCAGTACTGTCTAAATATCTTTCTGGGAGGAAATTGCCCCTCTGTCCTCTGAATATCAATCTTTTTTGTGCCTATGATGGTACTTATCACCTTCTGTCTTTGTTTCCATTTCATCTGTCTCATTAGACTTCAAGGTTGTTGAAAGTAAAGCTTCTTCTCACTTGTTATCTTAGGATCCATATCGCCTAACATGTTGAATTTGTGGATTCACAGCCCATTCCTTCTTCACTGAGATTGAAATTAAATGCTTTGAAAACACAAGGAAGTGTAGATAGCAATGAGGATGTTCATGTGGCTTCTTTATGTGCATAGGTGTGTGAGTGTGTGGGAGTGCATTTAGTGGCCTGTGTTGGTAGTTGTGCACATGAGTAATGTGTATAGGTGCATATGGAATTGTACTTGAGTGAAGGTCCCTTTATAAATATGTATATTTGAGGCTGTGTTTAGGAGGGAGATTGTGTTTATTCTGATGTTTGCATGTGTACATTTTGAGCGTGATTGCTCTTGAATGTTTGTATATACAAACGTGTGTATGGGAGCAAGGGAGGGGGCAGTGTGGAGGTTGTACGAGCAGGTGTGAGTGGTTCAGCTTCAGGGATGTGAGGTCACAGGCCTGCAGCCTGGGACTCTGCTCTGTCCTCACTGGCATCTCGACCACTAAAGGTATCTGTTTCTGTCAACAGGTGAGCGAGGAGCCAAAGGTGATCCAGGTGTACCTGGAGTTGGCCTCCGAGGCGAGACGGGATCCCCTGGCATCCCAGGTACAAAGTGTCTGTGGTCTTGGGGAGGGTGGATGTCAGAGTAGGGAGGAGGACACATGGCCATGCTCCTGTCTGTGGCCCTGTGGGGCTCAGGCCTGGGGTGGGGAGCAGGGTCAGCTGACCAGAAGGCAGAGCCCTTGCTCTTTATTAAATAGTTCCAAAGTTCTTGAGTTGTAGTCCAGGAATCAAAAATCCTGATAATTTATTGAATATTTCAAAATAGCTAGAAAAAAGGATTTTGATATTCCTAGCATGAAGGAATGATACAGGTTTGAGGTGATGACTATGCTAACTGCCCTGATTTGATCTTGAGATGTTATATAAATGTCCTGATATAGCATATTGTACCCCATAAATACTTACATTTATAAAATGCCAACTCACAATAAGTCCTGAGAAATATCCCTGGGGAAAACAAAGCAAAACAAACCAACCAAAACAGACCTGGGGCTAAATAAAGCTAGGAGATGCTGGGGACGATTCTCCCTTTCAACATTCCTGGTGCACATTAACTTCTTATAAGTGTTAAGCAGCCTCACAGGAAAGCGTGTTCATCTTGTTTAATTCCACGTTGTCCAAACTCACTGGAAGTAGAACCCTTTTTCTCCACTGCACACCTGTTCATGCCCTGTTAGGATCTCTCTCACTGTGCCTAGGAAATACTGACCATGTGGCAGATGGTCAGCTGTTCTGAGCTTAAGGGCCTCCTGGGTCTGGAATGCCCGGTGCTGATACTGGGATATACGTGGGAAAGTGGGGAAGACTGGGCCACTCTGCCCAGTGGCTGTGCGGGATGATTCCAGAGCACAGTAGTTATCGCACTGCAGGAGGAGGAGCAGGTGTAGAAGAGAGAAAAAAATTGTGTTTTTAGCAAGCTCCACTTCACTGAGGCATCTATATTTTTTATTTAGTTTTAGTTTACCTGTTCTGATTTCCATATTTTCTGAATATTGGGCCTCTACTCTAGATAATTTTAATTTTACTATTTATTATTTTATGACTTTCCAAATTCTGTACAGTTGGACATGCACCATTGTTGTTATTACTGAAGATAATTGGATGTAAATAATTTTACAGCTTGGCTAATTTCAAATAAGTTATAATATGAAGAATATTTTAAGTAGAACAATTTAAATAAAGATAAAAAGTAAAACAGCACATTTAGATGCAGGGAATTTATATCCATTTCTAACAAGTTAGCTCAGTGGCACACTTCAGTGGTTTCCAGTGGGACAAAAAAAATAACACTGCTGGTCTGAAAACATGATTGTATGTAGGACTGTCTGAAAGCACTAAAAGAATATGAAAAGTCTAAAGATACTTTCAAGGTAAAAGTTTACTTTCTGTTTATTTTATAAGGAGTATTGTAACAAGACTTAAGAGGGAATATCACTACCAGAGTTGGCCATGATACCTACCGCTGAGCTTCCCAGTTGCCAAAGTCCCCTCCAAAGAGAGAGATTGCTTATATATGAAATTATGATATGTCATATGTAGCAGGACAGAAGTTTTGATCTATTTAACTGTCAATTTCTTATATCGTGGATGCTGTCTTTAACCATGATTTTGCAGAACAGGTTAATGTAGTCAAAATGAAACCTGTAGATACATCTGAGACTATACGGCAGATTTGGGACAAGTTGCATGTTGGATAATAGAAGCTCAGTGGGTGTCTCTGAGGATATGTGCATAGGGCTGATGTTGGATGATCAGAGCTTGGTGTTCCAGTCAGAATCCAGAGGCATGAGCAGCGCATGTTCTGTCTGAGGACAATGCAACTGCTGAACACATGCTGAATGGGAGCAGGGGGTGAGGGGGCTTGTTTGCTGGACATGAGCTGAAAACTTCCTGTTTCTTTTACTCCTTGGGCCAGGTCAACCTGGGGAGCCTGGCTATGCTAAGGATGGAGTCCCAGGGAGTCCTGGCCCTCAAGGGGAGACAGGACCTGCTGGACACCCTGGCCCTCCAGGCCCTCCTGGCCCCCCTGGCCTGTGTGACCCCTCCCAGTGCGCCTACTTTGCCAGCCTTGCAGCCCGGCCGGGCAATGTGAAGGGCCCCTAGAAGATTCTAGAAAATCAGAAGACTGCAGTGGATTTCTGAAATTTGAGCTCATAGCCCAAAGGGACACCAGAGGCCTTGAAACATTTCAGCTCCTTCCTTCCCTCCTTTCCTCTCTCCCTTCCTTCCTTCCTCCCTTCCTTTCTTTCTTCCTTCTTTCCTTTCTTCCTTCTTTCTCTTTCATTTCAGTTTCTTGAGAGACCTCAGAATTATTAAAATCAACAGATGCTGCCGATTATCAGATTATTATATTATTACCTTTAATTATTATATTATTGTGTCATATGCTGATGCTTGTGAGTGTTTTCCCTCCCCTCTCAAACCAGGAACGTGAGACAGTGGGCAGGAGGTGTTTCCCACTGCCCCTGACAGCACCATCTGAAGCAGGGCTGCTAATTTTAGAGACTCTTGGTGCTATGAAGCCCTGACCAGATACTTGCAGAATTTACCTCTTTCCCCAAAAGCAAACTTTGAGAAGTGGAGCCGAGAAGCTTCTGCTGTCAGCTGTACCCAGAAGTCACTCAGGAGGAAATAATCCCCAAATCACCACCTCCCAGGGAAGCAGGAAGAAGGACTTGTGGGCATGAGGAATGTTCTAGCCTGTGCAGGGAAAGCAGAGCAGAGAGCAGTGCCGGCCCTCGGTGGACAGCCGGCGTCCACAGTGTTTCAGCAGGGAGGCGATGTTATGGGGGTGGGCAGTGGCTCAGTGAGATCCTATGTTTGAGCCACCAATAGGGAAATGGGGGTTGAAGCAGCAGCTGGAGAGTGAATTTGTTTTCAAACCATGGGTAGGGTGCCTTTGAATCCTTCTTGTTGGTTTTCATCATATTAATTGTCAAATAAAAATGTTCAGTGGCTGCCCCAGTTTCCCTGATGGTGGGCTATTGGCTGTGGCACTGACTGAGGACTCTTTGTCCAGGTTCTGACTCTGCAATAATTGCCTTACCTGTATGTGTGTGTGACACGCCTGGCATGGGCAGGTGCTCAATAAACCAGAGTTTCCTTCTTAGCCCTCTTGGTGGTTGTTTCTTATCCCCAGCACCCCCCTGAATTTGAAAGCCACAGGCACAGTGAATGAGACTTGCTCCAAAGTCTACAGGTTCAGTCTTCATGCAGAGGGAATGAGCCAGTGAATATGTGCGTGTGACCGGGCTGGCTGGGTGATTTGCTGTCCTCCCTTTGTGGAAGCAGCTCCAGAGTTTACATTAGGGAAGCAGACACTGGGGCGTGTGGGACCACAGTGGGGTGAGGGGACAGCAAAGTAGAGATTCATTCTGCAAAACAGTGTGGCTATGGAGCAGGGATCGGCCACTGGCCTTACAGGGTAACAAACTGTCTGTGTGTGTCTCCTCTCAGCTGACTGACTGGTCCACCCATCCGTCCAAGCACCCATTAACCTAAGCATTCATCAGCCATTCACGTACCAGCAGCATGAGCCCATCACACCCCTCTTCTGTAGCACCCAGTACTGAGCTCTTCTTTTTAAAAATGTTTTATCAGGGATAAAAAATATTTAAGTACTAGAAACTTCTGATTGATTTAGTAACCAGGAGTATGAACATTCAAAGGTTTCCAATATCCATAAAGAGGTTTCCAAATTAGATCTGAGACCTATTCCTAGGGTTCAGCTGGCTGGTGCTGATTCTGGGGTGGGCGAGTGGGTGTTCCGAGGAATCAGCGTGTGCCAGTGCAGAATGAGGTGTTGTCCTTCTGATCCTTTACCCCATCTACCATCTCAGTTGGCTTTCAAAACCGCTTAAACCCTTTGCATAAAGGTTTTATCACCTTTGTAAATACATTGCAATAATAATTTGTAATAATGGAAGAAACAATCTCAGAGACCCCTAGGGTAACTTTTAAAGTATTTTTGACCATGAACACAGTAGGAGGCCTAATTTCTTTGTGACTAGTATGCATAGAAATATATATTATTACATATATACGTATATAGGAAAAATATATATCGGGAGCTTGTGATAAAATATTTACCCTGACCAAGCGTAATACCCTTTATGTTTGCTGTTATATTTCATTGTTGTTTTTAAAATATAATACCTATAAAGCAGCTTTAGGTTCATAGCAAAATTAAGAGGAAGGTACAGAGATTTCCCATATACCCCATGCCCCCACATACACAAAGCCTCAGGTACAGTCAGAATCCCACACTAGGTATGTCTGTCATAATGGATGGAGCTACATTGTCTTCAACTAACCCACATACTTTTCGTTATGATTCACTCTGGATGGCTCAGTCCATGGGTTTGCACTAATGTGTGTATATCTGCCATTACAGTACCATATAGAATAATTTTACTGCCCTAAAAACCTTTTGTGCTCAGCCTATTCATCCCTCTCACCCCATTCTCTAACAACCATGGGTATTTTTACTGTCTCTATAATTGTGCCTTTTTCAGAACATTATGTAGTTGAAATTAGATAGTGTATAGCCCCTTTGCATTGGGTTCTTTTACTTAGTAACATGGAATTAAGATTCTTCTATGTCTTTATGTGTCTCAATAACTCATTTCTTTTCACTGCTGAATAATAGTCCATATCTGGATTTACCACAGTTTATGTATCCATTTATCAACTGGACATGGTTGCTTCCAAGTTTGGGTAATTATGAATAAAGCTCTTATGAATTTCCACGTATAGGTTTTAATGTGAAAATAATTGTTCAACTTCTTTGGGTAAATAGCAAGGAATATGATTGCTGGATCACATAGTAAGAGTAGATTTAGTTTTGTAAGAAACTGAAATATTTCAAAGTAACTATACCATTTTGCGTTCCCACCAGTCATGAATGAGAGGTCCTGCTGCCGTCCTATATCCTGGCCTGTATTCTGTGTTGTCATTGCTGTGATTTTGGCTATTCAAATAGGTGTACCTTATTTTAATAAGAGAAGCTCTGTGTTTGGCACTCTGGGTTCTGGGGAACATTCTCCAGAACCACTGGGTCAGGATCCCTGGGGCTGGTACCCAGTAGTTTCCATTTTTAAAATTCTCCCCAGGAGGTTTTAGAACTCTCAGCCCTTTTGTCCACCCTTCCTTCCCTGGGTGTCTCTAACACTGAACATCCCGGGGATCCTGGGACTGGGCAGCCAAATCACTGGAGCTCAGGGATCAGGCCAACCCAGAACAGGGCCAGGCTCTGGTGCCCCTGTGGATTTTAGGATCTGCAAATGTGGGAAGCTCCATCCTTATTTTTCTGAGAACTGGGAAATCGCTGCGATGTGCTGGGAAGAGACAGATAATGAGAAGATAGAGATGCAGCCTGAGAGTTGAGCACAAACCACAGACTGGCGTTTCCAAGCCCATCCTCCCTCTGTTCTTTCTGCCAGTAGTTGCAGCTGGTGGATCCGTATCCATGAGCATCTTTCCTTGGAACGCCCTGGGGAAGATGCAGAAGGGGTTGATTCTGAGCCCTGGGAGGAGGCCTAGAGCCAGGCAAAGTAGATACTCAAAACATACCTAGAAGATTCTCAGAAAGTGGAGGCTGAGCGGTATTTTGGGATACTTGAGCCAATGTGGAGCTTGAACTGCATGGGGTTGGTAATATAAATTTACTCCAGTCTGTGGCAGAGGAAAGACTTGAATCCTGTCATACTGGCCTTGGCCAGGGATCACTGGGCCCTAGGTGCAGGGCGCACGTGCTGTTTGCTGTGGAGGGCAGTCTGGAGGCCCCTGGTCAACAGGCCTGGCTTCTGTGAGCCAAGACTCACAAGGACTCACCAGACTGAGTGCAGTCAGGCTGGAGTCGGAGCCTCCCTGCACCCCACAGCTCTTCAGCTGGCCTGGCTACAAGGGGCAGCCCCCTGGCCATCTTAGGCACTCTGTCTGTGTGAACGTGAACCTGGAGACACACAGGAGTAATTGATAGCCGCACTTTCCTTCTCCGCTGAATGGAGGGAATGGCATCCAAGCACAAGATTTGTCTGAGAGTAAGGTTTTTCAAAACATTAATTTTATTAGTATATTTTAGGTGTATAATATAATGGCATTCATCATTGGGAATTTGCACCTTTACATA